TTCAACCGATCTAACGTCATGGCGGGAAACCATCCCCGCAGTCGGAAAACTTCCCGGGTCATATCATATCGCGGCAGATCAAGGAAGATGTTCGAAATCCCAAAAGAAGGATAGTTATTAAACGGAAAATATACTCTAGTGATAACTACGGCCAATAACTATGTTTATAAAGATCCGCCGCTAGTCAGGTAGGACATGACATGAGCCTATAGTCTAATCTCTATGAGGCTTTGGTGACAAAAGAGTGACAAAGGAAAAGAATGTTCAATATTAAATCTCACAGCTGAGCAATGTCGCTCGGGAATCGATGAAATGTACATGATAAAAAAGAAATCGGGAGTCCAGCGAACCACCCGTCAAAACGCCATCCGATGCACCCAATGACTCCGGAAGAAAACTGTCTAAAGGATAGAAAAAAGAAAAGGTCGTCTCGATGGTCTAGACCATGAAGGATTCACCGCATCCACATGATTCCTCTGCATAATGTGTTAGTGGTCGGCTCAAGAACAACAGTCAGAGGTCCTCAAGGTACTTACTGATGTTGGGGTTCCGGAAAACAAATCGGCGGCTCAGCTTATCCTCCTGCCAGTCCATCTCACTGCCGATGATGCTAAACAGCGCCTTGCTGTCAATCAGGACCTTGACGCCATCCTGTTCGACAACCTCATCGAACGCGCCCGGCTTTTCCACGTATTCGAGATGGTAGGCGAGGCCGGAACAGCCACGGTTCTTCACCCCCACTCGAATAAACTTTGGGTCAGGCTGCGATACCAATTTGCGAAGTTGTTCGATGGCTAATGGCGTGACCTTCAAAGCAGCCTTGCGAGGGCGCAACTTCCTTCGAGGCTTTCCCGTCGCCTTCGGGGCTGTGGTGGCGGGCTCTGCAGATGTCTGTTTCTGCGGTTCGCTCTCGCTGGGTTTGACAGTGGAAGAGTCGCTGCGCTGTTCCGGCTTCTGTTGGAATGTCGTCTCTCGGGTAGGGGGGAAATCGGCCGAGATAGTATCGGAACCTCCGTTGGCACGAGGCGGAGGGAAGGACGACGGCAACGAATGAGGACGGTAGGCGGTTGCGGTCTGCATGTCCCGCTTCGACGACCGGTACGAGTTGCCGTATGACGAGAATAGTCGAAGGGACCGTGTTGGTGTGCCGGTTGAAGTCTTTCTCGCAAAGCCGAGCATGGTGGCGGATGATGTCACCGGGGGTCGCATCGTAGCTCTGCAGAGCGACATGGTGATAAGAGTTATGGTGAGAGAAGATTCTATATTAAAAATGTATAAAAGAGCACTAGTAGATTTGAAAAAGGGTATCAACAGCGGGGTTGAAGGATAGTTGAAAGGTATCAGTTTAAAGTTGTTAGAACGAGGAAAGTGAGTCCAACGGAGTCTGTTTTGAAGGCGGAAGAAAGTCGGAATCGGTTAAAGAGTTCCACGGGATGACCTCGACGGGCCAATCACCATCCATGTGTTTCTACACAAGCAGTGGCGCCACTCGTCACCTGATGATGCACATTTGGGGCTCGAGAGAGCACTGAGTCATGATTTGATAATATCTTTGTTCATGATCTTACTCGGGGACATTTCCTGTAAAAAATTAGGTCTGATATAGTCGATTACTACACTGAAAAGGATCGAATGGCTGTTGATTCGGCCCTCCGATAATAGGCGGAACATAACCGGCAGATAGCACGTGATTCATAATTAGTCATGTATGATGCTCTCCTGATTCAGCTGACTCATCCGTATCTTTCCCTTTCCGATTTCCTTTTCCTTCGGACTCCGTCAAGATAAGGAGTTGAATGACTATCAGACTGTACTATCAATCTGTCTTCTTTCCCTTGCTTGGCAATACTTGCTTTCTTTCCTTCTTTTTGACCTTTTTTTCTTAGGATAGTGAAGAAATATTAGTGAAAAAATTTAGTAAAAATACATACCTCAGAAATAACCGATATGGATCTATGATCGCTCAACAAAAGAACTTGTAGATACTTCGTAGAAACGTTATTGTCAAATCCTCCATTGAAACCCAAAAAGAACCATAGAATCCCATCCGTGGACTGTTTGATGAAATGTGGCTGGTACGGATGGAGCGTGCGTGGCTGGTGGGGGGATTTCTCTGGTCCAGAAAGAACAGAAAAAAGGAATCAATAACGGCGATGTGGACTAGAATGATGACTTAAGATTTCTATGAAAGAAACCCCCCTTTCCTGTTGCAGTTTGATTGGTGTTTGTTATGTTTCATCTACTACACCTTTAACAACTTCTTTTCTCGACTTTATCTCTCTTGTCAAACTGGTTCCTCTGTCATGCTTGCGATGATCCCACGTTCTAATCAGAGAATCCAGCCCCCCATCTAAACACCATGGAATCCTCCCCTTTGACCCAGCAAAGTAGACCCGAGATCTTCAAGCCGAAGGTTGTCCAACTATATGAGAAACTATTCCAAGTGCGCACATTCCTCTTGAACCCTCCAGTGATGTAGTATTAATTCTTCCTAGACAACCGACTACACAGAACCCTCTGAGGGTTTCTGGAGGGAGTTCTTCCTGTTGCCGCCTGATCGCGCCCAGCTTCATGCGGTTCTAGAACAGCTTAGTCCCGATGATACTCTCACCCTCCAGGTATGTTGCTTATCTCATAACCTAATAAATGGATATCGACAACAGAATAAACTCAATTCCAAAATTTGTAAGAAGAAGAAAAAGGCACTGACTATATCAGAACCAAACCCAACAACTCTTTGCGCGTGCCATTCGCGAGGCTGGCTCCGGCCCCAACCCAGTCAATTCTTATGCCTTAGAGGTAAGTGTGTCTTATGCTCACTACCTCTTCATATCAGCCTCTAAGCAGTTGACGGTAGACTTTGACGGTCTTCCTAGCCTGTGTCTTGAAGAAGAAATACACCAACCCCAGCTCCGACGTCATCACGGTGCTTGCTGGTCTCGACGATGTTGACCACGTCATCTCCAATTTTGTCGCTGTACTCGATACGGTCATTCGCAATGGCAGTAGCCGTAAGTTTCTTGCCGATGGGCGCCATTTCTTTGCCAGTCAGACTAATCATCCCTAGTTGATCTCCGGATCAAGGGTGTGCGGGTGGCGACGGCGATGGCCAGCGGAGCCTACAAAACCAGCCTGGTCTCCTACTTTACCCATCGCGACTTGTTCCCCTCGCTCATGAAGGTCCGTATAGAAGGCCTCATCTTCGAATTGGCATTTGCAGAATCTGACTTTTATTCAGCTTGTTCAAGACTCTGAGACCCCTTTGCAAGTCTTTGAGCCATTTCTTCTCCTGGGACTTCTGGCAAACTACAACAAGTTTGAATTCCAGAATCCCTATCAGCTGCGGCTCGATGACTTTGTCAATGAAGCGAGCATCCAAAAGATCGTGAAGGGGGTCGGTCTGTCCTGTGGCGCTCTAAGAAACGGCTATGTTGCCGTGCAAGACGACTCTCCCGAAGGATGGAACCTTATCAGCACTCTACTCTTCTTTGGCCTGGGGGTACTTACCTCTGGCAAAAAGGGTCGAACCAGCCCACCCAGTGCAGAAGAGGCCAAAGAAATCTTCGCGCAGCTGTAAGCCTTTTAAAAATCCGGCTATCCTAGCTAGTAACCCACTCCTAACAAACTTCCAGTCCGGCCAAGCAGGCTGCTATCCTTCTGGCAACCTACGACTTCACCAACGCGAACAAGCTTTTTGGCTATCACTTGGTCACAGCGGCCCCGGAGAAAGAGAATGAGGAATCTCCGTTCGCAAGTTTCCTCTCCCTGACCTCCTATCTCTTGCACCATGCATATCGCTCCCCGCGGGTCGGACAGTACGCCGAACTCAACCTCTTCGTCCTCCGCATCCTCACAGAGGACTCGAACCTATGCAAGCAGCTCTGCAGCGAAGACACCAAGCGAAAGATCCGTCTCTGTCGACAGCGCCAGCCTTATCTCCCCGCGGTGACTGGGGAAAGGGTCCTCGCCACTGCAATCTTCGACATCGTAATCGACACCCTTTCGCACAACCTGCGTCGACGCCTCGACGTCAACCTCTACAGGTAAACCCACCCATCCTCCCATCCTTCCCTCCAACATCAAAAGCCTAACCCATCCACCCAGCCAATCCATCGCCATCCTCCTCCGCCTCTTCACCTACCTTTCAATGAACAAAATCCGCCTCACATACCACTGGTCCGAACTCTGGCGCACCCTCCTCTCCCTCATGCGCTTCCTCACGACCTACGCCTCCGACCTCACCAGCCACCCGCACATCGAAACCCTAACAACAACCCTCGTCGACCTCGTCGCCTTCTGCGTATCCTCAGGCGACACCTTCCTCCCGGACCCAACCTCCTACGACGACCTCTTCTACAAGCTCGTCGAAACAGGCCCCATCATCGTCAAATTCCGCGACGTCTTCTCCCTCAAGGGCCCCTCAACCGCCAAAATCACGGACCCCACCCCGCCCAAGAACGTCCACGTCGCCGCCATCGACACCCTCATCTCCGTCTCCTCCCACTTCAACACCCTCCTCTTCAACACGGACCCCCACAGCAAGGGCGACGACGCCTCGGCCGAAGCCGCCCCCATCCCGGCTACGCAGAAGAAGAACCTCAGCCCGCGCGAGGTGCACAAGATTATCAAGCAGGGGTACGACACGCTGAGTATCCAGCCTCCTGATGGGCTGAGCGCGTGGACGCGGTGGAGAGAGACGGACTGGAAGCCGGATTTGAAGCGCGTGGCGCGGTGTGCGGTGGATGATGCGAGGGATTTGGTTTCTTGATTTTGCTGTATCTTCTTGTTGGCGAGAACGTGTGAAAGTTGAGACGGGGGTGTGTGTGTGGCAGGTCCTGCTTATTTTCTAACGCTTTTGCATATACGCATATCTATTCTATTTCTTTGAACTGATTCAAGCTTTTGTTCTATTCTGACTGTATTTTGATTGCGATTTCTGCATTTCTCCTTCACGGCTGCTCGGAACTGGAAGGAAAATTGGATGAAAGAATAGAAGAATCGACCCGTAAATATTCGCCTATCCCTAACCTAGGTAGTGATACAATTTGCCCGAATCTCAAGTGCTCGCGATGCTCATGCTCATAAAGTGACCAATAAACTACCACAGGGCTTCAACGATAGAAAACAGAACTTCACAATAATTAGACGACGAAAAAAAAAGGACATGCCCCCAAGGAAAGTTCTCACATCAAACCAGGCGCGAGGTAGCGGTTCCAGGAGTGGGATTTGCAACGCCCCGGGACTTCTCGATGTACTCGTTGCTTGCCGTCATGTACCTGGTCGCGAAGTACTGGCTGTTGTTTTTGCCGAGCCAGATGGTGAACTTGGAGAGTTCCTCGCGGAGTCGATTGGTGGACTGGAGGTCCATGTTTGTCTGTGCGATGAGCTCGGGCATGGTCGCTGGGTTGGCATTAGCGACAATTCTACATCAGAAACTGGGATACGGGGGAGGAAACATACCGAACAGTCGCGTTAGATGCTCCGCGCCATAAATATCAAGCGGGCCTTTATCGGCGAAATCTCCGGACCCCTCCTCCCACTTCTTGCGGAGAGTGCGGTACTGCTCGCGCTCGAATCGGTAGAGAAGGATTTTGTCAAGGGCTTTGTCAAAGTACTCTTTGATGCCCACGACGACTTCTTCGAGCACGTCCAGATCAGCGGAGGTTGTTCGCTTGGGCTTTTCTTCCTTGGTGTAGTCGTCAAGGATTTGGTTTACGGAGGCCTTGGCCGGCAAGGCCACAACTTGTTGGTTCTTGGTCACGTTCTCCCAGTCGTCGACGAGAAGAGACTTTAGGTTGTCTGGCATGACAATCCTTACTGAGGGCCGCACGTAGAAGTTATCCTCCTGGAAAACCGTTAGCAAAGATGTTTCAATTCAACTCTTTTCAGGCATTACACGGCTCGCTTCTTTCCTTCGCCACCACACCCGGCGACAAAGAACGCCCAAGGAGTGTGTGCAACACAGAATAGAGTAAATGGGGGTAAAATTACCTTTTCGATGTCATTTTCTCGCGCTCTCTTCGTACCACGTCCAGGTACGGACATCTGTCTCTCCTCACTTCCCCGCGCGGAGCTGCGGTCGGATTCACCTCTCTTCTTCATGATTGCTTTGGTGGGCTTCTGGCGGAAAGCCGCCTCAGCCTCGCGGCGGAGGGTTGTGGCTAGCTCCCTGTTTTCGTCTGTGAACTTGCGCAGACGATCTTGGGGCACCCAGTCATCCCATCTGGTAGAGTCAGCTAAGTTCACGACGTACTCAATATGGCCTATATAGGGTCCGGTTTGACGCCAATAAGATGCAAGATCTCCAAAATTGAGAATGAAGATGGCGTGATAGTGGTAGACAATGGGGTAATACATACGTGTTTTTCCAGCCCTTGTAGTGTACAAGGTATTCATATGGACTCTTCCGGTCGTCGGGGTCGGTATGCCTCAGGTCAAGGATCTTCGCCTCGTAGAGGATCTCATGATGAAAGCAGAGAACCTTCTCATCTTTCTGGTAATGCATTTGACTTGCTGGAGCCATGTTACCAGCCACCGCAATACTGCTGACGGCGATGGCAAAAGGAGGTATCACTTCACTGAGAGGTGTCCAACAGCAGCAGAAAACCAATAGGATAAGATCCTTCGGCCTCCGAACGCGCGAGGGGCAAAGCTTTTGAGATACAACCAACAGTGAAAGAACGGTCGATACAAGGACGAGCAGCCAGGTATATAAATGCAGTTGCAGCAAGCCTGTCAACGATGCTTCCCGTGACAAGCAAACAAGAAGCGGGTTTTGTTATCTCCCGGCGTTCAGCGCAGCCCGTGAATAGGGTGGTCTTGATGTCCCAATTGGGCGATACTAAGGTATTCGTCTGGCTGAATGCTAAGTACTATAGGAGACTCCCTACAGAGAACTGGTGGCGGTGACAAGAAGATGGAATGGTGGGTGTGTTGGCGAAGAGAAAGGAAGAGGCCAGGAAACGGAACAAAGTCGACGCGCGCGCCCTTCAAAAAACGGCAACTTAATCAGTTGGATCTCCCGCGCCGACTGCCTCATCCAACTTCAACTCCACCTCCACATTTCCTTGATTCTTTCGGCCTTCCATTTTCTATCGATTAATCTCCCCATACTTTTTACCTAATACGGCTACTGTTCCACATAACTAGGGGCGTACTTTCGGGGAAAGTACGGTTTTTGAAGACCCATCTCAAACAAGTAACATCAAATATCTTCACTCGCCCTGATCCATACGCGTTCACTCAACATCTATTTTTGTGATCCCTCGGTTGTCATCATGGCTCCAACCGAAGCTTCTATTCTAAGCAAATTTCTGCTTTCCCCGGCTCCACTGCCGACAGCGATCTCGCTGCAGCAGTTCACAGAGCTCTTTCCAAAGCGACTACGAGCTCATCCGCACATCCGAGTTCTCTATCGCGAACTGCAACAAGTTCGAGAACAAGACATGGATCTAGTCAATGAAAATATTGACAAGGAACTGCGACAAAGTGAACTTCAAAAAGCAGAACTTCGCAAGTCCCTCATGCGCACCGGTGTCGACGGAATGAGCATGGATGACCAGCGCGAGATGGACATGGACGTCCAATTGTTTGGTCAGGCGTCTTCGGCCGGCCCTGGCGACTACCATTCAGCCTCTAGCTTACTCTCCTCCATGGAGGCAGCATGCTCCAGTATCGAGCAGGAGATGGACGAGGTAGAAAAAGGCGCAACTGCTATTGTTTCGCAGCTTAACACCACTGTTGGGGAGCTGAGCGACCTGCGGTACGGGAAAATGCGCGCCTCTGTAGGGGCTACGGATGAAGAGGTGGTGCAAGAGGCTATCAGTGGTCTTCAAAATCTTGAAGACGCCTGCTATCGCAAAATGGCCCCTTAAGATACGACCCGAGTTGGACTACTGGTTCCATCTAATAAGGTTCCATCTAACCTTCGACTGGCCTACATACGCAGTACACTTGACCCATATCCTCGCGGTCCACTAGGACTCAGGCTCGAGAAGAACTTGTTGCAAGATAGGTTCCATGAGAACCACTATCTCAGGATTGGTGAAAGTTGGCTTTCGACTGCCGTTGGCATGTGAGATCACGGCCCATATCTTTGATGGGTCAGTGGCTCCCTTGAAAGGAGAGTGTGCATTATCTGGACAGGGAGAAATGCCACATGTGGATAGCCCGTCTTCTCTGAAGAAGTGCGAGAGGGTCCAAAGATGAAGCATCTCCTAGAGGTCGTCGTACTGTGCTTGCATTAAAGATGGTATGTAGTGATACATATGGGAGGCCTCGATTGTCCCTTCCACCCATCACCACGCCAATCAGAGACTTCATTTTCGTGAGTCTCGCTATTGGTGATTGTGTCTAAACTCGCATCAAGCAACCCACATCAGCGGCGGCCGTCAACTTCAATAATAATTTCATATCATTTTCTTACATAGCACCACATTTGTTGTTGACCATCACGTATTGGAAGGTTTCGCACTATACTATCCTTGTATCGGACCATCAGGCGGTCGATATAATGCTTATTGCATACAGATTAAACAATAGTGATCTTTGATAGGCAGTAGCAATATATTGTCATCAAGAGTTTTTATTATGTATATATATATAGTTCTCACCTCCAAATGTTTGAATTTGTAGATTATGACGCGAATCAATAACAATGCGAATACAATACGAACGAGCTAATCATGTGTTCCCCAGCAAAATAGTTGCATGATTTGACATGAGCCTGGTACATTGGTGCGCCTAGCAGGAATTCATTAACTATCGCTTGATAGGACAGCCAAGGATCTTCCGCAGACGCGCCGAAGCCCGCACCCCAAAATTTGCGACCCCGCGACCTCACCACGCGTAACAATTTAGCTTACCACCCTCTACTTTAATCACTTTCGACGATCGACGCGCCTTTAAATCCGCTACCTGTTTGCGAAATTTGGAAGTCTCCATCTGAGCGCCAACCCCAGCCAAATGCCGTCAATTCCTCTTCACCCCCGCGCGTCTGTGACGCGTTCCGCCGCGGACAATCCCCTCCCTCAACTCCTCCAGACACCTTCCGGACTCGCACTGCTAGAGCTCCAGGGCACAATAAACCTACCAGAAAATGAAATCGATTTTGAAGAACCGAACAGCGGATCCGGAACTAGCACCACCTTTGAGACCCCGGTTGGAAAACTCATGTTTCCAGACTACTCGCCGCAAACCACCGCGCCCGACGACACGGAATGGATGAAAAGGGTTTACCTGTACGTCGGAAGATACCAGAGGATGACGGGGGAGGTGAAGAAGCTGCCGAACCCGTTTGCAGTGGTACAGCGACGTCAGCCGCAGGCCGAATCTCATAATGCTCGAAACGCCGCTGACGGCATCTCCGAGGAGCTGGAGATCGTCGAGATCGTGAAGTTTAAAATAATCTTCAAGAATCGACCGGAGCCTGTCAATGATAATTGACGAAACCGGTCGTACTTGCAGAGAGGCGACGAGCTGAAAGCTGAAGAAGGGATTTGAATGGCCGTGGGCCTCGCAAGTCACACATATGACTGAATAACAGTGTCATGGCGGTAACCGATGGGTTACAGAACTTTATCTATCGAGCAGGTCTATCCGACCGTCGTCTGAGCGTTCTTTTCGACACCGTCATGATGCGTCGCACTGAGGTCTCCGCTCATAGGCTCGATCAACAATCGACTACTGACTGTTCCAACATTATATGAAGTGGCAATCACTTGCATAAATGCTCAAACACAGGCTGGATTTGGTCTCTCCACCTGAGCTGTGGGTTCCACATCATCGAGCAGGATAGTCGGGTTCAAAACTGGGGTGGACGCCCTACGTCTAGCACAGATATCGCAACGAGGTCCAACATATGGCTTCATGATCTTCCATCTTTTATCTTCACTTCGTTCCCAAGCGTGCAGATATGTATACTGAAAAGACTCAAGAGGATATTTTCCCCTCCAGCTTTGGGCCAGAATACGTCGGCTTTGACCATATCACTTGGTATGTTGGAAACTCCAAGCAGGCAGCATCATACTATGTGAGCCGTATGGGATTCGAGCAGATTGCATATTGCGGCCCCGAAACTGGATCCCGAACCATAACATCTCGTGTGGTATCCAATGGACAGGCCGTCTTTGTCCTCAGCTCACCTGCCTGCGGTCTGTCAGAGATAGGAGTCGATATCTCGCGAAAAGAAAAGGCTGTTCTGACTGAAATGCACGATCACCTCACCAAACATGGCGACGGAGTCAAGGATGTCGCTTTCCGTATTACAGGGAAAGTTGACGATGTCTGGAGGCGCGCAGTGGACTGTGGCGCACGGCCAATCGTATGCCCGGTTACTCTACGAGATGGCAAGAATGGCTCGGTTAAACTGGCCACTATTGGAGCATATGGCGATACCGTACACTCGCTGGTAAACCGGCAGCTATACACCGGTCCATTCTTGCCTGGATACGAAGCGGTATCCGAAGAGGATCCAATAAATAGCTTACTGCCTAAGATTGACTTTTATGAAATCGACCACTGCGTTGGAAACCAACCTTGGAATGGAATCGACCCAGTCGTCAGATAGTAAGCCAACTCGCGTCTCCCACGAGATTCACATCAGTCTCTGACGAACAGTGGCATAGCTACGAGGAATGCTTGGATTTCCATCGCTACTGGACCGTGGACGATTCCAACATGTGCGGCGATTACTCCGCCATGCGATCCATCGTGGTGTCTTCCCCTAACGAGGTGATCAAAATGCCCTTGAACGAGCCGGCACCGGGCAAGGGGAGGTCACAGATTGGGGAGTACGTATCCGTACCCCTTCAACTTCAAGAATTATAGTTCTCTGCAGCTAACGGGTCTTCAGATTCGTCGACTTCTACAACGGCGCGGGCGTCCAGCACATCGCCTTCCGAACGCACAACATCGTCACAGCAATCACCAATCTCCGGGCGCGAGGGGTGCCATTCCTGCGCGTTCCACATGAATACTACGTCGACCTTCGCCGGCGACTATCTCAAGTGGAGCTGAAGCTGGACGAGGACCTCGACCTGCTAGAGAAACTGAGCATCTTGGTGGACTTTGACGAAAAAGGATACTTGCTCCAGATATTCACCAAGCATGTCTCGGATCGTCCGACGGTGTTTATCGAGGTGATCCAGCGCAACTGTTTTGATGGATTCGGGGCGGGGAACTTCAAGAGCTTGTTTCAGGCTTTTGAGCGGGAGCAGGCGTCGAGGGGGAATTTGTAACCGTATCTGTCTAGTCATCAGTTGTTCTATTGAAGTATGAGTCTGCCGTTACATTCAGTCTCCGTGGACACCCAATAAAACAGTAGCTAAACAAACAACCAATACAGTGGATAATGAAGAGCAGACACGACCATTCCGCAGCCAAGCGGAAACAGCCCAACCGGACCAATTCCGCACCATAAAACGACGGACAAGCTACACACCCGCGAATATCCGGCCCAGCTCAACCAAAACTGACGCCATCCACCTATTGATAAGCAAAGACTGTCAGCAGTGAGATGGTACTCACGACAGACTTCTTGGTACCAGCAGCGTATTCAAAATTATTGATCCTAGTAAAAGAAAGGTAGGTATGTAGGTACGATGGGCGGAGTATTCACAAAAACAATCCATTGTTATCCTCGGAGATACCCCGCACAGAGCCGGTCCGTCCCCACGCTCAGTATAGGATCCTACTCTAGGTATAAAGCCAATAGTAGAAGATGCCCTCGTAAACCTTTTACCCCATCCCTATTGCTTACCATCCTCTACTTCTTATAACATCTGCAATTTTACTGCCTCACACCACCACTTGGTATCATCCCACCTCAACTCAACTCAACACCAACACCGCAGAACAATAAAACAACAAAAACAACAATGGCTCCCATCGAACGCATCACCCTCTTCAAGATCCCCAACGAAGCGGACCGAGACCGCGTCTTGGAGCAGTACAAGGTGCTTGCGAAGACGGCTGTTAAAGTATGCCTTCCTTCCCTTCCCTTCCTCTTCTCTTTCCCCCGTCTTTGCTGCAGCAAGTATATCCATACATACCTGCATTTACTGCATGTACTGCACACCACACTTCACCTCCCCACCTCCCCACCTTACCAGACCAACCAACGACGAATCGAGCGTCCCCTCTCCAGCGTAAAACAGAATGCTAAGAACTATGACGATATCTAGGACGGAAAACCCTACATCACCTCCGCAGCCGTCGGAGTCTCCTTCCCGGACGTCCGCAACAAGGGGTACAACATCTCCGTGAAGACGACGTTCGCGTCGATGGAGGATATGAAGTTCTACGATGAGGAGTGCGAGGCGCATAAGGATTTGAAGAAGATTGCGGGGCCGGTTAAGGAGGATGTTTTGACGACTTTTTATGAGAGTATTTTGTAAATCTTTTTTGTTTGGGGGGGGGTTCGATTTCTTGTACGGTGTGACGATATTGGCGATGGGGAGATGATGTATATACTGGATGGGTTGGCTAGACATACAATTCTATCAAGACTGATGGATTGATTGATTGATTGACTGACTGATCGATTGGATAGTCGAATAACACCTATCTTTTCGTGATATACACTGCGTGCAAGACATACTGTCCATGCACATTCAGAAACACATTGAATAATGCCCAACAGGCCGACAGAACAAACAAAGGGGAGATAGAGATAAATAAAAAAAAGCACGCAAGACAGAAACACCCGCCTTCTAAATGAGAAACACCGACGGGAGGGAGACATTCGTTCAAAGTTGGTCATAGTCAGGAAACCCAGCCCAGGCCGAAAAGCCGAGCTTGGTCGAGGAGAAAGAGGGGAGTGAGTGGTGATACATCAGTGGCGTGATCATCCAGAATCGCGGTGCCGCGCCGTTGTCCAAGATTCGCCGGCTAAATGTACAAACATACACCAAGGGAAACCGGAGATAGATGGTGGCCACAAGAAGGAAAAGCGGCAATCTATCCAAGAGCTTTGCGGAGATCACCCCATTTTTGCTTCAGATTTTCGTAGTTTTCGCTGATCTATATTTCATTGTTAGCTCACTACCCTGCAGTGCCATGTTGGTCGTGGCATAGAAACTCACCTCGGCCCATTGCATCTTTGCCTCAACAAGCTCCTTCTCCATCTCCGCCATCTGTTCCACCATAGACCGGTTCTCGTTTTGCACCTCGATGTTGCGCTTCATGATGCGGTCCATCTCGGTCCGGAGCTTCTCCTCCACCTCCGCAGGCTGTTTGTCACACACGTTCTTGAGCTCCTTCACTTGCATCTTCAGGGCATCGTTCAAGTCGGAAAGCTCTTCGTTCTCAACCTTGACGTGGATGAGCTCGGACGCCAGCTGAACGTGCTCTTTGTCGGATGCCTCCGCTTGTTCTTCGAGCAGGCGCACCCGAGAGCTCTGGGTGGACACGGTATGCTTCAAGCTCTCCAGTTCCACTTCGCGCTCTTTCTCGGTTCGCACCTTTTCTTCCCACTCCGCCGTGTACGCCTTGATCGTCACCGGGTCAAGAGGAATAGCACAGGCATCCTGGACCAGGATGTCCGCACGATAGATTTCCTTGTCGGCAGCCCCCGAGCTTCCAAAAAATCCATTTTCCAGGATGGATGACGCCGAAGGTTGCTTGTCGATGTAGACATCGAACAGGCGCTCTTTCAGGAAGGCTGTCAGGGGCGTCATGTCCTTCATGCCCAAAAGAGTGTCTGCGTTGCGCCGCATAATGGCAAGAGCGAATTTCAGAATGGTGCTTTCCAGACCCTCTTCGAATATAAGATCGTAGATGCGAAGAACCAGCTGCAGGGGGAACCGATAAGCGAACAGGGTGAGGAACCACTGAGTCGCGTACAATTGGGGGTTGACTCCGCGCCGGTGAAGGTGACAGCAGAGGGCCGGCTCCAGGTCCTCAAGGAGTCGCTCAAAGAGGTAGAGGGCGCGATGGAGACCTGGCATATCCTGGATGAACATCTCACGCAATCCGTATTGGTTCATGAGTTTCGTCAGGAGGGTGAACGCCTCCACCTCGTCCATATTGAACAGCAGAGGCATGGCGATGAAATTCATGCCTTGGGCGTAACCGACCGCTTCGTCGTAGAGAGCGTAGGCTTTGCACAGACCGAAGAGGCCTTCCTGGTTGCCTTGCGACACGAAGTAGCGGGAATAGCTCGTGCGTGCACCCAAGTCGCGCCGAATGACCTTCTCCAGTTTTTGAAGGGCGGCGGCTTCATCCTTGGCTTTCTTCGCTTGCTCCTTGGTCAGCTTCTCAGGGTCGGCCTCCCGGGTCGGGCTGGGTGACCCGTTGACCGAGTGCGCGACCGACGGAGAGCGTTCAGAGCGAATAGACGAGCGTGACGAAGACGCCGTCGAATTCTCGTGGGCGGTGCCGTTGATGGAGTGATGCCTTTCCTTGTCCGTACCGCGCGCGACCAATTCCCTGTACAATTCTTCGAGACCGGGGTTTCTGCTGTCAGCCAGGACTTGCCAGATGACCCCGCGAATGGTTTGCGGGATTCCCCGTTTAATTGCCGCGTTCAAATCGTCCGAGTTGGCACCCTTCAGCGCTTGGGCGCCGCCGTTGACCAATTGCTGCCAGAGTTCCCAATCAACGGGCACTGACGCATCGGTCGCAGAAGTCGAGAAGCCCGAGACCGTGCCCGGGGCAAGATTCGGATTGACAGTGGACGATGTACTAGGGGGTGATGTTGCCGAAGTAGCGGCCGGCGATTCATGCCCCTCTTCGGGAATACTGGGAGGCGGGCTTCCAGCGGAGTGACTGATGCTGCCACGTCCAGACGTGACACTCCCATCGTCGGCTTCCGAGACCTGTTTCTCCTCTCGCATGCGCAACTGCTTGAACTGGTCTTTCAGACTGTTCCGTCTTGGTCTCCCTCTCTCCCCATCTTCTGCAGCCATCTCCAAGTTGCTAAAGACCGTCGATTCCGAGGCATTGGTGTTTCGGCGGTCTGTGGCTGGAGGAGATTTGACTTCTTTGCCGCCCGTGGAGTTCCGAGAAAGCCAGGCAAATGGACCGGTCAGTTTGCGCGCCGGAGGCGGCGGCGGCGCGGCTGGTGGGGGATTCTTGTTGACCGGAGGAGGGGCCCACGGGACCGAGGGGAGGTTGTTGGATAGACCTTGAACACTTTGGGTCGACGTTGAGTCCCTTGACGGCAAAGGCGGGGGTGAGACTGGTTTGGCCTCCTGGTGCAAATCGGGATCTTCGGGGGATTCTCCGTCTTTATTACCGCCGGCTAGGTTCACTTCGTCAAGGGATGTGGTGGATAGTCGGTGAGCCGTCAATAATGGGGACTTTTGCGGTTTGTGATTTGGGTCGCGGGGCGTTTCCGCTTCCGACACTCTGTCCGAACTAGCATCATCCGTTGCTTTCTCTTCGGCTTGTTTATGCTCTTCCTGCGAGGCGGATGTTTGAGGAGAGGGAGCGTCAGGGAGTTGCGGGGTCTGGCCCGAGCCACTAGGCGAGCTGTCGGTTAGAGAGCGCGTTGATGACCCCTGGGGAATTGAAACGCTGAGGTTGCTGTGGGACTGAGGAACTTCGGAGGCATCGTCGAAGGTCTCCTACTCGGAGCGAGAGAAGATGGATTAGCGTTTGTCCTCTTTGGCATCCTCGCGCAACCGGAAGGCGAGCGGAGTCACTCACCCCATCGTAATCTCTGCTATTCCGTTGAGACATGGTGTGTCGGTGTGTCGGTCGCGCGGGGGGTATTGCGCGGTCTAGAATTCAATCTGCGGGATATCAAGCCGAGGTGATAAGCGAGGCTGTAGCGGTATGCGAGATCGGGACGAGATTAGATCAATGGACAGGCCATGATACGGAACACGGGAGAATGTCAAAAGAAAGCCAGATCGCGAAAGCCACCGGTGTGGATAAGAGGGAAAAGGAGAGGTAATAGGGAGGAAGGGGAGGTTGGATGGAATGAGGACCCAAAGCCACCAGGGGAATGAGCCGTTCGGAAACTAAGGATTCCTGTTGAACGCAAGTCTGGCCAAGCAGACGAAGTAAACAAAATCCGCAGGTATGACGAAACTATAGAAACGAAGAAGAAGAAGGGTCACAACAAGAAAGGACAAGTAAAAAACAAACTCTCCACCAGAAGGTTGGAGACAAGAGTCCGGGGAGAGGGAGGGGAGGGAGAGAGAGGGAGAAGATGAAAATGACGACTTCGTAGGGAGCCCAAGAGGAGAAGAAGGGGAAGGAGGCGGGCGGAGGAGCACCAGCTGCGTATTATTGTTGTTCCTTTGGGATGGATTCTGGTCCAAAAGCTTTCTGGCGGGTCTCGACCCTGGGGAAAGATGTAATTCACCAATAATCATCCCATCTACATAGTGATCAACCGTTCACCATCAACTGGCCAAAACTTCCAAAAAAAGAAAGAAAAATCCACCGTTCCCCTGGATGGACGTTTATCCCAATAGGTGGGGAACTTGGATATGGTCCGGATTGCTTCTTCTTTTTTTTTTTTCCACAGTCTATTGGCTACTAATAGAGTATAGGGAAATAGTCCAATGCTATCTCCAGGGGGACGCCACCTGTTATTCTGAAACTGACCCGGAAACCTCCTTCCACTGGAGCCAGGAAGGGCCCCACTACCTTTTCAGTTACGATCATCCATAGGATCATTATTTATGGTAGTTATAATGATCTATTTATATATAATATATTATCTTCATTTTTATGTTGATTTTTTGTTCTATATATACGTGTGTGTGTGTGTGTGTGTGTGTGTGTGTGTGTACATATGAGAGGAAGAAGAAAAGAGAAAATGTTATGCAAAATGCGCCGTGCGGGAGTCTACAGATGGGAGGCAAGGTCCAATATCATCTGCACAGTTGCTGTTCAAAGTCAAGCCACCGTCCGCGCCTTAGCGGGTCTAACTTCTTCAGTTCCGACAGCCAGCCCATGATCTGTTGTTGGTCCTCGCTGTGCATCGTCCCTTCAACCTTGGTAGCCAGCAAGGTGTAGTCAATGAGGGCCTGGTAGATATATTTGCAGTCCTCCGCTCCATCCAGCATCTCCTGGATCTCGTCAATCTCCCTGCGAAGGTATTCCACCCGTTCGGCATCACTCAGATTCGGGGCCATGGTGTGCTGAGCGATTGAGGGATCAAAGGTACACATCAGGTTTTGGTGATAGAACCACAATGACTGGTCATATGGGTCGATTAGAGCCCGGTGGATGAGGTCCAGTTCTATCAGGTGTCAGCTGTACACTTTGTGACATACAAATAGTCAACCTTACCATCATCAAGCATCTTTTTCCGTTCCTCATCACTGGCCAACTTCTCGTCCATCAGCCGTTGGATAAGCTTCGTGCGATAATGCCAGGCAGAGAAATTAGACAGATTAGCTCCGATCATCTTTTTCGCGTACTCAAATTCAGCCGGTGCCATGCTTTCTTTTCCCGGTGCGAGATGCTCCAGCGATTCGACAACGAATCGCCGGTATCCCCAGCCATGGAAGTTTCTGCTGTCGAGGCTAAGCATTTTGCCAACAAGCCCCAGCTCTTCTTGCCAGAACCGGCGCGCCACCGGCAGCGGAAGTAGACGCTTGGCTTCCTCAAGGAGCCACATGCGATAGTTCCATATCCAATAGCATTTAGGAAAGCTTCGCAAGAGGGGAATCAAGAACTGCAGGTCATCCTTGATCAGTGCTGCGACCCGGTCTGATGCAGATCCCTCGACACAACTCGCCACTGCCTGTGCGAATTCATGCTGTAGAACTCGTCGCCGATGATTCCAGACTGTGTAGTACTCCGGGTTTTTGCTCAATAACTCGGATATTTTCTGCAGAGTTTCTGGTGTATATTGATGCTCCGCCACCTGTTTGGTCAATTAGTCCACCGTTAATTCTCCACTGGAAACTCAGCTCTAACCTTCTCTCGAACCTGTTGATCTATTTGACGGTAATTTTCAATTTTGCGAAGCTCCTGTTGGCGAACTTCTTCAGACTTCTCAGTCTGTACACTATAGCGGGGGATTCCATGCTGCCCAGCCAATAGTTAGTAGGGGGTGAGATGGGTCAAGACAGGTGAGTGTTTACGCTGGCCATATTGACGCTGGAGAGTATTACTACCGTATCAAACAGTAACTGCGATCATTCAAGGGAACCCTATATGGTTTCTTAGGGTCAAAACCGAGTATGTAGTAAACAGTACGATGGATGATCCATCTGGTTGATTAAATGGGGAAGCCGCTGCCACTTGCCGTATCTGGAAGTATCACGTGGTCTATACATAACGACCATCGCAGTCACCAACCTTCAGTTTCCTCTTCTCCTTCTTCTTCTTCTTCTTCCTCCTTTTCCAAACCATGAGAGGCTATCTTTCAAGCAGTAATTCATACTAGTCTTACCCCTATGGCCTCATTTCACATCAGCGGGTTGGACAATCCGTTCCTTACTCCAGCGTCATTTATCGACTACTGTGTCTGCCCACTGATCTGAAAGAGTGCCCATAGCGATGTCACACGAGAGCCAGGACTCATTTTGGCAGACAGAATACTCATCGGAAGGCTCTGAAGCTAGTTACCTGACACCCGAGCTCACGGATTCTTCGGAGGATGGCGAATCCAAGACCTCGTCCGAACCGCCTGCTACGCCTCCCACCCTCATAGGGCCTGACTTTCGCTCGCGACCCGATATATACACTCCTTTGGCCCTTACTGAGACACCAAACGATAGAAAACTTGCTCCCAAAGTTATTTTCAAAGCAATCAATAATTTCTACGTTGCCAGCGACACATGTCAATCTCCGTCCACGACACACACCTCTTCCCAGGATGCAACTGACCAAGACAGGAGGCGTGCGTTCAAACGGAGGGGAGCCCATATGATATCTGATAGATTCATATCAATGCGTGGGCTCATTGACTCTTTGCCCACACAGTTTCAAGTCGGGAGAAACCCCCTAGAATTAAGCAGCGAGGAAAGGGTCCTGCGGCATCGCCCACTCAGAGAGGACCCTTTCATGCCCACGCGGCCACGAAGACCTCTAAGCAGTCCAAGGGTACCTGTTATTCGTCCTCATTACGGTCCCCATCTTGTCAATGATTTCGCTTTTGGGGGAGGCTGTGGACTAGACGGACTACGCAGACAGATCAGTGCTGGAGCCGTATGGAATGTCGGAGGCTCATCAGCTGCTATAGCGCAACAGCCTGGTGCGGTGTTTGGTGGGACAAACCTGCATGCGAGTGGAACAACCGCCCCGATGCACGCGGCCAGGTTTCTGTCGCCGGCTGCATCAATAGAGAGAGTACAGAAATATCAGTCAAGAGTTGCGCTTGCATTGGATATCGACCCCGCTGCAAGAGTGCTAACAAGTTCTGGAATTTGGCCACTACTTGAGATCACACCGAGTCCATCTTCTCCCAATTACGAACGGCTCTCGCCGTTGGTTTGGAAAGAGAATGCATGGAAGAGGGCAGAAAGGGGTCAATGTAAGTTCCAAATGGGCTAGCCCTTCATTGCCTGTCAATGGTCTCCACGCGGGTCATGATGTTGCAGTGATTTTATTGAATTTGGCAGGGAACAGAAAGTCGCAGGCCACTGGATTCTCCTTTTCACAGGGGCTTTCATGTGTGGTTCAAGAATGTATCAGAGTTGGTTTTGCCAATTATTAGACATACTATGAATGACCCATGTGTATTAATCCGAGTACCGTAATTTGAGGTTACTGACAGTGGAATCACAGGGACGATGAATGGACTGAAAGCAGGCGATGACAGAACAGTGCCAACCCGTCCCTTCCGCATTTTGGACGCGCCCCGTCTGCGAGATGATTTCTATTCATCAACTCTAGCGTATTCGGCTACTTCTGGTGTTCTCGCCGTTGGTCTTGGTAACCATGTTTACCTTTGGTCGGAGGCCTTTGGAGTGCAGCGCCCACCCCTGAAGGACCAACACACCTCCAATTATGTGACATCGCTCTCCTTCTCCTCTGAAAATGGCAGTAAGAGCATTTTAGCCATTGGTAAGCGCTCTGGCATGCTGTGTCTCTGGAGTGTCTTTGAACCGGCCCTGCGGTTTCGGATAGATCATCCGGATACCATCACATGTGTTGCGTTTAAACAAACGAAATCACGAAGGCCTTCAGAACGGTTCCCGCAGGTTGAGGTAGACACAGAGGATCTCGCTGTTGGTGACGACAATGGATTTGTCTGGTATTACTCTGTGGAATGGTCAGATGACGATGTCCGGGCTCAGTATAATTGGCATGGTTCGATGACCTTGCTTGCCAAAATATCTGCCCACTCACAGCAGATTTGCGGCATAGCGTGGTCGCCGGATGGCTCCTATCTTGCAACTGGGGGCAACGACAACACGTGCCTGCTGTTTGAGCTCGAGAAGATCATCCCACGGCGAACTCTTTCAGAGCCTGAGGCTCTAGGGCTTGACAACTCTCGGATGCACAGTAGACGTGACCATACAAATAATCTCCTTCCATTGGCTCGAACCAACAGTGCGCCTCTAGCAACGGCTCTTCTCAACTTTACGGGGAGTCTCATAGCTGGAGAAGGCTGTACGGCCTACATTCCGATGAACTGCCAGAAGCATCGACTCACTCATTCTGCAGCCGTCAAAGCGATCGCCTTTGCCCCATGGAGACCGTCCCTTCTTGCTACTGGGGGTGGATCAAACGATCGAGCCATTCACTTTTATCACACACCGTCTGGGGCTTGTCTGGCTACTATAAACGTCTACGCCCAGGTAACGAGCCTAATCTGGAGCAAGACCCGCCGGCAGATTGTTGCCACTTTTGGATTTGCACAGCCGGAGCATCCTTTCCGAATCGCTGTCTTCGCCTGGCCGAGCTGCGAACAGATTGCTGCAATACCCTGGGGCCCGCATGGAAGCGCCTGGGATGGCTTCATGAACAATGAGTATGGTGATTGCGGACGTGCCCTCAGTGCCGTTAGCTACCCAGGAAGACCCCCTGCGTATATGCTGCGAAGGCTGCGAAGTCAGGATAGCTCATCTTCCCCAGACAGTTCGACCATACTGGAGAGGTTGACTGGGCGGGAGCAAAGCGACCCTGGTGGCCATGCACCTAGCGTGGCAGCTATACGACCCCGAGCCAAAGAGGGTGGCCTATGGTGCTCACGAACCACCGAGGAAGGATGCATTATTGTGGCATCCAGCGACCAGACTCTGAAGTTCCACGAGGTGTGGACCGGCTCAAGGACTACCATGGAAGGAACTGGTCCGTACGGAGGGAGTGAGATTCTCGAGGCACTTGAGGGGTTTGAGAAGCCTGGAAAGGAAATTATTCGTTGATTCTGTTCGTTCTGTCATGTCCGGTTCGCGTTCCTGTAGAGTCAAATTGGTACTGGTGGATCATGTACTTACTGCAACAGATATCATTAAGCTGCTCCACATGGGTCACAACGCTCTTGTCTATCTGTATGAAGTATGACCACAAGGGATAAACGAGACATTGAAATGGTTACACAAGGGGTGGATCTGCACCAGTAAGCTGGACCCTGTATCCATGTCAATCACAATCAAGTAGTTCTCATATATTATATAGAAACCCTGCTTCTAGTGGGTCATATTGCAGATATTATCGAGTGCGTGACTTGTAGACTCACGCATTAATCCTCAAGCTATTCTTGTGTTTTCCCCGCCCTCTTGACTAGTTTTCCAATATATACAGTAGTATCGCTCTCCCTCCTCAGATCGAATATCTATCTACCACACTATCCACCTTCAATCCCACCCCCCCCCCCCCCCTCCATAAATCCAAACCACGAACATGTTCCCCACCCCAACCATCTTCACAGCCCTCCTCAGCACCATAATCGCAGCAACCGCAGCAACAACAACACCACCACCAACAGAACCAATCACCCCCAAACCCTAACCCTAACCGTCCTAACCGCCCAAAACAACCACTCAACCCTCGAATGTTGGGCGCTCGTCCCGGGGTTCGAAAAGGCCACTGAGCCAGGTATATCAGGCACGGCGTCGCTCTCTCTGGGCGCGTTGTCGGAAAACGCGAGCTACACGATGATTCCGCCGCGGTTTGATGGGGGGTTGCATAATGCGCCTGGGTTGCAGTATGATTATTTCCCCCTTTCATTCCCCTCTGTCTTCCTGCTCCCGAAAGAAACGATAAAAAGGAGGGAATTGGGAGAAGGGAGACATTAACAATAGCTGAACGTGAACTAGATGGGTGATTTTCCTCTCCGGCCTAGCACACATCACACTCCCTCATTCAGACGACGAGGCGTGGATTCGCGGCGGAGAGAAGGGGACTATCCTGGTGCTGGATACGCGTGATGTTAGTGCTGAGGGCCATTTCACGGAGTATACGGGTGATGAGGTTACTGTTGCTGTGGAGGTTCCTGTTCGTGATGTGCCGGGGCATCGAGTTTTGCATGGGGGGGCTTGTGGGGATGGGGATGTTTGATTGTGGGGTGAGAGGTGGTGGTTGGGAGGAGGGGGGGGATTGATAGAGTATTTTAGGTAGGTAGTATAGTCTGGGTTGATGGGTTATGTTGGGGGTAAGTCATTAAGGGATATTTTTTTTTGTGACTGTTTGTATAGGGAAGGTTATTTATTGTAATGAGTGTCATTCGAATACACTACATTTATAGATCCTCAAGTAGATGCAAGAATATAAACAGATAAACAGATAACACATGAATATAATAGCAGGGTTCAAGACCCTATTACAGAACAACAACGGAGGGTTTCTTTACTTTTGGTTGGTGATGGATGGAACAGGAAGGGGACAGTGAAAGGAAAAGTGGGAAAAGAAAGGAAAAACTCCGCCAGGTGCAAGTGTAGAAGAACAGGGTATAATCTAATCTATTTCTTTGCCTTGTTCTTCCCCTTTCCTCCTCCACTGCCGCCCAGCTTAGCCTTCTTAGGCGGCGGCCGGCTCGTCACGGCTTCCTCCTCCTCGTCATCCTCCGTGTCGGCGATGAAGTCCGCGACGGAGCCTACGCTGTCGGCGTCTTCGTCGTCCTCGCCCTCGTCCTCTTCAAGCGACTCCTCCGCGTCGGACGAGCCGGCCGACTCCTCGGCCTCGACGTCGAAGATGTCCTGGTTCTCTTCCTCGTCGTCGTCGCTGTCCTCGTCTTCGTCGTTGTCGGACTCTTCCATGCCGGACTGCACGGCGTTCAGCATGGACTCCTCGTCTTCGTCGAAGGTCTGGTCGCGGATGAGCTTGGTCCGCGGGGTGGTCGCGTGCTTCGCCAGGTCGGCGTCGCTGTCCTCGTCTTCGTCCTCGTCCTGTCCCTCAACGTAGATGACGTTGTCCTCGTCTTCGCTCTCGAGGCCCTCGGCGCCACCGCGGATCGACTGTCTCAGGCCGAGCTGCGCGTCCAGCATGTCCAGCTTGCCCTTGAGGAGCAGCAGCGAGGAGAGGCTCGACGAGCGCTGCTCCATTACCTTGAACAGGGTGGCCATGCGCTTGAGGAGTTCCGGGTTGCCGGCGAGGGCGCCGCCGTGGGCGACGCACGTCCATTGCACCCAGACGAGGAGGTGCCCGTATCGGCTGGGTCGGGAGGACAGACGCTCGGCCAGTTTCTGGAGCAGAGTGGCGGCGAGGGACGACTCGAGACGCTGGATGGTGGCGCGGATGATGGACGTGTCGCCGGTGTGGAAGCACGACTCCAGCATGGTGTTGTCGTTGGTCTTGAGGGACTGCGCGAGGACAGTCGCCAGCGAGACACCGGTGGGGATGGGCTTAACAGCCGAGTTCTGTTTGCCGGGCACGAGAGCGCCCATTTGAGCGTCGTCTTCCAGTTCGGCTTCCACGTCGACTTCCTTCGCGGCGTTGGCACGCATCAGGTCGCCGAAGGTCGGTTCCCCTACGTCGTCGCCTTCTTCCTCTTCCTCTTCTTCCGATCCCGAGGCGTTGTCCATCTCGATGTCGCTTTCGTCCTTCTGCGGCCCGTTCTTGGCCTTGGGTTTGCTAGTTTGTTCCTCATCCGAGTCACCTTCCTCGCTGTCGTCGACCGACATGGTATCTTGCTTTTGGTCGTCCATCTCGATATCATCGTCCGCCATGCCGCCTTGCGTTACGTCGGCTCTCGATTCGTCCACATGGCTTTCACTGGCGTTCTTTGAGGCGTTCAGGGCAGTCGATCCTAGTACGGAGGTCGTCTTGCTTCTGGGAACGTTCTTGAGACCTGTGAATGCCAGCTCATCGGTATCTTCGTTGAGCCACTTGATGCGCTCGAAAACAGGGATGGCGCCACCTTCCGCCCAGGCGACAAGCAGATCAGGTCCTTGGAACGAGACCGTCACTACGGGCACAGAGGCGCTCGAACTGTCGGAGCGAATGATCTTGAGAGACGACTCCGCTCGGCGGGTCATCTGCTTTCTCTTCGCTTTGAGACTCGCGGCACCCTTGGCGTTCGGGGTGTCCTTGGGCAGCACAAATGGCCTCGTGAAGAGTTCAATCGTACCATCGTCGGTCACGGCGGCGAGGACTTGCTTCTCCGAGGATGCGGAATCACCAGCCTTGCTAGCGGGAGTGTATAGTGCCAAGGAAGATACTTCGTTTTCAGCCACCAGGTTCATCGCAAGCTTCCGGTTCTGAGGGTCGAAGACATTGATATAACGATCGTTGTCAGAAGTGAGGAACAGCCCCGAAGTAGCGGTTTCACCCGAGGTAGCGAGGATGGTGTGGATGGGGTTCCGCATGGCGTCGAATTGGATGTCGCCATTCTCAACATCAATGATATAAGGAGTCTGCGATGCGCAGATGACGGGAGGGTTCGACGGGAACGGGCGCGCAAGCGTGGAGAAGCCAGAAGCGGACTCGGGAAGGTTGACAACCCTAGAACAGATTGTTAAATGAATATCGAAGGGGATAGTTGGAGAAAAAGTCAGGACTCACTTCGTGCTTTGCCCACTGCGGAGGTCCCACTGCACCAGCTTGTTATCTCCACCAATGCTCCAACCCTCCTGTGCAGGGCGGTTGGCAGTGAACTTGAAGTCCTTGACACCTCTGTCGTGTGCACCGGACAGAGTTCCGACAATCTTGTCCTCCGAGGGCGAGTACATGCGGATATCGGACGAGCTCGTTCCGAAAGCGATAACGACATCTCCCTGCTCACCATCACTCACGCCATTGACATCCGAGTGACGCTTTCTCTTCTTCTTCGACTGCTGATCGCGATCGCGTGACTTCCCGGGGTAATAGCCCCAATCCAGCGAGGTAACCGTCTCCTTCGGCCCTAAGACATGCTCGCACTGCAGCCGGCCCGTATTCGTATCATGTATCCGGAGATGCTGGGCATCGAGGCCTTGGATCACGGACGCGAAAAGCGCCAATTGATAGTCGGACGGCGCAAAGGACGCCTTCAGGATCGACGACTTGCTACTGGTCTTGGTGAGGCCGGAGATCGCGGGCGAAGCAGCGGCGGAAGATTTCGACGCCGGCGGGCGAGACGCTTTTTTGCCCATTTTTGACAGACTGCGGACAGGAAAGAGGGGAGAAAGGGAGAAAAGGAAAGGGACCAAGTGATGCGCACGAGGTATTATAAACAAAACAATTGAAGAAAAAGGAGTTCCTAAAGGAACAGCACCGGGGGTAGAGAGGGGCCTGTCGAAGTTGCAAACCGTCGCCGTCTTCTTGGGCGGTGTTGCTGGGATGGAAAAAAAAAGTTCTGTAGACTCTAGAGCCGGTAGTACGCTTAGCCTGTTTGGGTTAAGTCTCCGCCCAACTTGCTCTCGGTCGGCGTCTTATCTAATCGCTCTTCTTTCTCCTCCCTACGAATCTTCGACTTGAATCCTCCAGTCTCTACTCTTGGTTCATTCGGAATACCATTTGACTGGGTTTCCCATTTGTCTTTCCAGGAATATGGAACAGGAATCTTCTCGGGGAATTTGCAGACATCCACACTGTGGTCCTGATTCCAAGCGTACAATCCATCACAGCGACTCATACATTCCATGCTGGCTCCAGTGTGCTCCGAAATCTCCTGGGTTGACTGCTCCTTCTTGCTCATAGAAGGATATATATATCTTTGACTGTGTCTATTAACCCGGATTGACGGTTGCCTTCCGGACACTCCCAGTGAAACGAGTTTCTGTACCACAAGCAAACAGTCCGGTTCCCTTGGGTTGCGAGACGCCGAGCCTTGTCTGTGTATATGTGGGTTCTCCAGGCATCGGTTTGAATGCGGATAGCCTGCTCGTCACCCGCTGTTACAGCGGATGAGGCTGTGTAGCCCATGTCAACCACTCTGTGACTCATGCTGATCTGTCCTGCGCGATTTGCAAGGAGCGCCAAGTTCATACCCACAAACAGACCAGGTTGACGCCGCGGGTGGAATGCGATATCAATTGACTCGACATCCAGCTGAGCACTTGCTCTTTCCTGCAAACACAGAGCGTCGGCGTCACAGTTGCTCTGCGGATATTGGGTGTGGGCGATAGGCTGAACCGTCGAGACCTTCCCGGTGCGAAAATAGCCAACTACCTCGGCAAGACTACAGAATGGACTAGATCATACAGTGTTGTTCTATCAGTTTAGATAGAGACAGCTCGCCGTCAAGGACAAGTATAAGGTGGAGTGATTGCATCAGCGTTTCCCTGGTTGACTAACCCGGATCTGATTCAAGAAGAGGGTTAGCCCTGAACCCTGGGGTTTCCACTGGTCAGCAGACCACCACATTCTGGAAAGCTCCCAAGCTTCCCAGGGAAATTTATGATGCAGCCTTTTTTTTGGCGTGCCTAATAGACTAACAACATTTCGGGCATGTCACATTTGACTTCACATTGATCAGAGTATCACAATAATTTCGATTGATCTGGTGGTGTATTGATCAGCACAGCTGGTTTGAAACAAGGTGAAAAACCAAGGTGCCAGTATTTTATTATTAGTGTGGTTGAGAATTTCCCCCCCAAAATTTTCTATTCATTTCATTTCTTTTTTATAGCTGTGTCTATCAGCTGTATTTTGTTGTTCCGACTTTTGATGTTCATACAAGGTACAGCTTCATTTTCATTTCCTTTCATTTCGTTTTCGTTCTCTTTTTCTTTTTCTTTTTCTTTTTTTTCAAGTTCCGACACAGAAAGCATGGTACGGAGGACCCACTCAACTACCAGTCACCACGAATCAGAACCACGTACTTGTAGAACGCGTCATACCTCAACCAATCAGCCACTGCGGAATGGCTTGAACTAGAGTGATTGGGATTAGCGCAGCCGATGGAGTTAGCGGCAGAGGACGGACGAGCGCGACGCGGCCGTTCGTACTTAAGGATTCTAGCACCCCGTCCGATTTTCTCAGACTCTGTTTCTGGAGCTGAGCTTGCCTTGCTTATCCATTTTCTCTCTGACCGCCTTGGTGTCCCAGGTTACTCATACCCCTGGACCGCCTTGACTTGTCGCCCCCCTTACAAAGTGACCATCATTGTTATTATTTGGATACCTGAGATCCAACGCGTCATTCGCGTCGCGCCCTCAAATAACCATCCTCTTCCCCCTCCTGTCCAGCCCGGCCCAGCCCATCCCAGCCACCCTACTGCAGCTGCTTAATTTATTTTTCTTTTCGGTCGATTCTTGATTTTCTCTTGACTTTATCTCCTTAGCCTCTGCCGCGGATTTTATCTACCTTTTTTTTTTTATCTTTTTTCTTACCGACTTGACGCAATATCCTCATCGGGAGGATAGATAGCCACTGCTGCCTCAGGCATCCACGCTAACACGTGCCGATCGGAGCAGGCCATCACCTGACCGGCCTGGTTAATTCGGCCATCTTTCCATCTCTGAATTTCCTCGTTTCTTTCCGTCCATTTCCCCCCCGCTTAGTCAATCCACCTTGCCGCCCACGTGACCCTGCATCATCTTCCTTCCGCCTCTTGGCACTATAAAGTCGTGCTTGTCGCATTCTCCACTTCCGACCGCGCTAACCTTCTGTTTGTACCTCTACTCTCTCATCTCTCATCTCTCATCTCTCATCTCGCTCTCCCTCTCTCTTACTCTCTCTCCTATCGCTACAACACCCGTGCCATCGCGATTTTCTCTACAACCTGCGAAGACGATCATCTCTTCTCTGTCTCCTGTCATCTAATCAGGTGTCTTGGCTGCCGTCAGTCTTCGAATCGATTCAAATTAGTTCTGTGATACCACAGAGAGTACTTATTTCCGTGGTTGTTGTTACCGTCATTGCTTCCTAAACCTACCATCACAGAGATCAGCCTCTATCTGTTCCCTACGCGATAAACTCTTTGTATTCTGGTTCCCAGGGAGGTTTCTTTTAAAGCCAGCGACCTCAAATGGCGACCCCGCCTCCCGAGGCACCTTCTGTCCCGAAGGAGGAGAAGCCTCAGCTCCCTCCGTCGCCAAATGGTGCAGCTGATGACGCGACCGGCAAGGGGTACGTGCTATCATCACTCTGCATGGACTAGGTTGGACGGTGGATAGCTGACCATATCACAGTGCGCAGGACTCCGTAACCGATGCGAAGCCAGACGCCGGGACCAATGGAGACCAGAAAATCACCGAGGCCTCCACTCCGGTGAATGGCCAGCTTCCTGAGAAAGCTTCTTTCACAAATGGTGCAAACATGACCACATCCCCTCCCAAGTCGCCTGCTGCCACTGCGGCTGATACTCCGACCCAATCTGCCGCGCCGACCAAGGAAGCCGAGCCCTCCAACCCGGATACTCCTGCGACGGAAGATGCAAAGGAAAAATCCGACGATAAACTTGCGGCAGGCGGATTGGATACCCAAGAAAATGCCAATGCCGCTTCAAAGGTTGCGTCCAAAGACCAGCCTCAGGACGAGTCCAAGCCAACACCATCGGATGGCAATACCACGCAGGTAGAGGACGCTTCGACGGTGAAGACCGCACTACCTCATCACCCCCCGACCGTTGCACAGCCCGGGGGTACTTCGCACGAGGGCACCCCGGGCACTCCGGGCACTCCTAGTAACGATGCTGCGGTCGCGGCGCCTCAGCAGAGTGCTGACCAGGAGATGCGGGATGCGCCGGAAGTTCCGGCTTCCCCTACGAAAGTGTCCAGAGAACGTGAACCCGAACCGAGTGACGAACCCGCCGCGAAGCGCACGAAGATCGGGGGTGAGGACACGGAACCTACGGAGTTCAAGGTCCCGACCCTTCCCACCCCTACCGCAGAAGGACCCGCGAGATTCGCGGTGAATGGCCAAAATGGAATGACCAAGGTCCAGCACAAGTTTCTTCTCAAGGGCATCCAGAGTTTGAAGCGCATGAATGATGCGCGCTTCTACCGTGACCCTGTCGATCCCATCAAGTTGAACATCCCCCACTACCCGACTATCATCAAACAACCCATGGATCTAGGTACCATCGAGCGGAAGCTGAAGGCCAATGAGTACAAGACGGTCCAGGGTGTTGTGGACGACTTCAACCTCATGGTTCAGAATGCAGTGACGTTCAATAGCGCCGACCACCTTGTTTCCAAGGAAGGCGAAAGACTCAAGGGCACTTTCGAAAAGCAGATGGTCAATCTTCCCAAGGCCACCGAAGTGGAGGAGAAGAAGCCCAAGAAGTTTTCCACCAAGACGTCAGCAGCCCGCCGGGAGCCCCGGACCAGTACGGGCAGTCAGCCCCCGAGCCGAGTCTCCGAGAGCTCTCCTCAAACAACAACTTTCGCCTTGGGCCCGGAGGGCCTACCGCTCATCCGTCGCGATTCGACCACGGTCGATGGCCGCCCCAAGCGTTCCATCCATCCCCCGAAGCGTGATCTCCCCTACTCCACGAAGCCGAAGAAGAAGAAGTACCAGTGGGAATTGAAATTTTGCCAGGAGGTCCTGGATGATCTCTACAAGCCGAAGCACTATCTGTACGCGTCACCGTTCTACGCGCCCGTCGATCCGGTCGCTCTGAATATCCCTACCTACCACAGCATTATCAAGAAGCCCATGGATCTTTCCACCGTTCAATCAAAGCTCAAGACCGGCCAATACGAGAACGCAAAGGAATTCGAGACGGACGTACGTCAGATCTTCAAGAACTGTTACAAATTCAACATTCCCGGCGATCCCACCTATCAGGCCGGGCAGAAGTTCGAAGAAGTTTTCAGCGCCAAGTGGTCCCAGAAAGGGCGCTACCTGGAGGCCCATGAACCACACCCAGAGCCCCATAGTGCCTCCTCCTCTGAAGATGAGAGCGAGGATGAAGCCGAGGAGAGTGATGTCTACGATGACGAGAAACTCACCATGCTTCAGAAGCAGATCGCTGAGATGTCACGTCAAGTGGATGCCATCACTCAGAAGAAGAAGAAGACGCCACCTCGGTCTAAGAAGGCTGGGAAAACGGCCAAGTCTGGAAAGAAGGAAATCAAGAAGTCCTCGTCCGTCAGCGTTGGCAAGAAAGACAAGAAAATCTCGTCCAAGTCGACCAAGCCTGAGAAGGAGCGTTGGATCACCTACGGCGAAAAGCAGATCATCTCCAATGGCATTAGTAGCCTTCCGGATAAGAAGATGCAGGAGGCTCTCAGGATCATTCAGAGCAACGTTCCAGCTCTCAAGGTATGTTTTGTTCCTTTTTAGTCTATCGAATCATTTTCTAATCGCTGAAAAATAGGGTACTCAAGAGACCGAGATCGAGTTGGATATTGATGAGCTTCCCAACGATGTTCTGATGATGCTGTTGAGATTCGTCAAGAAAAATGCTCCGCATGTGATGGAAGACGAGGAGGTCCAAACGCCCATTGCGCAACAACCGGCTCCTCCCAAACCCAAGAAGAACAAGCCTATGAGCAAATATGAACAGGAAGCTCAGATCAACATGCTTGAGAGCAATCTGTCTCGCTTCCAGGGCGGCGGTGGTCGTTCTCCCGACCCAGTCCCTTCAGTTGAAGCCAACGAAAGCAGCGATGACTCAGACGACGACTCCGAAGAGAGTGAAGAAGAATGAAGCAGCACGGAGACTGTTTAAAGACAGTTTACAGCGGGGCCCTTCTCCCGACCAACCCGCCGGGTTGGTGGCTAGCTGCAACAGTTCTGTTCTTTGTTCTTGTTCCACCCCTCTCGCGTGCAGTTCCTGTTGATCTCGTAAATGCCTCTGACCACACCAATGGGCTGCTATCATCTTGGATGTTCCCTTCATCTACCCTTCCAGGACTTTTCTGTTCTGTCTCCCTTTTTTCGCTTCCCTTTACTGGTTGTCGGTCACGGTGCTGGGGCTGGGGACACCATCGTGTTTCTTTCCATAACATGGGGGCACTGGAGATGCTTGTACATATTCTATCTTCATTGTGCTCTTAGGCCTTTCCCGAACCCGTGTTTCTGCTTCCATGCCAGGGATTTGTGGCCCCCCTTTCTATTTTATTCCAGATAGCGATTGTCGAGTCTCTTTAGCGCAGCTTTTTCTTCCATCTTCACTCTACGGGTACCTACCTAATTATTGTAAGGAGCGATGATCCAGAACGAGGATCCGATTATGTCCGGCTGCTCTTTTTTTCTTTCTCTTTTTTTTTTTCTTCTCTTTTGAAAGACACGGGAACCTCAGGCAGACAGACCTCAAGTCAGATCCATGCATACATGGACGCAGACCATCACCACTGTCGAACATCGCAAGTGCGAACCGAGCCGCATCTTACGGACGGAATCCCTTTATGTCATCATTTCTCCTTTTCCTCTTTTCCCCCCTTTTTCATTTACTGGGTTTATTTTTTTTCTTATCTTGCGATTTTTGCCGGGTTTAAAGGAAACGAAACAATTAGCTTAACTTAACTAGGGACTGTGCTGTGCTTCACTGTTGTGGGCACTGCATTATGGTGGTGCTTGTCTTTGTATGATTACGAAATGAAATGTGAAAATGGGAGCGATTTTCTTGAGCTTTCTTTTTTGTATCTTTCTTTAGTATGGAACTTAGTTTCGATGGATGTAGATACGTATAGTGATCATCTGTATGGTGGTGGTTTATAGGGTGATTATAGTAAGGAGGTAGGTGGGTGGGTGGTTGGTACTGGGGTGGATGGATGGATGGATGGGTTGGTTAGAGTGGTGATGCTGTGGTTGATTGATAGTTTGGTCGGGGTAGTTAGTCCCTTCGGATAAGGGTGCAATTATGGTGTTGGTGTTAAATGGGTTGGAATCTACTGCGTAGTGGAGAGATGAATACAGCATTCTACTTAGACGATGTTTGGACAATGATTCTGTATATGAATGTAGACAGGTAGCCTTCCAAACGCCACGCTTAAAACAGCAAAATAGCAGTAGTAAATGAGTGAATAAAAGCAAAGGCAGAAAAAAAGGAAGTAGGCAATTCAATCGCCTCCAGAGCTGATCTCTCCCAAAGAGAAATGTCTACCTCACCCGACTCAACAAAGTCTCCAACCCCCGTTCAACAGACAGCTCCGCAGCCTTGGCCTTGATAGCGCTCACCATGCTGCGCTCAAAGTCATCCCTCGTCCGAAGGACAGCCTCGACCCACGATAGCTGCAGATCCCAGTACTCGGTCTTGAAGCTCTCGTAGACGGCAACGAGCGGGGCGCCCTTTTCGGCCTCGAGGAGGCGGACGAGCCAGTCGACGAGGCGCCACTTCTGCTTGATGGTGGAGGCGAAGGAGTCCGGGTAGCGCTGGAAGAAGGCGAAGACGGTGAGGACGTCGTCCTTGAATTTGTCGGTGTAGGGGTCTGCGTGGCGGCGGAATTTGACGCCGCGGTTGCGCACGGAGGAGAGGTAGTTGATGAGGAGCTCGTCGGAGAGTTCCTCGACGAGGATGTCTGTGAGCGAGGAGTGCAGGACGGGCGAGTAGTCGTTCATGTAGTCTTCGAAGGTGGAGGTGATGCGTTTGATGGCGAAGTCGCCGTACCATTTTTGGGTGAAGAATTCGGGGATCGTGGAGCGGAAGTCGACGGCGAAGACGAGTTGCACGAATTGTGACAGGCAGTATGTGCTCAGGTCGACGTAGCCGTCGCGCAGGGCTTCCAGCTCTGGGAGGGCGCGGGAGACCATGTACTTTGGGTCGACGTGGGCAGCCATCTCGAGGCGGAATCGCGACAGGTAGCCCAGCTGGCCGGTGTCGAGGTTGTCGTCGATACAGGCGATCTGGTCGTTGGCCACGGCGATGAGCCAGTCTTGCAGGAGCTGGAGACCGTCCAGCTGGTCGCCGCCGGGGGCCTTGTATTTGGCGCACTCTTCGTCGATGAGGTTCTGCCAGGTTGTCTGGCGGCCCTTGAGCATGTGTAGCATTGCGTCGACGATGCCTTCCACGACGTCTGATCGGGACGAGGCGCCCGATGCGCTGAGCTGTTCGTGAAGCATACGCCACATGTCTGGGAGGGTCCTGGTGCGGAAGTAGCCCTCTGTGTTGGTGTCCAACGAGTCGGGAACGCGGTCCACGAAACCTCTTTTGTCGGTGTCCATGATCCGATCCATCCATTCTTCAACCGCATTGATGATGATGTCCTGCCACTGTCGGATTATTTCGCCTTCGCGGTTGTCGAGAATATTAGGTTGCAAGTCGGCCGCCTTCCACCCGAGCTTGTTCATCTTCTTGTAGTATTTCTCGCACCAGTGTACGATGACGAGCAGATTATCGGGGGGCAGCTCCGGATCGTCGATCAGCCCAATCATAAAATCATGCATCATGCGGTGATAGATATCGGCGTATGTTTTGTATATATTCCACTTCTTTGGCATCAAAGACTGCATGCCCTGCTGAACGGTGTAGAGATCGTTGAAATACCAACGGAAGCTCTTGTCGAGGCTGTCTGGATCACTCAGGAACTGCTCCTTGGTGTGTTCAAATTGGTTCTGCGCGTAGAATTCGACAGCTTGGAGGAACTTCTCCTTGTAGCCTCTGATAGTCTTCGGGCCCACGTTCATGGATTTGAAGCGACCAGCCAAGTCTTGGTGGTCCTTTTGCGCTTCTTGCAGCGCACGGACAGTGTCATCCTTCTTTTCTTCGTTCATGACAACAACTGCAAGACGAACGACCATGCTCGGGTTATCCGACTGCACAAGCGGAATGATATTCATGCAAGCAGTACCCAAGTGATCATCAAACCAATCAATCACAGAATCCAAGCCCTGGAAATACTCCCTGAGGGTGACTTCATCGCCAGTATCCGTCGCTTTGCGAATCTGATCCATCGCCTCATCGCGAAAGTCCCTCAGCCGCGAGATCTGCATATGAGCCCTTAACAAATTCGGCTGATTCTCCAGATCATCGTCATCCTCCTGCAACAGATTCTCAACCTCGGCCAAATTGGTGCTGAAATTCTCCAACCCCTTCTTCATCGCCAGCGTGGCTTCGAAATTCCGCTGTACTTTCGCCAGTTTGTCGATCTGCGAGAAGTCGTCCACGCTGGACTGCGACTCCGCACACAGCTTGTCAATCCCCTGCAGCTCATCCTTCGTCTTCGACACCTGCCGCTGGCCCTCGGTGAGCGCCGTGATGCTGCGCTGGACCGTTTCCAGCTGGTCCCGGAGGCCCTCGCGTAGGTGCGCATCAACGGCGGCTTTCTTGCGCAGGTATTCCGACTTCAGGGTGGTGATTTTGTCGAGGTCCTCGGGGTGGCGTAGAATGTCATCCAGCCGGGGCATGGCCACCGATCCATCTGCGTTACCGACTGGCGCCATGGTTGTGCGAACGTGTATATAGATGGAGGTATCGGTCGGAGGTAGGGAGTGGTATATCCGAACTGCGTGATTGACAACGGGGTCGAATCGAATTTCGTCTGAAGAAAGCAATATTCACTGGAGAGTCCGAAAGGTATGCTAATAAGTCAAAAACCAAGCAATAAGTGCTGTAAAGCGACCCCGATCCGGAGTCGTAGAGTTGGTGACCCCTCTAGAAACGCAGGCCTCGTGAGTCTCCCTCCTTGAAGCAGGGCTTCTACGCAGCCCGCATCCCAATTTCGATTAGAAATGTCGAGATCGGATAGAAACCTCGCTGAGTCTTTCTTCAACCAGGCGTAATTGGCCACAGAGAGTAGAGCGTCAAGCTATAACCTGGTGGGGGTACCGGGTAGGTCGCATCTATCTAGTCGACACACTGCAAGCTGTCGATACCGCCGCAGGAGGCCGCCGGCAGAACCCCTGCACGTGACTCTCCGCCCAGCCAGCCGACCGAATCGGGAAACCAAAAATCCCGCTGCGTTGCGAATAGACAAACCATTAGTTAGTTCTCGCTCTTCTTGAACAACCATACAACAGTCGATCCTACCAACGACAAGACCACAGACGACAATAACCCCTACAGTCCAACACAAAAAGCACACCTCCAACCGCACCCGCGAAAGGCATCAATCCCTCCACCCTATCAAAGTCAAACCTCGAATCCATCCTCAAATCAATCAATCTCCGCCGCAAAGCCCGGGGGGTGGGAAACACACACCCCAACCGCAACAACACCAAACCTCCTCAAAAAAAGGAAAAAAAGGAACAATCCCACCGAAATGAACTTCTTCCGCATAACCCTCACCCGCTCGGCAATCGGCCTCCCGCGCCGAACAACAGACGTCCTCAAATCGCTCGGTCTCAAAAAGCGCATGGGCACCGTCTTCCACCCCGTGTCGCAGGACATCGCGGGCAAGATCATGCGCGTGAAGGAACTGGTCGAGGTCCGCGAGGTGCAGGAGCGGTTAACGCGGAAGCAGATCCATCTGGAACGCAAGCCGGACCCGGGGTATTATGTTGAGAAGAGGTCGACTGCGGAGTTCCTCGAGCAGAGGGGGCAATAGACTGTTTCTTTTCTTCTTCTTTTCTGTTTGATCTAGTGGATTTATTCTGGATGGTTCTTCTTGGGGTGCTGTTATTGCTTGTACAATGCCTGCGCGTGTGTGGGTTTGGCTATGTCCTCTCTTGTCCTGGCCTCTCGGGTTGGGATTGAAGTTGGGAGATCGGTGACTAACGGTTGCTGCTGAATCCTCCTGTCTTCTCACTCTGCCTGCGCAAGACACTCCAAGAAGAATCGCCCCTGCGTTGATTGCATAAAGCGGTGCTTTATTATTGCTTTTCCAAAAATCTTCCGGTGACGCGACTCACGGACACCATGTCCACGCCTTTACTACATGGAACCATTTCTACTGTACTATACTTGTTACGCGTTGCTCATGTCATATTAGAACTCCAAGTTACACTGAATGCATTGAATATGTATGAATCGCATCGTTGTTAAAGATACGCTATCCCGTTTTTTTTGAGAAACGGAGGAGTATGTATGTATGCAACCAAAAGACGCCCCAACACCACCAATCTTCAAACTACCTAGGTATGTTGGCAGCAAGCCTACTAAAGAACAAGGCTTCAGGCGAGGACTTTGTACAGCAGGAGCCCCGCACTCCTTGGATGCTTCGCAGCACGATTTGATATACCAGAGCAAGCACGCTTAGGCCTTGTACAGGGTGTCGAGGAAACCTTCTGCCAGGCGGCTGATGATGCTCTTGTCGGGCATGCTGCCCGCGACACCATACAGAGTAGCGGTGTCACCGCGCTTGATGACATATGATTTACCCTGGCGCTGCCGCTCCTCGGCCCTGGCCAACTGTATCTCGACGACCTCGGCGAGATCCGAGATCAGTTTGTCGACTGCTCTGGCCGTGAGGGCGGTGAAGGCCACATGGATCGCGGGGGGCGACTGGAGGGCGCTGAGATGCCAGCCCTTGGAGGACAAGGCGTCTGCGACGTCGTAGATGTCGATGCCGCCGTTCTGGCTGTCAAAAGCAACAAGGCTCACCATGGGCTTTCCGATGACTCCGAGGTTCGCTTTGAGGACCGAGTTCTCCTTGAGTGCGGCTTCGAATTTCTTCGCGGCACCCACAATCTCAAGGCAGCTGTTGATGTAACCATGTTCGCCGAGACTCACCATACTGGCCCAGCAGCCCGCAATGAGAGCGCCGGAACGGGATCCGGCCACGGACGGGGAGGCGTAGACCCCACCGGACCAATCGGGGTAAATGAAGTACTGGTAACGACGGTAGGATCGGTTGCGATAGAGGACAACGGAGTTGCCCTTGGGCGCGAAGCCATACTTGTGTGTATCCACACTGATGCTCGTCACACCGGGCTGGCGGAAATCAAACCCACCCTCTTCCTCATATGGCGAAGGGAAGCCCGCCTTTTTGAGGTGCGCAATGACAAAGGAACCGAGACAGCAATCGACATGCAGGGGAATCTTGTACGCAGTTGCCAGGCGGGACAAAGCCGGGATATCATCGACCATACCGTGAGGGAAGTTGGGCGCAGATCCAACAAGAAGAACAGTGTTCGGGTTGATCAAACGGCGCATAGCAGCGACGTCAGCCTTGTACTCCGGCGCCGGACAAGGAACGCGGTGCAGCTTCATTCCAAAGTAGCTGCAGGCCTTGTAGAAAGCAGCATGAGCAGTATCCGGGATAATACTATAGTGCATATCAGTAACTGAAGCGAAACCAGCCAATCGACTCCGAAGAAACTCACATTTCAGGCTCCTTGACACCACGCTCGGCATAAGCCTTGTTCCGTGCTCCCAAACAGGCCATCAGAATCGACTCGGTACCACCGCTGGTAGTGACACCAGCGCCATCCGAAGGAGCGTTAAACAGTGCAAGAACCTAGAATCCATCCCGTCAGCCACTCAGCTCCTCATAACATTGCCAGCCCCAGACTAATTTACCATTGCGACAACTTCAGCCTCCATCTTCCGGACACCAGGGAAGACATCCGGGTGCAGCGGGTTCGCGACACCGAACTTGTCAAATGCCTCCGTTTGGACCTTCAGCAAGTCCTTGCCCTCATGGTACACAGCCCCACTGACTCGCCCATCCTCCCACCGCGTATGCTCCATATTAGACAATTTCTCCAGCTCGGCGCGGATCTGTTCGGGGGTCCATCCCTCCTTCGGGAGCGCGAGATACCGGGTGACATCGGGGCCCGTCGTCACGAGCTTATTCTCCAGGCCCTCAATGGCCTCCGACACTTGCTTGTCGACCTGACCCCGGACGCCGGGGGCGCGCAGAAAGACGGAGTAGAGAAAGAGGCGGATGGCGAAATAAACATTTCGGAGACTGCCGACCAGGCCGTAGCCGCGCAAAGAATAGAAGGTCTTGCGGACGTAGCGGAAAACGAAGAGGAAGAATACAATGTTTCGGATTCTATCGCAAACGCCATATGTTAGACATATATTAAGGCAGTCATGACCCCCAGAACGATGCGCGCCATGACTGATCTTCCACCGGCTATCAAAGGCGGGGATGGGCCGCTCTCCACTTACAGGTCCAAGTTCAAGGCAGCGGCGAGATACGGATTCTGAGCTCTTCCGTAGCCCAGCAGCTTATTCTGCAGAGCGACCGGAAGAATCGAGGACGCCATAGTGATCCGACGAGGACTCCAAAATGATATGAATGGCGAAAACCACGAAAACCAGTCCCTAAGACAGGTGATAACAGTACTATAGTAACTGATAGAGAGGAAGTGGGAAAAGAGAGTGGGAGAGTTGAGCGGGCCGGGGAAACGGCTAGCTGGTCGTTAGTCAGTTAGTAACAAGTCTAGCGACTAAGCTGGATAGAACAGGTCGTACGAAAGAGGAAGTTGGGAAGTTCCTTCACCATTTACCGTCTGAGAACTTGGCAGGCCATTCCAACTCCAGGTTTGCCGATGGAAGCAGCCTCGGTTCCCACATGCAATGCAAGGGAACTAATCAGCGTCATTGCATCGCATTCGGTAAGGTCTAACGCTCGCCTTCCACCAACCACATCCACACATCACTGACATATCTACTAGTACTAACCTACACAAGTACTGTACGTGCATAGGGAAGAATCAATTGTTCAATTGAATTAACCTTCCAGTTAATATCCGGTTATGTTGTAAATATCTGTATTTGTGGTGAAATCTTCATATGCAGCGCACTACATACCAACAAATTAACAAGACTACTTATATACATTCTCCCAACACCGGTTTCTTTCCTCTATGGGTTTCTTTTTTTACTCTCGTGAGGGAAAAGGAAAAAAGAAAAACGACTTTTCAAAACCCCGTAAAACGAACCCCAAGACGCGTAAATAAACATCAAATCATGAGAGTAAAACCAACGCCTTCCATACTGGAAGAGATGGGAAACGCATGGCCTCTAAGCTCTGAGAAAACCAGGCTTTCTATGCCAACTGGTGCTCCGTTTCCACTGTGGAATCAAGAACAAAAGCAAGGGAAAGGCACGAAAGATAAGAACGACGGAAATGCTGCTAGACGAAATTGATATAGCGCTTAGCCGATAACGCCGGCCTGGGAAGCCAACTCCTTCTCCTTGGCGTGGAACTGAGCCTGCTCATCAGCCGTGAGGTCCAGGAGGGGCTTGTTCTCGCCCGACTTGAGGTTGCGGTAGTAGGCACGGATGATGCTGTCGGCATCATCGACGGCAATGGGCCGGATGTCGGCCAGAGCCTTGATCTTGGTCGTGCACGCCTTGTAGTGCTCGTCGGTCATCTCGATCTTGAGCTGCTGAGCACGCGACTTGATGGCGTTCCAGCCCGTCAGACGAGAGGCAAAGTGGACATAGCGAGTCATGCCGAAGTCAGCGGGGTTGATGATCTCGTAGGTGCTGGGGTTGTTCAAGATGGCCTTGGCGTGGATGCCGGCCTTGTGAGTGAAGGCACAGAAACCGGTGATGTAGTTGTTGAAGGGAATGTTGACCTCAACAGCCTCGGCAACAAGGTCCTCAATGTCCTTGATCTTCTCCAGCTTGTACTTGCTCTTGACGTACTCGGGGTCGGCAACCATCATGCGGGCCATGAGACCACCCAGGGGGGTGATACCGTTGCGCTCACCGATACCAAGGACGGAGGTATCGATGTGGGTGGCACCAGCCTCCAGAGCACAGTAGGCGTTGGCAATGGCGCAGCCAGTGTCGTTGTGGAAGTGGGTCTCGATGTCGCAACCCACCACACCTCTCAACACACGGACGAGCTCATAGACCTGGCGGGGAGAGGCACAGCCAACGGTATCGGCGATACCGACACGGTTGACACCGACCTTGTCGACGGCGGAGTAGATGGACAGGAGATCGACGAGGTCAGAGCGGAAAGAGTCTTCGCTCGAGAATCGGATCTCGATGCCCTTGGACTTGACGTATTCGATGACTTCGATGGCGGTGTTCTTGATGTAGGTCATGTCCTTTCCGTGAGAGTGCTCACGGAGGTACGAGGAGGTTCCAATGACGACATCACTAAAGACGGACGACTGTCAACATCCGCGACTACCAATGCCAAAAGAGCGAAATTGCACTTACACTCCATCAACTCCCGTCTCAACGGCCACACGGGCATCATCCATGTGGCAGCGAATGTGAGTAAGGATCTGCAGACGCACGGGTTAGAATCAGTGACTCATGGAGTGCTATGAAATTCGGACATACCTTGGACTTCAGGCCAAGCTTGCAGATAGCCTCGCAGTCGAGTCTCGACTGCTCCGAGGCACAGGGGCTGGTAAGTTCGATCTATAACGAACAAATTGGTCAATACACATGTCCCGAAACATCTCCAACTCTGTCCCGCGCGATGACTCACGTAGTCCACACCGAAATCATCCAAAGCCCTGGCGATCTCAATCTTCTTCTCGGTGTCGAAGAAAGCATTGGCGAACTGCTCACCCTCACGGAGGGTGGATTCAATGATCTTGAATCGAGAGACGTTGCTCAGGAAGTCGGTGACACCGACGCTGTGGCCGTAGGGGTTACGGGTGGGGTGAGGGTTGTTGCGAGTCTGTACAGCAGTGAAGCCGGGGTGATCGGCTTTTCAAGGGCGTCAGTGGATAGAGTACACAGATAAATCGTGCAACTTCCGCCTACCATTATTGATGTTCTGGCCATTGGCACCGTTGGCTTGCCCATTGGGCTCGTTCTCTGCACCGGGGCACATTGTGGGAAAGTCTATGGTGGGGTAATGTCGTCGTTGCGATAGGAAGAATGCCAGGAATCTGCGCTGAGGTTAGACATCAAGCAAGCAGCGAGAGGAGACTATTAATCGACGGAACCACAAACTTTTTTGAGATCGGAAAACCACTGTTTATATGCTAAATTCACAAATATGAAAGGAGCAAAGAAAGAGTCATACGCCGGAAAAGAAAAAAGTGGGTTGGAGTTTGAAAAAGGCGGGCGGTCTGCAAGGACGGATGACTCGACGGAGGGGGGACTGCCCACCGTGCCCAGTGTCCTGCCAACGAAGAAATTTTTGGCCCTCGTAGGTGGAGAACCACTCAGCGTTCACAGCGCATCCGGAATGTCCAATTGCGCATCCTGAGGATCTTCCCCAGGCCCTTGGCCCTAGGTTCTAGTGTGTAATACGCATTACTTTCCGTTGATCAACAGTGGTACATCTCATCTGGGAATTCATCTTTGCCACTCGTTGGTGTCCGATGGGATTTGTGTCTTTAGCACGGCGGAAATGTTCATAAATCAATTGCCTTACTCCAGTGTCTCCGCTGCTTCCTGACTTTCTAACGTGGATGGTATATCATCTTCACCCCCGTACTCTATACTATCCAAAAGATCCCTGAAACCGACATCGGATCCCAAGGATGATATTATAATTGCGACGGCCTCGGCAGCGGGGAACTATGACTCTCACCAAGACCCTCGAGGATAGAAAGTTACCAAATAATTATAATGGAAACAGACAAAAGTCCAAAAGGCCCGACTTGCTAATCAATTTCATGTCTTGTCTTGACTCGTCCAGATCTTGATCTGCCTAAACACGTCCATTACTATTAGGCACTTCACTCCATATCCTGGTTCTCCGATACCGCCCCTCCTACGCCAATCAGTACCGTGCGGTGGCGTCTAGCGGTACGGGTAATGGAGTTTCTCCAGGCTCTCGTTGGCTGAGCACTCCATATTGATGTCATTTCTTGCATGTGGTTTACAGTCCCATATTACTATCATGTGCTAGTTGATCTGTATTACTTCGTTATACCTCGTATAATCGTAGCAGCAGAAAAATGTTCGTCGAGGTTAATGGAGCGTAATGGAATGAATCATTTACTCGATTGTTCTATTCAGTGGCGAGGGAGATAACAAAGGGGAAAGTAAAAGTAATCGCTCAATATTGTATAAGCTAACAAACGATCCGTTCCAGTCTGAAGTGCCTACCTAGCTGGTAAACTATAAATATAGAATAAGCTGAATTCATAACACAGACTGATGATGCTCAAATTGATCGCCAACAGAGACCAACCATGCCAATCAAAGGGAGTGTGCTGCTGTTATCCTCTATGGTGCCCCGTGTTATCGTCCACCATAGGACCCAAGCCCTAACAAGAAGACAAAACTTCGCGCTTCACCGCAGCCTCCAACTATTTGGCCTTGATGCTTCTCTCTCGACATCACTGGGTCTACATTCAAGATCATTATCACGCTGGGCAGTCTCAGGGAAAGGCCAATGGACTTCATCCTCATACTGCTTCTTCAGTACGGCGAAACTCTCAGGTCCATGGTCACTGGATTCCTGGCCAAGGCGCTCAAACTTCGACTTTCGAATCCCATAGCCCTTTCTTCTCGATCCCATGATGTTTCCAGTTCCAATCCTTCTACTCTCGCGCATTCCGAAAAACAGACCCGCCACGACGCATATCACGACGCCAAGGCTCACAGGGAGACCAATGTAAAGAGCCACCTCGTTAAATGGCAATGGTGGAGGGTGCCTGTAGCGCTCCACAGGCTTTGTGTGAAGAGTAATCGTCGGACCCTGTTGTGCACTGGCCCGTCTGTCCGAGGACGGCTCCAGCTCAATGATGTACAGGGTCAATGCGTTCTGCGACTTCCCCTGGAGCCATTCCCCGCTCATGTGGATTGGAACGTATCCATAGCTGTTATCAACCCTGGCAGAGGTGAATGCAGAGTCACCCACGGTGGAGTCTGTATATCTCAATTCGATGGTGATGGTGGCGTTCAGAGGGTAGAAGTCGGCATTCCATGTGACATAATAGGTGGCATCGACGATGACATCGGCTCCATCATGCGGGAGACAAAATGGCACAAGGGGCGTGTCGAGATCGGTGCATATTGGGAAATCTCTGGAAGGCGATATATAGTCGTACTGGGGGGTGCTGTTGTTGAAAATGGAGGTGGGACTGTTCCCCCAGCCTGCTTTGTGAGATTTTTAGTCTCAAGACAACTCGTCAATCCCAGTTGAGCCCATGTTGGTATTATTCACCTTGTGGTTCAACGTCCGCGCTTCTTCGTACATGTCGAAGATCAGAGCCAAACACACCCGTGGTTGGAACAGCCACCATCACTAGGATGAGCAATAGACCATTGTAATACCGCATTATTCTAAGCATGAACGTGGATCTCAGTATCACCGATGATGATCGAGCAAGCTGTATGCCTAATGGATGTTTTGATAAGGCAAGAGGGTCATGCATATGCTATATTGGACCAAGCGATGTACAAGACCGGGTAATGAGGAAGCATGGCAGGCAAGAATAATGCTATCAGCATCTATAGTAGGTGAGTGAAGGAAGTACTATGGGGCATGTCAAGTTTCCAAGTCTGCTAGATGTGGAAGGGGCCGCCTCTGCTCTGTCTTGGGTGTGGTACACTGGAAGGTAAGTACCTGCCTAGGCACCTAAGTATCTGGTAGTTGACATGCCTACCCGGTGATAAGCTTCGACATGCACCATACTAACCTCACTGGTGAATAATTGCAATTCGAACACAGTGTCGACCAAGGTCCTCGTCGGTTCAATCCAGCCAGACTTGAAGGCCTAGAAAAGGCTCATGCAGCCAAATCTCACCCTTGAAAGAATGCAGCTGGAGCATACTTTCGAGTCCACAGTGTGACCACGAGTCAAGTTTCTTTTCCTGTATGGGTGTCGGATAAGAAATGAGCCCACAGCCTGTTTCAACGCGATTCATACATCACCACTTGTAGCGTGATGACATAATCAATGCAGTGGAAATGTAAACAAGGGATGTCAATCTAATGTGACATACTTTGAGCGATCTATTCCATCTTATGGTGGCAATTAACTTTTATTTAATCAAGTGAAGCTATTAGTAGATTTAAAATTCATTGTCATGTTCAGTTGGGCCCATTACATGCATAGAAGGCGTAGAAGCGTCCCCGCAACAAAACTCGTTGGGTAGATTTGCCTCTACGCCACTTAGCGTTAGGCCAGGTGTCCGGGATATTGTCTGTCGTGGCTCTTTCGCTTCGCTCTAACCACAACCCAGCCTGTCCTCCCCAGCTGCCTATTGTCCGTACTTTGGCCTTTTCAATTTCAACCCTTTCTCCAAAGTGCGCTTGTCATCTCAAGATCCAGCTCAGGTATATATTCAGCATCCATCTCCCCCGCTTTTCCCCAGATTTTCGCGCTTGATCCGCAGTTTACCTAACGCGCCGTGATTGTTGTGTTTTAGCATCATGCGTTTCATCCAGCTCCTCCCTCTCCTCCCAGCGCTTGCTGCGGCGCAGGAGCAGGTTCCCCTCGGTGATCGCGTCCAGGGATGGTTCAACAAGGCCAAGTCGTACCTGCCGACCGCCACCCCGGTCATTCCTGCCGTCGAGAAGCTGGTCGACCAGAAGAAGATCCAGGAGAAGACCGTCACGCAGTTCAACCTGAGCAACTGGCAGTCTCTTCTCGAGCCGTCGTCCGAGCCTCAGGATTGGATGGTGTACATCACGGGTGGAAACAAGACTTGCTTCGGTCGCTGTGGCGAGACGGACAAGTCGTTCAATGTAAGGACTTCGCAGATAGGGGGTCGATAGCGCGCAGTTTGACAGCTCACTAACCATCCTTTTTTCACCCTTGCCAGCAATCCGTCCTTCTCCTGTCTGCTAACCCGACCTCGCCCAACCTGGGATACCTGGACTGTGAATCGAACAAGGTCCTGTGCTCCATGTGGTCCGCTGGTTGCCCGTCCGTCTACTACTTCAAGATCCCGGAGGCCCGCCTCGGAGAGGATCATCCCGTCGTCGATCTTCACACCGTGTGGTTGAACACCACCGATGTTACCCCCGATACCATCTACAAGATCCACTCCGAGAAGAAGTACGAGGAGGTCCCCCCTTACAATGGTCCCTTCCACCCGACCAACGGCTGGCTCGCCAAGAACGGACTCCTCGTCCCCGCGGGCTACGTCCTCTATGCCGTCGGTGCCGTCCCTAGCTGGCTTGTCATGGTCGGCATCAGCTTCTTCAGCCGGACTGTTATGTAAGTCGATCTCATTGATGGGTATTGAATTGTTACTAATATTTTGACAGGAGCCGTCGTGTTGGGGGTGGCGCGCGTGCCTAATTGAATCTTGTGAGGGAGGTGGAGTGCTCGAAAAACAATTTATCAGGATCAGAGATGTATATAATGAGGTAGTGACGAGTATCTACGATCAGATAAATTGGATATTGAGTGATGGCCAATGCTTTCGTATCCGCTCGTACAGCCGTAGTAAAATATATAATAGGTCTAGTCGACTAGAAAGAGAAAGTCCAGAATACTACGACATTTCCCAACAAATTCTAAGAGAACAAGACAAAATCAAACAAACTCGAAGTGACCAAGAACAACAACAGTGGCCACCTAAGAGTCTACACTGGAACCCACAGCAGACACAACACTCGCACCACACCAAGTTACCCGCACCAACGTCAGACAGCCCGGCCCGACTCCAATTTTCCAGTGCAGCGCAACGAACAACCGCCAAGCTAGCTCCTCTATATTTTCTCCTCACAACTACACCTCAATCACCTCCATTCCTACCTACCTACCCACCAACCCACAATCCTCACAATGTCCGACCTCGACCGGATACCGCCCTCAACAGCCGCCTACGTCGTCGCGACCGCAATCCTCGCCGGCATCACAGGGTATTTCATCGGCCAGGGCTCCACGCTCGGATTCTTCTCTGCAAACGAGAAGGAAGGTTGGCCGAACAGCTACAATGTGAAGGTTCATCGCGACTCGTCGGACGAGGAATACGACGACGAATCTGAAGAAGAGGAAGAGGAAGAGGAGGGTGATGGGAGCGAGCTGGCGAACTTCGACAGCAGCAATGAGGAAGTGAAATTGGTTCTTGTTGTCAGGACGGATTTGGGGATGACCAAGGGTGTGTTTGTCTTTTTCCCCTTCTTTTCTCTTCCCGAGCCTTTCCATGAAGCCATTCATGTGAGAGCAAAAAGAAACAACCACTAACACGACATGTCTTTTTCTTCTCTAGGTAAAATCGCCGCCCAATGCTCCCACGCAACCCTCGCCTGCTACAAGTACCTCACGACGCACACCCCCAACTCCAGCATGCTCCGCCGCTGGGAACGACAAGGACAGGCCAAGATCGCGCTGCAGACAAAGTCCGAGGAGGAGATGGAGCTGCTGCAGGCGCAGGCGATCAGCCTGGGTCTCTGCGCGCAGGTGATCACCGACGCTGGACGGACTCAGATCGCGAGCGGGAGTAGGACTGTTCTTGGGGTGTTGGGGCCTAAGAGTGTGGTTGATGGTGTTACGGGGCATTTGAAGTTGCTGTGATTGCGTCTTCGTCGCATTCTGCCAGGAGGCGCGAGGCCACAATCTCGGTATAGGACGGGGCAATGAATGATGCACACGGGTGCACTGCACTCAGCCATTAGGCACATTATGTTTGAGCATCTACATGCGAACTCATGTATAACGAAATCCCATAGATGTTGTTACGGAAGTTTCCATATATATATACTACTACCCCGCTAGCATCAAGCCAGCAGGAGATATAAACACCATCCAGTGAAGAAAAAACCCATCAATAGTCTACAAAAAAGTATGTTGGCCAGTCATGGTTATTCCCTAACCTCATCAGCCAACGGCCAAAATCGGCAAAGGGAGTAGGAATATGACGCCGCCAGCAAACCAGAGGCACCGGCCGAGCTCACCAATCCCGAAGGAAAGGGAGCTCAAGACCGGCGTGAACCCCCCAGCGCCAGCAATTAATCTGAGATCTGTCGACCGGAAAATAGCAAACCATGCATTCGTAAAACATGGCTCCTTTGGTCGTCGAACTGTCCAGTAATCAACCGAAACACAGACAGTCGTCTCCTCTTGCGAAGAGAACGGCGCCCGTGAACAGGATCGCTGGACACAGATCCGTGGTATGTTCTGAAGAAGAAAAGAAAGAAAGGAGCCAAGGGTGGAAAATTTCCACCTTTTATCGGCGGCGTCTAGTGCGCGCTAAGGATTTTTGATCGCGCTAAACCTTGCCGAGAATGGTGCTGCTTAGGTAAGGGTTTCTTGGCGTCTGGTGCTGAGCAGAGCAGGCTGGGTAGAATGTTCCTTATCGATGACGGATAAACCGAACTCATTTACACGCCTGTTACCCTTCACGCAGCAACCATATCGTTTTATCTCATCTTCCATTAGACTAGAGCCTAGCTCTACCGCACAACATGGCGGACGCAGTCTCCATCGAACAGAACAACAAAATCCGCGCCGCGCTGGGGCTAAAGCCCCTCCCGGTGCCGGGCGCCGTCGCCACCGCCGAATCCGACGACGATTCCTCAGACCTGTCATCCGACGAGGAGGAAGATCCTGCGAGCACGCTTGAGTCGCGGCAGGCGCAAGCCGGAGCGAACTGGCAGAAGATCCAGGATGAGGCGGATGCGAAGCGCAAACGGGAGGAGCGGAACGCGGCGATCAAAAAGGCGCGGGACCAGGCACAGCGGGACAGGAAGCTAGCGGGCGCGACGCTGGGCGAGTCTGCGGACGTGGAGATGGATACCAAGACGTGGCTACAGCAGTCGAAGAAGCGGCAGAAGAAGATCGAGAAGGAGCGGGCGCAGAGGCTTGCGGCGGAGCTGGAGGAGCGCGAGCGCATCGCGGAGTACTCTGCTGCGGAGCTTTCGGGGATCAGGGTTGGGCATGAGGTTGGGGATTTCGAGGGCGGGACGGATCATGTGCTTACGCTCAAGGATACGACGATTGATGAGAATGAGGAGGAGGGGGATGAGTTGGAGAATCTTGATCTGCGGGAGAAGGAGAGGACTACGGAGCAGTTGGAGCTGAAGAAGCGGAAGCCGGCTTACGATCCTACGGCGGAGAACTCGGGGATACTGGCGCAGTATGATGAGGAGATTGATGGGAAGAAGCGGAAACGGTTCACTCTGGATGCACAGGGTGCGACGACTGAGGCACGGGAGGCGAAGCGGCAGGAGGTGTCGAATCAGTTGAGGAAGAACGTGATCAGTCTTGACTTTGAGCCTGAAGTGCCGAGCTCCGACTATATGGACGTGAGCGAGGTGAAGATCAAGAAGCCTAAGAAGAAGAAGGCGAAGGCTACGAAGAAGAGAGCTGCTCTCGACGACGAGGATATTTCCCCGACGCCTCAATCGACGGAGACTTTGAACGGCACATCGTCCATGGATGTTGACACTCCTACCGGGGAGTCGGCGCCTGCCCCGGCGCCTCGCAAGTGGGCCAGCGAAAACACATCCTTCGTCGACGATGACGACCTACAGGCTTCGTTAGCCCGCCAGAGACGAGCCGCGTTTAAGAAGCGACAGAAGCTGCGACCCGAGGATCTCGCCCGACAGCTTCGAGAGGAAAGCGAGCATACGCCCATGGAAGCGGACACACCAGGCGAGAACGAGGAGGAGCCCGGTCTCGTGATCGACGAGACGTCGGAGTTCGTCTCCAACCTACAAAAACCCACCCTTCCCGAGCGCCGTGAACGCCGCCAATCCACTCCCGCCGAAGAGCCCCATGCCAAGTCCGAACAGCCCACCGTCAAGGAAGAAGCCGAGGAGGACGGTGACGTGGTTATGGAGCGGACCTACAACGACATCGAGGATGAAGAAGACCTTAAAGAGCGCATCAAGCGGGACGAGGCGCAGGAGAAGCCGCAGATCAGCGGCACAGGATTGGAGGAAGAGTCTACGCTGGACCAGGGTCTCGGTGCTGCGTTGTCCATGCTCAAGCAGCGTGGGCTGGTGAAATCCTCCGACGGCACCGAAAACAACGCGCTAACGCGGGATCGCCAACGCTTCCTGCACGAAAAGATGCGTCTCGAGACGGAGGCCGACCAGCGTGCGCGACAACAGCGTGAGCGGGACCGCGCGTCAGGGAAGCTCGACCGGATGTCTGCACGGGAACGCGAGGAGTATGCGCGCTGGGAGAACAAGCACCGCGACCAGCAGGAAGCGCGTCACATGGCGGAGGTGTTCAGCAAGGAGTACAAGCCGGACGTGCAGCTGAAATACACGGACGAGTACGGGCGGTCGATGAACCAGAAGGAGGCGTTCAAGCATCTCAGCCACCAGTTCCACGGCAAGGGCAGCGGCAAGATGAAAACGGAGAAGCGACTGAAGAAGATCGACGAGGAGAAGAAGCGCGAGGCCATGACTGCGTTGGACAGCAGTCAACACACGGGGATGAACAATGCCATGGGGGCGACGGCGCGGAAGAACCGCCAAGCGGGAGTGCGACTGGGCTAAGGATATGGGGTGAGGCTATCCCCATTGTGTCTATGGGAGAGGCTACATATGCATGTATGGTATACCACAGAATATAACATCTCTTAATTGATCTGTATGAATCCAACTTAACAACTCTGTTAATTATAGACTGGGAGTTTTTCTTCCTCTCCTCAATAATACCCATGTATAATCATCCAGCTTACCATAGCAACGACATGACACCTAGGTCTCGCACTGTCTCTTGGCGTGTGGGGGAAATTAACCGATCTACACGGAGCACACACCACCAAAGTAACAGCAAAGCAGCAGAACGGTTAAATCTGTCTTCTCGTCCCACTCAGCCTGGTATTCGAGTCCATCCTTCTCCAACATGAAAGCTTCAATCGAGAGACAGGAATCAAGTCTCCACCTTCTTAGGGGACTTCAAAAATAGCCACTACCTGTCAATTCTCTTTCCTTTCCTTTTCTTTCCTCTTTCTTAATTATCCCTCGAAATGTTTACTCACATCCATGCCAATATAGACCCCTGACAACCCCAAATTTACCCCGACTCCTGTGAGGGGAAGGACGGGCCAGACGCCCCAGGCAGTCAGGCACCCAGGCCACCAGGCTCCACATTTCCCTAATTTAGTTCACCGGATTTCGGCGCCAGAGTCGATCCAGAAGAGAGAAATCAGTTACAGCGGTTCTGGTGTACGTAAATCAGTTGGATAATTCTTTTCTTCTATGGATAATACTGGATAATATGGTCTGAGTAAGTCCATCCGATCTTAACTTATCTGATTGACTTGTATAAAAACTCTGTTTACATGGGAGGTGTACATAAATACATAAATACATAAATACATAAATAAGTGATAAATAAATAAATAAACAAATCAATTAATATACAAATAAATTAATATACAAATAAATAAGTTCAGATTCAAACGTAATTCTAGAAAGGTTTGAAATCAGTCAATTATCATAAAATACTGAGCATAACAAACACTCCTCGGACTTCCCTAGTTCACATGAGTCAAAATTTAAGAAAACTCACTAGCCCGGCACAACTCCGCGCCATCGGTGACTCCCTCGTCCCCCCGATCCACTCGGCACTGCTTTTTCCTTCCTATTGCGCTTGGTTATTTATCTCCAACACACACATCACACCACTCTCCTCCCTTTCTTCTCCATTCTTCCATCTTTCTTCATTTTTGGGGATTCTGAACACGGTCCATCTATCTCGTTTGGATTTTTCTCCATCTCCCTACACCGATCATCATGCTGTCTACCCTCCGAGTTGCCAGCCGCACGGCTGCTTCGCGTGACGCTACCCTGCGCACCGTCGCCGCTGGTGCCAGATATGCCTCTGCGTGGTCCAAGGTCCCCCAGGGCCCTCCGGTAGGCATTTCCATCTCACGGCGATGCGATTGATTGGGTTTGGTTGTGCAATGGCTGATCGCGTGCGCTTTTAGGATGCCATTCTGGGTATCACCGAGGCCTTCAAGGCCGATTCTTTCAAGGAGAAGATCAACCTGGGTGTTGGCGCGTACCGTAAGCAATCTCTTTTCGTTCTATCCCCACCTTCCCTGAACCTCTCGGGGACTACGTCTGCCTTGCGATGCGACTGGAACGGCTACTGATTGAGAATTCGGCCAATAGGTGATGATCAGGGCAAGCCCTTCGTTTTGCCCTCCGTGCGCGCCGCCGAGGACAAGGTCGTTGCCTCCCGCAGCGACAAGGAATATGCCGGCATCACTGGTATCCCTACCTTCACTAGCGCCGCTGCTGAGCTCGCCTATGGCAAGGACTCTGCCGTCATCAAGGACGGCCGTCTGGTCATCACCCAGACCATCTCCGGTACCGGTGCCCTGAGAATCGGCGGTGCTTTCCTGCAGCGCTTCTACCCCCACGCGAAGAAGGTTTACCTGCCCAACCCCAGCTGGGCCAACCACAACGCCGTCTTCAAGGACTCCGGCCTGGAGGTCGAGAAGTACCGCTACTACAACAAGGACACCATCGGCCTGGACTTTGAGGGCCTGATCGCCGACATCAAGGCCGCCCCCGATAACAGCATCATCCTGCTGCACGCCTGTGCTCACAACCCCACCGGTGTCGATCCCACCCAGGACCAGTGGCGCCAGATCAGCGACGTCATGAAGCAGAAGGGTCACTTTGCCTTCTTCGACATGGCCTACCAGGGCTTCGCCAGCGGCAACGCCGACCAGGACGCTTTCGCGCCCCGTCACTTCGTCAAGGAGGGCCACAACATCGCTCTGTGCCAGAGCTTCGCCAAGAACATGGTGGGCATCACTGTCTAACAGCTTGAAGGGGTCACATGCTAATCTCGGCCAGGGTCTCTACGGTGAGCGTGTCGGTGCCTTCTCCCTCGTCTGCGAGTCGGCCGAGGAGAAGAAGCGCGTGGACTCGCAGATCAAGATCCTCATCCGTCCCTTCTACTCCAACCCTCCCATCCACGGTGCCCGCGTCGCCTCCACCATCATGAACGACGCCGAGCTCAACCAGCAGTGGCTGGGTGAGGTCAAGGGCATGGCCGACCGCATCATCGAGATGCGCGCCCTGCTCCGCAAGAACCTGGAGCAGCTGGGCAGCAAGCACGACTGGTCCCACATCACCAGCCAGGTAGGCACAAATTCGTCTTAAAATCCAGTGGTGCAACTAGCTAACGTGGCTCCCTCAGATCGGCATGTTCGCCTACACCGGTCTTAAGCCCGAGCAGATGGACGTCCTGGCCAAGGAGGTGAGCATTTCCCTTCCCACCCTTAATACACCCGTACTAACTCGCATAGCACTCCGTCTACGCCACCAAGGACGGCCGTATCTCCGTGGCCGGCATCACCAGCGGCAACGTCGGCCGCCTGGCTGAGTCGATCTTCAAGGTGGTCGGTTAAATGGAGAAGTGAAGTTGATTTCGGTCCGACATTCGCGAGAACCCTTGCGAATGAAATGAACAAAAGTGTCTTTCGATACATAGATCTAGATCTATCAGGGTTCGGCCCTCTGTACTGATATCCGTGTCTGTTACATTAGCATTTTGAGCATTACTTTGAATGATCTTTACGAGCATTTCCCATCATATTAGATTTTCACTATGCCGTAGTCGGGGTTAACTCAGGGGGCATCCTATCTGTTGACCCTATGCCCTGTACAGAAAGTACTCAATCAAATAACTTTGGAGATCATGGTACACGGGACAAAAATCTAGATCTACTCCCCCATCTACTACCATGTCCCACACCTACCAAATCCATTAGACCCAGCTTTACACGAGTCTCAAAAAACCACCAAGCAACTGAATCAGACAATCCCATCGACTACACGCATATTCCAACGACGCAAGCCTTAAGTCGGTGCTTATCACAACCGCCGGTATTACCTCCAGTAGCGGTGAACTGCATTAGCAGTAGCTTTGTGAACAAAAGATGTAGTATGAACTTAGGTAGTAATGTAGTAGATACGAGGAAACCAACTCTGATCAGCGGAGAACCTACCGCTCAGCTGTCCGGGGCAGCTTCGTGTTTGATGTGAGGGGTTTATCTATAGCGTAGGTACTTAGGTATCTACGTAGTAAACACCCCGGGCGACTGACTCGATGTTATTGTACGGTGGGACCTGAGTCATGCAATACGTACCTACTACCTACCTACCTTACTTACTTACCTATCAGGTACATACTTCGATGCATGCATAAAGTATATACAAAACATCATCCAAACAACCATACTCATCCATCCATCCATCCGTCCATCCCACACATCAACAGATTAAATGATCAGATCCATAAACTCAAGTCAACAAATACGAGCCCCAAATCCAACCCAACCCAATCATTGAATCAATCACACCCGCATCAAACGCAGCCCTGCATATGGGTAACAGAACAGACAGATCAGCCCCAACCCAACCCCAGCTCAGCCCAGCCCCTCGGTAAGCAATGAGCGTGACCGTAACTGACAGACAGACAGACAGACAGACAGACAGATAAACGACTGACGTCTCTGGCTGTCCGGAGTACATACAGTACAGTATATGGTTTGCCCTTTTCCATGCACTGACCGTGGGATATACACTTTATGATAGGCTCGCTCTTACTTTTCTTTTCCCCCTTTTGGCCACTGGATGCTTGGGAGGTGCGTTGATCTGCGTCTTTTTTCATGGAATGTGCATGGAACTAAGGTTGGAATTTTATAATCTAATGGATTGGATGGGTTTTTCTCAAGGATAACGTAAGTAAGTGTGTAATGCGCAAGGGACGGGGGATACGGGTTTTGCGCTCGCCTCTCGCTGTTGGGCTTTTATCATTATTTCTGTTCGCATAGTATTGACTATTTTGCTAGGTCTTACTTCAGATTTTGGGTTGTTTCTGGTAGTCATGTGTGATTTATACTTCTGGGTGCAATTCAAACGCCGTATTGGATGGCTATCAGACTCTGTCAATAGGTAGATCGTAGATATAGCATAACAGTACAAATCTCATGCAGCCAATTTTCTTTGAATCCATGTAATTCGCATCAACTACAGTAGAAGTAGGTAACTAGGTCAAGTAAGTTAGGGAAGTTCTTGGTTAGGTTAGCTCAGCCTAGACAACTAATACGGTCCTAACTAAGAGTAGGAACTCCGTACACTAACCAGCCAAGCTAAATGTATCTAATAATAATATGAAAGGCCAACACCGCCTCAGGCCCTATCATTTTCGCCCAGTTCCTAGCGTAGCGTAGCGCGGCTGTGTCGCTATTCTTGTTATTGTCTGCTCTGTTAGGTCTGTCTGTCTATCTGTTTTGCCTTGTCTTTGTTGTTGTATGTTATTTTAAGACTTGCATGCTGTTTCAGAGTATGTTGCTAACACACCACGGTCGGGGTTGGCTTAGCACTTGCCTGATTCTTCCATTCTTTCTTCCTTGATTTCTGACCTTTCTGTAACATGTACTTGTCTGTGTTCAGGCCCTTCCTGGCACTGTTGATCTGATCTGACCACCAGTTTCGTGTGCGGCTGAGACGAACTAGTTATCCATATATCTATTTAGTAGCAGATCGACAGAGATGAATACATTATTCATTTTAATCTGTCTCCGTATTGAAAATGATTATTGATAGGTAATATACTTTCGTACATCATTACACATACTCGGACAGCTTAAGGATTGCTTGGGCCAGGATTTGGCACGTTTCAGAAGTAAGCTCCAGGAGCTAGTTTCACATCTGATTCTACAGTAAATATGCTTCTGTATGAAAGAGACAGTCTTTTTATTATTATTTTCGGTCGCAGATCGACGTGCAGTTGAAAGGATACTCTAGTAGTAGTTGGAGCAGTAATAACAGCAGTAGTGGCCAAGATGTGCTGGCAATGAACCTGTGGTGATACATGGCCAATTATTTATAGACTACCTACCTATTCTACTCTGTATTGTATTTAACTTCCAACTAAATGTCCCTCGCATGGACAGAACAAGCTAATGATAAATGGAGAGATTCCCAGCCAGCCCAAATTACTTACTGAGCGACGTCGGTACTATCTCATTAGAGAGAGCACTGCTTACCCGTTCAGGACCTCCAGGGCACGTCAGTGGAAAACATACATCGGTAGCAAGGTACTTGGTACCAGTAGCAAACAGATACCTTGCGTGCGAGCTCGAGCGGGGGCGGGGAGGGGAATGTGTCTCCCCCTCTTTGGAGTTGAGGAGGAGAAGTGAGTGAGTGACATTGGACGAAGGGGTCGCACTGCGTTCTTACCGGGCCGCTTGAGGTGTGACTATTGTTGTGACTGACTGATAGTTAGTAGTCAGTCAATGGGGCTGTGCCACGCTGCTTCTCGCTGTCATCCTGTCTCTGTCTATCATAATTGCCGTGAGGCTCTAAGAAAACAGGGGAATTGAATCCGCCCCAGCTAAGATGCGCCCGATGGGCTACTCGCCTTGAGGATAGACAATACATAGGATTGGATCGGTGTTGTCTCGGAGTTGTCGGGTTGACTGGCGGGTAGCTGCTACGGAGTTTTCCGTGGCAGATCCATTTAGGTGGCTGGTGGCGACGCTAAGGATAGATTGTACATACATACATACATACATACATACATGTAACTAAGTATGTATGTACTTCGTGGATACATCGCAGTAAAGACGAGACAATGTCTCCGTACTCAGTATGCTATCCTTCAATGAGATATATCATTTGATCCTCCCTCCCCCTTCACGATCCTCGGCTGGACGGCAGAGCTCAAGCTGTCGTAACACGTGGATCAGTTACTTCTATTCTGATATGGATGAAACTTGGCGTGGTTGAGCTGGCATGGAGGCGAATCCTACCTACTTACTTATTTCGGTACTTATTTTACCTATAACCTACTTCTACGTACTCCGATGTGATCGGGTGTTGGGTTGAGTTGAGTTGTACAGTTTCACCTGTTGATACTAATGACCAGTCGTTCTGGTAACTGGTACCTGACACAGTGGCGAGTCCAGTAACTATCTGGCTGGGCCTCTGAATTATTTTGTTAGACCTACTCCGTATTGAGAGTACCATCATCCTGCTAGCAGTTCGAGGCTGAGTTGTTTTAGTGTCCATTCCTCCCCCACCCTCCTTACCTGGTAAGGCCTTTTCATAGAGAATACAGTAATACTATCAATCTCCCTGTACATAGCAAAAAAGTAAAGTAAATACTAAAGAGAAGAAAGAATTCAGAGGAGGAGAATATAAGAAAAGAAGGGTAGAATCTCCCATCCATTGCCCGAGATTCAATCTGTATGGAATCCTTCCGCTGAAAATCATAATAGTCCGTTGTATTGATCAAGTTCATAGCAGAAGGATGATCATATTACCTATATACGGCTACCCACCTATGTAGGTGGGAGAAGTATTGCCCGAGTTGGCATTGGCGGATTATCCCTTCATTACTGGGCTGGAATGGTCGTATGTTGTATCGGGGCTTCCTCTGATTCCGGTATACAGAAACCAATTATATCCCTTGTCCGATATCTAGGATCTTTGGTTCAAAATAGATTAGTAGAAATATCAGGAAATAATGGAAAGAAAACCATTCAATTTGGATTGAATGATTGAATGAATGAATGACTGCCCATGTATCTACATTCCAGGTAATGTGCCAACTATGCTGGCGCGCGATCAGCCGAATGACCTATTTGGGTTAGATGGTGGTAAGTTGTAAGTTTACCAATCTGGAAGAAGTCACGGGTGGGTTCGTAAGGCCGGGCGCTCTCCGTGATCCATCTTGATACAACCCTGGTTAAACCCCCCCCCCTAAACAAGAACTGTAAATTAAGATGGGAGGAGTGTGTTTCATTTTCATAGGTATGTACCCCGTGCTCCCGTATTAAGGAAGAAGGTATGGATTCTTTTTAGGATAAATAAATACATAATAAATAATATTTAGAAGTATCTTCAGTAATGATGATAAATAACAATCGAAGACCATCGAAGACCCTTATGGTGGCTGTCTGAAGTATACCTCTACCTATCATGTTCAATGCGTGTACTGTCACCGTACAGTGCCGAATTAGGTAATGTCTCCAAGTACTAAATTAATACTGGACATAGCTGAAGCTGCTTTTTTTCTTTGCACGAGAGGAGCAAGGCAAGCTGCTATACAGAGCTCAGTATTTCGTATCCTCTCTCTGTCCTGTCCATTCCTCTCTTTCTTTCCTAGGGTGGAGAGTTACGGGATGGGGCGAAGATAAAAATAAGAAGGCTCAGCCCCAGGGGAAATCAAGGGAAATCACGGCTGGTTTTGACGGATGATCTGCCGTCAAAAGGTTGAACCAAGGGTTTGTTTTCTTCTGTGTTGATCTTGTGACAGCCACCGTACTATTTGGTATTATTGTTGATCTTGGGATCTTTTTTACTTTTGTCAGACTGGACAAAGTATGGTCCATCATATTATAATGGAAATTGATCAATACAGTAGGAAGGTATAGACATAATAAAAAAAGATAAAGACGAAGAACACCCATGGATATTCGAATAATGACAACGAATAAAGGACGATCGGATTGACTCCGGAGATGAGGGGAAGACTCTTTGGCCTCTCGTTGGAATTCCTTTTCCCCTTTGGTTGATCGCATTGTTATTAATTATATCACCTTTCTTCAGTGTTGCCATTTACTAACTAGTTAGTTCGCCTAGTAGGGAAATGGACGGAGAACGAACGGGGACGCTTTGTACACCACGCTTGGGTGACGACAGCCCTTTGGAACCCAGGACACCCTTGGGCTTATTATCAGTAATCACCCTTTGTCGCTGTCCTGATCCGGTTTTCTCTTTCCTTTTGTCCTTGTTTCTTTATCCCTCATGGTGTGCTTCATCTTTCTGTTTCATTTTCCTTTCATTCCCTAATTCTCACCCATAACCAGTTAATACTAGACATGTGAACAGCACATACCCCGAGTTATCCTGTTATAATCCCTGGTAACATTGCCACAGTCAGGAGATCAGTATAGTCTCCTACAGAGTATATAATAATGTGATGGGATGGTAGGAGGGTTCCACCATTCCTACCATCCGCGGTAGTGGTGGGGGCAAGACATGGCCATGGCGTCGGATGAACAATTGCAGTCAGGGCTGTATCACCTGGTTCGGACGGGGGACAGTTACAGTTCTGTGTAATTTACAAGACCCCTAGTTAGTATCCGTACCTAGTTAGTAGTTAGTGGCTAGTGCCCTGGAAACCAACCCGCCCCGGGTGAATGCCGCCGGAGCGAGAAGCGAGTGGTTATAAATGGATCTTCAAAGGAAAACTAAAACCAAAACGACAACCCAAAACCGAAAGAGAAAACAAAAACAGAAAGCGTACCTCGGGTGTGACAATATCCCCTGGACAATCGGATTCCAGAAATGATAGAGTACAAAGGACGGGATGATACATCTAAAACGAAGAAGAAACGCGGTCCATGGTTTCGATTCACCGTGTTGTCTCCGATCGATTGTAAGGTTGGTAGGGATTAGAATGTAGGTAAGTAAGTAAGTTGTTCCAGAACTCGAATGATTTGTGACGGCATCTTCACCCGTGATTCAACATGGCGCTGGGTAACCTTAGGCCAAAGGGGAGGGAAATAAAATACCCCATGATACTGCGTAATCTATACGGCTACGCCCCGTCTTGACTCTTGAGGCTGGCGTTGTCAGTTGTCACAGCAGAGCAGCTCGTCCAGCGTCGAACTGGGTCAACTGAATCATACAATAATACGTCTACTTATACTAGCGGTCGTACTATCTTCTCTCCTTCCTATTCTTATTCGTCCTGCCCGTCTGATTATTCTTCCGAATAATACTAATCAATATGATCATATAATAATAATAATAATAATAATATAATGATGATAATCATAATGTTAAAAGTAATGAAATAAGACAATAAAATCAAAGAATAAAATAAACTAAAAATACAATAAAGAAAATCACGTATATTAGTAGCGTGGATGGATCGACGCTTCTTAATACTTGTTGATATGGACTTCTCACCCTGCCACACCTTGGGCCCTGACTCCAATATCCCATTCTATGATAGGGGTACTCGAGTGGCGACCAGCACGGAGTCAACTGTTCAAGGTTAAATGGGTAGGAGGGTTCGTGACGGATAGTCAGCACGGGAGGGAAGAGGGAATCTGCAGGACTCCGGCGTTGGGGAAATGGATAGATTAATTAATTACCTACCCACCATCAGAACAAGTCAGGATGAAGAAGAAGATAATAAATCATGATTATAACATTATAACATTATAATATAATATAATATAATTATCCGGGCCAATTTGACAAACTAAACTACACTTTCTCCTACCTAACGACAAACTAAAGTTCGGCGGGTCTGACAACTGACCCAGAAAAGGTACGCCGAACGATACCATACCGCCTCTCCCCACTCGCCTTGGTTGTCTTTCCCCGTCGCTCTCTTTCTCTCACTGTACCCGGTGGTAAGCCTCTCTCTCCGCTCCAAGGTCGCCTTACTGTTGAATCCCGGTTCCTTGAGCATCATCTCATCTCATCTCTCTCGCCCTCTTCCTCTTCCTCCTCCTCTTTTCCTTTCTCTCTTTCTCCCACACTCTTTTCTTCTCCCTTCCCTCTTCCAAATATTCCCACTTCTTCTCTCTCTTTTCCCATCACTTTCTTTACTACCACTGTCTCGGATCTGTTTCTCAGAACCCCAGCCCTTCTGCCATGGGCGTTGGTGGTCAAGCTCCGTTTGCCTTTGTCCTTGCAATCTGCTCTCCACTCGCTCTTCTGTTCTCTCGTGCTTGATCTGATGGAGTGTTTGGACTCGTCGGATCATTCTGTTGGCCACTGACCTGCAGCTTCCACGCTGCTGTCCGTCCTTGTTCCGGACCTCCAAACACCCACCCCAATTTCGAAACCCCCGACATTCAGACACTGTCTTGCCTCTTTCACGCCCCAGGGATTTGTCCCTCCTCATTGTCCCCCATCCGCCATGCCGGCCATGGACATTCCCGAGACCGGGCTGTCTCTCTGCAGAGACGGCCCCGGGAACGATCCTACGGTCAAACCAACCCAGATCATGCGTCTGAACCTTGCCCAGAGCACCCTCGACGACATCATACAAAGCCTCCGCCACGACCAGTCCGCTCGAATCCGTCTGGGAAAACACCAAACCCTCTATTACGGTTCCAAATCTCAATCCTTCCGCTCCTCCCCGTCGACGCACCGATCCGAGGTCTACTGCGGGAGCTCCGCTGACAAAGAGAACCTATACTTCACGGGGGTCCTGAGCCACAGCTTGGAGGTGCAAAAGGCCAAGGAGGCCACCGCGGCCACGGACCAGGCCTTGGCCAATCTCGAGCAGAGCTTGAATGCCTTTGAAAGAGGGAAGGAATCGAAGAAAACACACATTATCACAAGCGTGGAGGAGCTGAGGGCCCTAAAGACGGGTGACAGCCGGTCCAGTACCGGCCGCCAGGCCGCTCTCTTGGCCCGCATGCCCTCAACCAAGGTGGAATTGGAGAAAGATCGGCTTCTGAAAACCAACGTCAATCGTTCTTTGCCCTCGAGCCCGGCACTGGGCGGAAGCCGGTCCCCTGCCTCCGTCCCTCCCCTGACATCTACCTCCGCCCCGGCCTCCCAGAACAAAGACCGACTCCGCCTCGACGCCCTCCGAGTACCCTTCATACACCTCCTTGCCGTCCGAGCTGTCTCGGCCAAGTTCCTCTCACGACAGACCCGCTCCTCCCTCGAAGACTGCACCACGTTGGCCCGCAAATATGGCACCGAGAACCGCATCAACCCGGAGAAGTTTGATCTGAGGGATAAAATATACAGGGAATTGGACGTATGGGGTTTTCCCTATCCGTCTCAGGAAGACCGGCAGGAGGCTATCGAGAATGCTATCTCGGCGTTTGATCGGATGCGAATCTCTCGCTCCGACAAGCTGTGGCAGACTCTCCTTCCCAAGGAGGAGCGTGGCAAGGGCAAATGCTTGTCGCGCCTCGACTTGCGGACGGGCCCCATCAAGAAACCTCTTACTCCGCGCATACAAGTGCAAAGCCCCGATGGCGCCGGTAAAGATGGGTACGGAACCGGCCACGAGACGGACCGAGCCAGCAGGAATGGCTTGACTCCCCAGGCGGGCGAACCCACGTCGGCCCCCAAGTCCACCGTGACTACGCAGAAGAAAAAAGCAGCCGAGAAAGATATCTCTAAGAAGCCCCCTGCGAAGCCCAAGGCTGCAACCAACAGTACATTGACTGGGCGTGTGACGAAGAAGGCCGAGCGGAAGCCTACGGCCAAGCCGGATGGGAAGTTCAAGTCGTCGGAATATGTCCAGGATTCGGACGAAGACGACATGGACATGCCTGATGCCCCGGTTCCAGAGAAGCCAAAACCCCAGAAGGCAGCACCGCCGGCCAAACCGGCTAGCAAGCAGCCCAAGCCGTCCGCCCCTCGTGAAACCTCCCATGCACCCACGCCCAAAGTGGATCCCCCTCGGAATCCGCCCGCGAAGGTCGAGGCATCTTCGCACGCCCCTCCGAAGCCATTGGCCTCCAAGAAGCTCCCGTCGTCCCAACCGGCCCACCCGAAGTCTCCGCAGAAACCGTCCTCGGTCGTTTCATCCCCACGGACCAACAATTCCTCCGACACCCAGAACCGCAGCCGTTCTTCGAGCCAGAACAACTCGTCGAGCTCTTCGTCTTCTCCGCTCATCACACAGCTGGCGAAGCCGAGTCGAGCTTCGGCTGTGGGTCCGGTGTCCCGGAAACCGATCAAACCGAATGGGATCGTCAAATCGACGGAGATCGCCAACCCTCTTAAACGTAAAGCGGAATTGGAGCGGACTTCGATAACTCCACAGTTGGCGGGGCGCACCACGGGAGACCTGGAGCACAAACGGCGCCGGGCGGTTAGCACCTCCAGCGGCAGCACGGGGAGTGCGTCGCCGCCTCTCAGCCGCGAGATTCTCCGCCAGCAGTTGCGCGAGAAATCGCAGAAGTTCAAGCAGTACTACGCCAAATATCGCACGTTACACGGTGCACTGGCATCGCAGGCCGATCCGCCTCGGGCGGACCTGGACCGGCTCCAACGACAGCACACCCGGTTGCAGCGGATGAAGAAGGAGATTTGGGACGAGGATCGACGGCTCCGTGATGGGCTGTGATTTCCACCATGGTCGTCAGTCCACGGCAATCCATTGGGAGCCCGGATGTTTACAGGACGGGTGTTCCACTTGCATATGGGATGGTTGATTTACGTTTTCTAGCATGACGAAGCCGAGTGTGGACATCGCTTCGAGGAGTTAGCGTTGCACAGCCTTATTCTTTTTATTATCGTTTCTTTCTATCATTTCTTTTTGTTTTTTGACGATTTCCCTTATACCTTTCCTTTGTTCCCTCCATCAGCCACATGTTTTTGATTCTTGGCAATTTGCATACATTACCATCGTTGTATTGATTAGTAGCCATGGTTGCTTATAATTGGATGTATAGAGAAGTGTCGGCATGCAAGGAAGCCCCTAAACTAGGTAGTCTCCTGCAAGGAGACATCAATCGGGAAACTCAAATCTAAAATACTTCCGCCCATTCCAGTGAGATTTTCCGTTGCGTCCCGTGTGTTAGACCAGGGAAGATAGATTAAGGACGGGACGGAGAAGGCCATCTCTTTCCTAATTGCATCCCTCACGGAGACGGTCTCCGAGCAGAGTTAGGGTAGTAGGGTATGTAGCGGACACTACGGAGTAAGTAAGGTACATAGGTAGTTTAGTTTACCCCTCTTACTGTAGGTGTGGCCGATGGGCGGCGAGCGACCGGCCGGCGAGTGGGCTGGTATTTCTGACCCACGCCCCACCAGGCCACTTGACAACGTCCATTAGGGAAGGACACCGGTAATTTGTTCAAGTTATATACTTATGACAATAAGATTATATATTTATGACAATAAGATCAAGTTTAATCTATTTATACTTTCTGTATACTCTTTGTACACCCCGACCCTGACACCCATTTTAACAATAGAGAGTGTGACAATACTAAATCAGTCAAGTGAACGGTAAGGTAAGTAAGCAAGCAAGTAAGTTACCCCAGATGATGAACACACTAGCCTCAACGCGGTCTAGACGCGTCGGCCCGCACGTGGCCGGCCGAATCGTCTTGAATCATATTACAGCTGGGTTACCATACCGGGTGGTATGGATGTATTGGCTGTATGGTGGTACGGTATTGGTTTTTTTCCGACGACGTCATTTTTGGGGAGTTGGGCTAGGCTGGAATAGGTTAGGGTTGGTTGCGGCGGTGGGAGGAAAGAGGCTCTCGGGAGAGCTAGAGTTCGTCTGGCGGTTCGTTTTATCGTTTATCGTTTGTGTCTGCTGGTGGTTGTTAGACTTTGACTGTCTAGTTGTTCATTGGTTTTTCAGAAGAAAGACGAGTGGGATATTTTTGATTGTTGAGATTGATATTGCCATTCTCTGCTTTACGTCCGTATTGAGGACGAGAGTCATGGGTCTTTTCTGATCTGGACTTTGATTCTGGTACAACGACCAACCACTGAGGTTCAGGTCGTTATCTATTCTATCGACATCCAGGGTAATTGGGGTTGATTCACTCGGTTATCTTGAGAGTACGAAGGTGGAATACTCAATTGTGCGCCTGAGCAGAATTAAGATTACCTGAGCTCGACAATGGCGCCCGCAAAAGGACGAGTGCCGAGCCAGCGAAGTCCCCATGTCCTGGTGAGCTCTCACAAACCTCACACCATCCCCCAACCCTACTGACAGTCGCAGGTGACCGACTCGCGCGACCAGCAACAAGCCGCTCAACCCCGCCGCCGCCGTTCCCCATCCACCCGCCTCATCACCGTCGACAATGTCCTCCAATACTCCTCCGACGTGCCCTCCATGCAGCAGCGCCATCCCCCCGACACCCCGCGGAGTCGCCCCCGCTCGCGCCTCGGCGGCGGCCTGATAGGAGCGACCGGTGCCGTCCCCGGCGCAGGTGCTGCTGGCGGCGGTAGTGCAGTGGGCACGGCAGCGACAATGGGCCGTCTGGCGGCGCAACCGCGTCTACCTCCGCGGACGACGAAAGTCAGCGAGAAGCTGGTGCTTCTGCCGGAGGCGGAGGGGGTGGAGCGGAAGATGCCGAGCGATGAGGACGACGAGGAGGAGGATGAGGAGGCCGTGGACGAAGAGCTGGTTTTGAGAGTTGCTCGGGAGAAGAATGTGGATCCTGAGGCTGTTAGGCAGCAATTGCTGGTGCAGAGGAAGCTCGCGGGCGACTTTGGCGTCGATAATGAGATCGCTCCGCTGTTGGCTGAGGAGGAGCTGTTGCGGCGGAGGAAGGTCGCGCCTGAGAAGGCGAAGAGTTATGCGGAGCGGTTGCCGAAGGCAAGGCGCGCGGAGAAACTCGCTCGTGTGACGGCTTATTGCACGGCGCAGGCTTATAAGATGAGTTCGCTGTCGGCGTTTGTGAAGGATCGACATGGGGGCCGGACGAAGCTGTATGATGATTGTTTGTATACGGCGTACCATTTGCCTCTGTTGCCTGGGGATGACGGCTACCGGTTGAGGAGCAGTCCGATTGTGAAGAAACCTGGGGGTAAGTCTTTACTTGATGAGGAAATCGAGCGGAATGAGCTGCGCGATTACCACGACTATGACATGGAGTCGGAGGAGCACTCGGTTGTGGGGGGTCGTGGGGAGCATGGGGAGCACGGAGAGCACGGAGAGCACGGCTCGCCACACCAGCAAGGATCCGGCGAACTACACCATCATTACGGGGAAGATCACAACGGTGACGCAGAGAGGAGAGCAACCCCCGAGAATGACCAGAGTCGTGGCCAGCAGTTACAGTCAGCCGCGGCACGACTGCCCTACAACGTGGCCGAGATGTTCGTGTTCAGCTACGGCGTTGTCGTCTTCTGGAACTTCACCGAGAAGCAAGAGAAGGATCTGCTGGCCGATCTGGCATTCGCGACGTCGTCCGCCACAGGTTCTCCCATGCCGCTGGCCACGATGCCCCTACAAGAGGAGGACTTCGAGACCGAAGAATTCCACTTCGAATACTCGACCGAGATCTCGCGGCCCCGCGTCTACAACGACATGATCACCCTGCGCAGCGGCGACCACATGATCAAGCTGGCCATCAGCCACGGCATCTCGCAGAGCACGAAACTCTGCTTCTTCGAAGAAGTCATGGCGCGCCAGATGAGCGAAGCCAAGGACGTTCCGCGCCGACTCGCCATGACAGGCAAACTGGGCATGAAGCGGGAGGAAGTCTTTCGCATTTTAGGACGGCTGTTCAAGAGCAGAGTCGAGGTCAACCTTTGTAAGTCTTGCCCCCGTGAATGAATTTTCCAATCACAATACTAATACCGCGCAGCATCCAACATGCTCGACGTCCCCAACTTCTTCTGGGAAAGCGAACCAACCCTCTACCCCCTGTACATCGCAGTCCGCGAATACCTCGAAATCAAGCCCCGAATCCAAGTCCTCAACGAACGATGCCGCGTCTTCCTCGATCTAGCCGAGATACTCTCCGACTCAATAGCAGACAACCGGACCTCTCGTGAGTTTCCCTCCTCCCCCATTTGAATAGCCCCAACCCAAAACCCACCACAATCAACCAAACTAACTGACTTCGCCAGACCAAACATGGATCATCATCGTCCTCATCCTCATCTCCATCGTAGTCACCATCTCAGAAGTCTTCCTCCGCTTCGGCCTCCTCTCCTCAGGAAAAGGCGCCGCTGCGCCTGCCTCCGTCGCAGGGACGCTGGTCGCCCGCGCGCTAGGCCGCTCCCAGCCGCAGCTTTCGCCGGTTGTGTGTGATTGTCAGTGTCCGGCTGGGTTGAATACTAGCGGTGTACCTTATTAACCTCCCCTTCCGTCTGAAACCCGTTCACAATTCTTTATCTCTACTATAACCGTCATCGTTGTCATCATCATCATCATCAACCAGTACATCAGACTATCTATTCATTTCTTATTCACCTCACAAGGGAAAAACAGGAGGAACCATTCAAAAGAACTCACAGTATGGTGCATGGCGTCCGGGATGGGTCTGCTTTCTTATTTGCTTTTCCTTCCATCTGTTTTCATTCCCGGATCTTGTTTTTTTAAACGTTAACATAGTCAAGGTATCATTCATTCATTTATTCTAATTCTCTTTCTCGGTTCCCTCCATCCATGGAACATTCTCATTCCCCCTTGTAATGTAGCAGTATGTGAATCAATTGATTCCCGCATATAACCTACAATCCCCAATCTTCAGTCCCAATTTCCAACTTTCCATCCATCTTCGTAACGTAGTCAGAAAGGTTAGGAAGACATCTGAGACATGATGGTACACAGACAGACAGACAGACAGACATACAGATAGACAGACCATGTATGTATGTGTGCAGGAGGCCCTCCCCTCCTCCCCTCCCACCAAGACCATCGACGGGTCAAGAATGGATGGTTTTATAGACTAAAGAAAATACTCCATATTCTCTTTGCTTCCAAGGTTCACCCATCCCATCCGTATCCATCAATCAATCTATTTATCTTTGTGCCGTGGAAATAATTAGTCAGTAAGTAGATGGCGGTTTTAAGGTCTCTCCTATTTATCTTTCGATTTATCTATTCATCAGTCTGTCTGTCTGTCTGTCTGACTGGCTGTCTAAATGTCTTTGAATCATCTATCTCAATAGTACAGGTCAAGGGCGCGAAGATATCAACAAGAGAGAGGGAAAAAAAATCAGTTACAGAATTAGAAGATCTGGTATATGACGATACGGTATATATATGGTATAAACACACTTCCATAACAAAGGAAAAGAAAAAGGAAAGGAAAAGAAAAGAAAAGAGAAGGGGGAAAGATAGAAAAAAGACAAGCTGAAGAAATAGATATAGATGGATATGCAATATTAGACAAGTATAGGTGCAAGTGCAATACACAATATTAGATATAGGTGATATGATATAATATAATGCAGGGGTAACAAAACAGACAAACAAGATTAACACAGAAAAAGATCAAATCAAGTCAAATCAAACAATGGTAGATGATAAATGCACAGTAGGGGGGAAAGAAAAGAAAGAAAGAAAACGACCAAGACCCAGATTTCCCATTTTGTTATCCCACCCCTTCCAATATATCCATGAACTAACCCAACCAACCGTGTGTCCCCGGTTCCCACTCTATCTATATATGTGTAAAGATGCTTTCTTTCGTCCTTGGTCGTGTCGTGCATTAGGGGAATGAAATGGGAGAAATAACAGAGGGGAAAGATGAAGCAAAATTCAAACCAAAAGCTCAGATCAAACAAACACAGGGAAGATAACAAAAAGAGAAAAGCTCGCTCGGACTCCTTCCTGCACGCTTGCAACCCAGGAAATGCTATGATGGTGGCATGTTGGATAACCAGTGATGAAGTAACGACAGAATAATGGAAAGTGACCAGATGCTATGCAGGATAAACAACAGAACATGAAGAGAAACAATCGGGGAAAGAACAAAGGAGATTGTGGAATAAATATTGATCTTGGTAGGACCCAAGAGATGTGATCAAGTCGAGTCTCTAGACGGGCGTAGACCACGGGCTTTCGCCCAGTCGGGGCCTCATCTCGTAGTTCTCGGGCTCGGTGCTGGTAGGCCGTCGGATCGTGGAGTTGGGAAAGTACATGTGAGGAGGCATCGAGCTCGCATACGTCGATCCGCCCGAATCCGGGTACGGCGCGTAGTCATTCGCGGATCCCGGAGAAGGGATGCTCCCGTGCGACGGGGACGCCCAGCCCAGACTGGTCATGTGCGGGCTTCCGCTGACGCTGTTCGGCCGGTGGTCGTTGTTGGCAGGCGGCTCCAGAGGCTGCGGCGGAGCGTAGGCACTCGGATGCGAGGTCATGGACGGTCGAGGGTGCGGGTTACTGTAGGTGGACAGCGAGGGCGATGTAGCCGTGGGGGAGGCTCGCGGACTGGGTTGAACAAAATCGCCGCGAACATGAGGCGGGATCGATCCGTTCCCCATGTAGTAATCTTGGCGAGGCATGTTCAACGGTGGAAGCTCGCCACCCGGCGAGATAGGATGGTGTGCCGGTGACGGGGTGGAATGAACCGAGTCGGTGTCGGGGAACATGCTATCTCCCGGCATCCTTCCCCTCTCCTTGTTTTGTCGCAGATTGGCTTCCGTCTCTGCGGCGGCTTCTTCGATAGTGCCCGTGTGGTGGTTTTGATGGCGCGTCAAGGTAGTGCGACGCGTGAAGGTCTTTTGGCAATTCGCATACGGGCATTTGTACGGCCGCTTGCCCGAGTGGATCCTGCGGTGTCGAGCCAGGGAAGACGAATCGCTGAAGGGCTGGATGGGTCAGTACGGTGATAGAATAGAGGAACGGACATCAACATACCTTGCCACATCTTTCACACATGTGCGGCTTTTCGCCCGTGTGGACACGCGAGTGTACCGTCAAGGCGGAGCGCTGGATGAACTGCTTCCCACAGCCTGGCCAATCACAAGCATGCGGCCTGACGCCGGTGTGGATTCGTTCTGGGAACAAGTTAGATACAAAATGTCAATGAACACACTTCTCAGCTACGTACCATGACGGGCAAGGTCGCTGCGGCGGGCAAACCCTTTGTTGCAGGTCGAGCAGTGGAATGTCTTGGGAGGAGGCTCGGTCCTGCCCGGAGCACCGTTGGAAAGCTGGGCCGTTGTCGCATACCCCCCGGGAGATACGGGTTCTGCAGAAGCGGCAATGCGGGGGTCTGATGGGGTTGCGAGTAGCGCATGTCTTGCTGCATACCGGACACCTGACCGAGGGGCGCATGGGGCGGATACGACAGGACCGGCTGATCGCCAGATTCCGAGATCCCGGGCTCCGGTTTCATTTTGGGCGAGTTGTTCTCCAGGCTATGGTTTGACACAAACTGTTGTTGGTCAAATGGTGATTCTCCGGCAACCATAGCGGTAGAACCTTTTCTGTTCAAGATGGTTGTGATGTCCATGACCCAACCCAGCAGCAAGCGGAAACAGGGGTGTCAGGAATGATTTGGGATTCAGTTGAGGAATGGTTCAGACGCGGAGCCGCAGGATATTCTCCCAAGAGTGTCACAGCGGTGGGGGAGGTCCTCTGAAAACCGAGAATGCGGGAAACTGAGCCAAGGCCTCGCGAGGTTGACTGGAAGCACCCCGTTCAGTTGAGCGACAAACAACCACTGTTTGTCGGCAATCAGGGGTCCAAGCTCTTGATCGATTCCGAATCACACAACGTCCGTGTTCCTCCGCAAGTCGCGACTCAGTTTGGGGTGTATGGGCGGATAGGTGCAGGGTCAGGGACCGAAAGCTCTCCGATGGCGATCCGAAGCAAATTCTATTCGCAGTGCGCTAGATTCGAGCTGTCGGACCGTCGCGCAGTTGCTTGTACCGGTTCCAACCCAGACCAACGCAGTCGTTCTCGATTTGATCGGTGATGTCAGCGGCTCAGGCGGTCGTATCGATGGTTCCTTATGGACTAAAGATATCATCGCATTAGCAAGTTGCGCCGAGGTAATAGCAATAGCCCGCGGTAGGCCCCCGCGCCCCGACAGAGCTGGAATCTTCCACCACGCTGGAAAGCGAGGGTGGGATTTCAGCGCATCCGACGAACATCTGCGCAGGGAACTTAAGCGCGATTTGGTCCCCGCGCAAAACTCGAGGCAGTCATGTTTCACACCAAATGAGGGAACACAAACCAGAGAGTACGGGGGCGTTGAGGAAAAATGCGCCACGGGAGCCGACCAGCGGGGGAGGTGGTAAACACGCAAACACTTACCAAGAACCGGGAACCGTTTAGGCCTATCAAATCTTGGACGAGAAAGCTCACAGTCGAGGATTGCGGGGAGATCAGGAAGCGTGCGCAAAGTCGCTATTCCCAGCGTTCGGTGGTGGTGGGCAGATGGTAGTCAAAAAGTCGCAATTCTAAGGAAGCAAATGAAAGCTTGACGGGGAGGTAAGTAATTGAAAGAAAACGGACGGTAAGAGGAGGCTGTGATAGACAAAAAAAAAAGGAAAGGAAGAGTGGGGGGGGATCAGTCCCGAACCACGTGTTTTGAAATGACGACGAACAGGGGGGATAAGGGAGAGATGGGAGTAGCAGCAGTAGAGGCAAGACAAACACAAAAGCCAGCGCAGAAGGAGAGGAAGATGAGGCTTGAGATAGATGAATGAGGGAGATGATGATGACGACGTGACCAGGGAAAAAGCGATTCGGAGGTTTTGTTGGCGGAAATGCAGTCAGTACGGGAAGACCTACAGTCGGGTAACTTTGTCACAGCCGGTATTGATACAGCTCAGGTTTCCGTGGCTGTTTAAGAGAGTATAGAAGAGAGAGATATAAGGATGAGATGTAGAAGATGAAGAAAAAGAAGAAGAAGAAGAGAGACCGTTGGAGTATGAGTCCTATGTATGGAAGACCATGGGGATTTTTTAAAATTAAAAAAGATTATAATTAGTATCCAGGCACTCCGGTGGTCTTATTACTGGGCCTCACTAGTTAGTAGTTGGACAATACTAAACCACCTTTTCCCACGTTTCCACTTCAAAGTCCACCAACAACGGACTAGTATGATACGAATACCGAACTAAATGATGAAAGATGGAAGAATCCCATCATTAATTAATTCAGTCGGTGATTCCCCACCTCCTTCTCTCTTTCCCCCGTAGAAGGACGCTGGCGGCACCAGAAGGTCACCGTCAGCAACACCTCGGCTCCACCGCGTGGCTTTCCCCGTCCCTTTGGCCGTGCTCCTGGATGGTGGGTACGTGCCGATCTATATTATTCTTTTCTTCTTCTTCTTTTTACGACGACTAATGGGATGATTTTGATAATTATAATATATAAGATCAGGGACCAGGAGTCAGGATATGACGCAAGAAGGGGTAAGAACCATTCAGCATCTCGGATATCAATCATAGCCAAGCCCGACTTCCCCAGAACCTGGAACCACGTTATCTTATCCTCCTATTCTGTCTATTCTTTTCTCTGCTTCCTTGAATTCCTGTCATTCTTAGTTTATAACCATTGATTTGTTATAAATAATAGTATTGAATGTTCACGGAATATTCCATCTACTACTAAAAATGGTATAGACTCAGTATTCATCGTGCGACATTCCACCGCTCTTCTGTCACCCACCTGAATCAGGTATCGGTCCCTGAACGGTCAATCAGGATGGTCGATGGGGTGATTTAGCCCCATAAAATGACCTCAGGGGAAGACACCGCTGCAAATCCTTTACACAAACTGTCTGACCAAAGGGGTTTTGTTAAAATAATAATAATAAAATAAATATAGAATAAATAAGTAACCCTTATGTGTGCATGACCCCTCTCCGCTCCTGGCTCAGTTTCAGGACCAACAATAGGACAATAATAGAAATATATATATATTATATATATATATATAAATTATAATAAATAATAAATCACTCACAATTAATCAAGTAATTAATCAAGATCACTTAATAAGACAATATCATCGAGTCAAGCAGTTCATGACTTGTCAACTATGTTCTCTAACTATTCCATCGTATAGATTGGATCAGTCCTTACCCCTTTTGAATCCTCGGGATTTAGGCTCCCCGTGCAAAGAGCTAAGGAGACTAAGGAAACTAAGGAGATTGACAATGGACAACGGTGGGAAGCTAATTTCCTTCTAGAAAGTTTCGAATAATGGGGCCCATCGGCCCATCATCCTGGTTATTATGATTCTTTATTAGTTATTATTGACTTTTGATTTCATGAATAATCCTGACCGTGCACTCGTTCCACACATTATACGACCTTATACTACCTTATCCGCACCAGCTGCAGGGACAGCAGCTTTGTCTGATGCTGGATCGAATTGCTCAAACCTGCCTGTCATGGACCACATGCCCCTCCATAGGTGTCAGGTAGTATATTCGAACAACTCAATCCTGTCCCTCCACAGGACATATTCGAATAGATGTCGTGTTTCATTTCCCCTCCAATACCCAATCCATCCCCCCTTTCCCATTCCCCCAATCCATCCACCAACCGAGGGCCAGTGAGACGGCCCTAGTGAGACGCCCTAGTACCTTTAGTCCTGGCTAGTGTACGGACCTGACGGAGGAGGCTGCGACCAATTCGCAGACCCCACCCGCACATCCCTCCCACGCCCAAGTCTCTGCCGCTATTTTGTACTCCTTTTCTTTTTTGGTATTCTTGCAGGTGGTCTGATACTCTTTTCTCTTTTCTTTTCTGTTTTTTTCTTTCCTTCTGTTTTCCCCCACTGCCCATACGCGAGGGGGGGTGAGGGGGTCCACCTGCATGCCAAGACTGTCCGGTGCCCCGAGGAGAGCTTCTAGAAATGTTCGAATTCCTTCTAAAGCGAGGACCCATGCGTTGTGCGTCATCTGGGAGGACTTGGCCTGAGCCTGATTGATTTCCTGGAGGCTCTTATAGGAGCCACGATGATGATTACGAGAGGATACGGGGTTGATTTGTGCAGCCTTGCAGGAGGTACATACTCATGAAATTAGGCTGTCATGGTACGGAGTACAGCCGGGTACTATGGCTATTGTGCATTTCTAAAGTATAATCACAACAACAATAAAAACCACCACAATAATAATAAATCCTGCAGAAGTCCGTGAGAGAGTCAACCAGACCATCGACATCTCAGCCCCACGCGCCCGGTGTCTTACATATTCTTACAGGGATTAATCCGCCAAAATCCGGGCACACTCAGGGGCAGCTCGGGCCCGAATCCTGTGGCTGACCCGGCGGAGAGCCACGCCTTCAACGATTGGACCCGCGGCATTTACTCCTTTACCACCGGTGGTTTTATCCCAGGTTTCAACCAACCAACTAACTGACTGACCCGACCCCTCCGCCTTGACAATACAGTAGTGTGGAAGGGGATTAGGGGAACAAGGGTCAAAAAAAGAGGTCCCCACCAGGGGTGGCTGGAATACGGGACGGATGATGTCGATTGCAGCGATCGTCGTCTACTCCATTTGCCGGACTATGCACCATGCAGCGATGCCCGTCCCGTTACCGAGAGTATATCTTGCTGTTTGGATTATCCTATCCTATCCTGGACTCAGTTATCCATGTGATCCGCTGTCTAAGACTAGGTATGGACTCAAAGAAGGGGAAATCCCTACTACTAGCTAGTAGTCGCGCAGCAGCGATCTGGACTATTGTATTGACACTTGACACTGGTGGTGTATGGCCCACTGGTTGACGGTGTATTAAGGACATACGTATTCCTGCCTATCGGCGGTGTCGCAGGAATACCTACCTATGATCAATGGTTCATCCCCGGACGTACCACTGATTCAATCGATGGTTGCGGCACGGGTGTACCAAACACAGAGTGCTGGTAGACCTGTGCACCGAACACAGAACAGAACACCGGTACGCCATGACTCCCTAATCTCGACCGCCATCCAGAGAATCCTAGGTATTCCTTTGGTAGGACCGAAAAGGGGCCTTATCTAGGCATCCACGACATCCTGGCTTATTCTAGCCACTAAGACCTTCAGCGCTCAGATCTGATCCTCGGTCGGGGTTAAAAATACAGTAAATAGGAAAATAATTTCCAACAAAATCAACGATAAAAATAAATATTACCAAGTAGAAGCAAACGAGAAAGGAAGGAGACAATGCCATTATCATATTACAAACGGAGTCCCGCAGTTTCAGTACAACTCACCGCATCCTCACCATCAGTCCGTCCTACCCCTCAGGCTCCATCTGGGGAGACAGATACTCCAGTTTCAAACCGAGTCGAGAGTCTCTCCATCTGTCCGTCCTCCCTACTATCCCTAATTCGATTGACTACGGAGTACAACACATTTAGCCCATCTACAGTCAACCCACTGCGTGTCAGTCAGTCAAATCCTTCATCATATCCATTGCACACCGATGATCGTCAAGCGGAGCGGTAGGAACATTCCCGAGCGTCGCGCTAACATGGTAAGACGAAGACGAGCAGAACTAATTAACTAACCAACTAACTAACAGTAAGCTAGCACGGTAGCAACACGAAGAACGGACCCATCAAGAATGCAACTAACACACCGACTTGGTTAGCAAAGAATAACAAAAGAAGAAGAAACACTACCTTCTGGAAGGCCCGTAGAAGGAGACTATTGAACAGACTAGGCCACGTTCTGGGTCCGTGATATCACTCGGGATGGGGAAAGGAGAGACTAACTCGAGTGCTGGGCAGATCAATCAAAATAAATAAAAGAACTACTTTCAAAAAGGCAATAGCTGGCTGACTTGATTATTATTATTGCGATAGTACGTAACTGACCAAGGCATGAGATGTTAAAGGGTGGATATCTCTCTCCCCTTTTCTCCTTTCTTTCTCCATCTTTCTGCTCTGTCTCCTGAACAGGAAGGATTCTGGAAGATACGGTATTATCTTACTGTATGGTATGTATTTACCTGTCGTCAGTTCAATGTTTGGGTGGGAGTTGGAGTCTCACTATACTAACACTACTCTTAACTATACTCTATGATATGCGCATGTAGTATATTGTAACAACCTCTCAATAAGCCAAAGATAATATGATACACAAGAAAAAAAGATAAATGATCTCAACCAAATCAGAAACAAACACCCGTACTCCCAATGCGACCAGTAGGCACTGGGCAGTCTCTTGCACGCTTGGCACATTTGTCCTGTTTGTCTCACGATGATCGCATTTTATGTTCCGAAGAACCTCATCCGCCATCGCAGTCGAACTGGGGATATCAAGTGCGCTAGATAAGGTAGGAAGAACCATTGCTAGTTCATTACATTGTCATTATATCTAATTCCACGATATAGCTGTTTCTATTCCACCTACCCAGCAATCGCAAATACACCAATCTCCACTCAAACCAAATCAAGCAAACCATCACCAAAACACATCGCGCAAACCAACCCCCATCAATCAATCAAGAAAAAAACAAAAGAAGAATACACGGCATGGCCACCCTCCGCCCAACCCTCCGGGCCCTCCCAACATCACGCCCCCTCCTCCTCCGCCAACAGAAGCAATACCAACGAGCCCACTCCACCGTCTCCGCAAATGAACTCTCCCACTTCTCCGCACTAGCCAGCAGCTGGTGGGATCCGCAAGGTCCCTCGCGCGTCCTGCACCTGATGAATCCTCTCCGACATGATTTTATCGCGTCTTGCCTCGCGCAGGGGACTCCGCCGGTTACCTCTACCGAGAACAACACCGGGAAAGAGGTGGGAAACGCAAACACGCTTAAATATCTCGACATCGGCTGCGGAGGAGGTATCTTTGCGGAGTCGCTCGCGCGCACTATCAACCCTGCTTCGAAATCGACAACACACACCCGCGCGGCGTCTATAACAGCGCTCGACCCCTCGTCGACTCTCGTCCAGATCGCGCGCGACCACGCCCGGACGGATCCTATCGTCGCGGAACATCTCCGGAATGGCACATTCACCTACAAGAACTGTACTCTGGAAGATCACGTCTCCTCCTCTTCCTCTTCCTCCCCATCCCCATCACCATCATCCCCCTCCCAATCACCATCCCCCACCCCCACCCAATCACCCTCTATCCCCCCCACAAACCAATACGACGTGGTCACCCTCTTCGAAGTAATCGAACACATCGACAACACCTCCCCAACCAGCAACCCCACAACCTTCCTCACAGACTGCCTGCGCCTCGTGCGGCCCGGCGGCTGGCTAATCGGCTCGACCATCTCCCGCACCCTCACCTCCTACCTCATCAACCAGGTCATCGCGGAGGCGCCGTGGCCGGTGGGCGTCGTCCCGCGCGGGACGCACGACTGGGCGAAGTTCGTGAATCCGGAGGAGTTGGAGGCGTGGGTGCAGGAGGCGCTGATGAGGGGTGCGGATCGGGGCGTTACTGTTCGGGGCGGTGGGGGCGCGCTGGGAGAGGGCATGAGGTGGTGTGTTGGGGGGGTTGTGTATTTTCCGGGCGTGGGGTGGAAGATGGTGCAGGGTTCGGAGGGTTGGGGGAATTATTTTTGGGCGGTTAGGAGGGGGGTTTAACTTCTTTTTTTTATTTCTTTGTTTCTTCTTCTTTTGTTCTTGAGCTTTTTTGCTTTGGGTGGGTGGGTGAGTAGGTGAGAGTGTGTGGCTTGTTTTGTTAGAATGGTCGAAGGATATGTTGTGTTGTGAGGTTGTATATATAGTGTAGATTAGATAGACGATTATGAGATTATAGCATTGTAGAACAGAATAACAGCATTCACTAGTTACAAAAAATACATATTTATATTGCCATCATATCAAACTCATTACATAGCCGTTAGTGTAGTGCAGTGTACCTGCTAGACTAGATGCAGTGCATGCACTACACGGCGCCTATCTCCAAGAGCAGACGAACCCCACAGAAAGTGTTCAGCGTCGCCAACGAGACATCCAAGCCTAGCGTGTCTAGCAGATAGTCAGGATAGCATGCATAGCACACCAGTCCTAAAGCACTCATCAAGGATGATTCAAACAAGCTACTTCTTCCTCCCCTTCCCCTTCTTCTTCCCCTTGCTCTCCGGCTCAGGCACACTGACCGTCCCCTGCACAACATCATCACTCTGATCCTTCAACCGCTCAGACCCACTGATAAAGAACGTAAGGTCGCGGTTCTGGTCCGCCAGATCCACATTAGACACCTTCAGTGTGTCGACTTCCGCAGTGAGGTGTTCGATCCGGCCCATCAGGCTCTCGTTCATGGTCTTCTCCTCGCGCCACTCCTTCTCCATCTTCCGCGCCATCGCCTCGAACTTCTCGGCGCGTTTCTCCGCGCGGGATTTATCGCGCTCGAGGGCCGGGAGGGTCTCTGATGCGAGCTTGTCGTACTGCGCTTGGAGGGTCTGTAGGGTTTTGGTTGCGGTAGTGGCTGCGTCTTGGGCGGTGGATGCAGCGACGGAAGCCTGCGAGGCTTTGTCGACGGCGCGCTGGACGACTTCCTCGAAGTAGGCGCGCTGGCTCTCGAGCTGGCTGGTGAGGAGGTGGGTGTATTCGACGCTCATGTTTTCGAGTTTCTCGCGGGGCACGGCGTCCGTCCAGTCGGGGGGATCGAGGGCGCTGTTGTCTGCTGCGGGGAGCTCGACGAGCTTGCCGTCGGTTTTGCTCTGGATGATGCGGTGCACGTAGGCGTCGCCGATGTAGTCCCAGACGCGCTGGGTGGAGAGGTCCATGGCGAAGGCGTGCGATGTTTCTTGGAAGTGCGCGAAGGCGTGCGCGCCGTCGTACCGCCCGCAGCCGACGGCGCCGCAGATGAGGCATACCCAGAGGTTGAGCTCCGAGTGGCAGACGTTGCACTGGGCGGGGTCGTCTTCGGAGAACGCGCTTGGGAGTGTGTGGCGGATGTCGTCTTGCGTGTAGCGGCAGACGGGGCAGCCGCTGCCTTTCCACTTTTGGAGACAGGTGCAGTGGAAGACGTGCTGGCAGATGATGGTCAGGAGGCCGGTGGTTTCGTCCATGCGCTCTAGGCAGACTGGGCATGTCGGGAGCTCGACGAGGGCTGGTGTAGGAGGGGCCAGCGGTCTGGTGGAGAGTGAAGCGGAGGGGATGGGGCTGGTCTGGCTGGCTGAGGACAGGGTCCGCTGAGGGCTGGTCGCCGGCGTCTGCATTTCCAAGTCGACCGCTTGGATTTCCACCGTTTTCACAAAGACCACATGGCACGTTTCAGGCTGTAGGATAGAGGTTAGACAGTTTCCCATGACGAAAAGCGAAGTAGTCTCCCAGTGACCGTTGGGACACTAGAATCAAAGAATGACCTACCTCCATACTATTAAACACCTTCCCATTCCACTCCCTCTGCCAATCCCTCGCCTTCCTCCCACTCCGAAACTTCATCAAAACCATATACCGATTGGCCCTCGCCGTGCGAATCATGCGAAAATGACTAACATCATCCATGGTAGCCTCCCCCACAAACCCCAAAAAGTCCGACGGCGACATATAAGACGGCACAGCAAGTATACACAGCGTCGTGCAGTCCTCCTCATCCAGACGCCCCCTCGACGACGACACAACAGCCGACGACGAAGAAGACTGCCGCAGCCGCAGCTGCCTGTGCTCTCCCCGACGACCATCCCCGCCCAGCTCATCATGCGGCTGTCTCGCGGCAGCAGAGCCCTTCAAGTCCGGGGGGTAGTCGGCATCTTCCGTGAGGGAGGGCGTGTCCTGGAGATCGCGGTAGAGGTGGACGATACCCCAGACGCTTTCCGAGACGGACTGGTCCAGCGGGATGTATTTTCCTTTTGTGCGCAGGCCGCCGAGGATGTCTGTTCCGATGCCCGTCGCGACGGGGTTGTCGTCGACGCGCCGGGTGGAGGCTGCGCGGCGCGAGCCGCCGAGGTCCTGGTCTAGGGGAATCATGTCGATGCACGCGATGGAGACTTTATCGAGGCGGAGGTCTTTTTCGAACGCGGGGGTGCTTGTCTGTGAGGTTGTGTAGGGGTGTGGTGGGGTCGTGGCGGGGTGCGTAGTGTCTGAGGGGCGAGCGTCGGAGGTGGATGGGCGTGGGGTTCCGCTGCTGGTGGAGGTGGTCCTCAGGTCGCGGGGATTATTGCGGTGTGAGGTCGGTCGCTTGTGGAAGGGGAGGAGAGCTTCGCATGCGGAGTCGAAGGATAGCGATGTTGGGGATCGGCCTGGAGAGGAGCTTCGGAGGTCGTTGTGGGGGCGGGCAAACAGTTCAATGGCGAGGTGGTAGAAGTAGGAGGGCATCGCGACAGATACTCACACTACTGAGTGGTGGTTCAGTAATAGCTCCATCAAGTCTAAGAGACTTGTGGTGGAGATCGTATTAGGAGTTAGTTGGTTGATGATGATGACGATGTTGATTGCGGATGGGAAGTTTACTGCCCGTTTTCAACGTTCCGCCCACATGACCAGTTGATAGTTGAAGAATATGCAGAGTATGAGGGTTTGTGGAAAGGATTTATTTATTTATTCAATTTTGATTTTATCTATTCTTTTTACTTTATGCTTAACTACAATAAACATTGTTTGTCCAACGAAGATAGCGATTGAAGTCCCGGTGGCAAAACATCAAGAATTGAACGTATTATCCACGTCTGACTGCCAAAAACCATAAGAAACACTGACAGGACAGTCAAATTAATCAAATCTAGTAGCCTGGACCTACAATTATGTCTAGACCCGTATCGCCCCATAAGTCATCCACCCTGGTCGGGAAGTGGGTTGTTGATAAGGTACCGACGAACGGCGATAGAACGCCTGGCGCGTACCTCAAGGCGGGTGGCGACAGTCATATCTTCCGCGAGGAAGCATTTTAATGTGGATAGAATCAAATTACAATCAGAAAACAAGTCTGTCTCAATAGTTCATTGATAAGGAACGAGGACCACCGCTGTCGCAGTGGTCAGGTATGATAAGAAGCTAATAATGACCATAACCGTGTCATAAAACCGAAGAAACCAGCCCAACGCCATGCATGCCATCCCGTATGAGCCGTGATAGCAGAGAATCAAGGAAAGACATTAGTTGCCCCCACGGAGACGGAGGACCAGGTGCAGAGTGCTCTCCTTCTGGATGTTGTAATCCGAGAGCGTGCGCCCATCTTCCAGCTGCTTACCAGCGAAGATGAGACGCTGCTGGTCCGGGGGAATGCCCTCCTTGTCCTGAATCTTCGACTTGACGTTGTCGATCGTGTCGGAGCTCTCCACTTCCAATGTGATCGTCTTCCCGGTTAGGGTCTTGACGAAGATCTGCATACCACCACGGAGACGGAGGACGAGGTGCAAGGTGGACTCTTTCTGGATGTTGTAATCGGACAGGGTGCGGCCATCTTCCAGCTGCTTGCCAGCGAAAATGAGACGCTGCTGGTCGGGCGGGATGCCCTCCTTGTCTTGGATCTTGGACTTCACGTTGTCAATGGTGTCGGACGACTCCACCTCCAGGGTGATGGTCTTCCCGGTTAGGGTCTTAACGAAGATTTGCATGCCACCGCGGAGACGCAGGACCAAGTGAAGAGTGGATTCCTTTTGGATATTGTAGTCGGACAGGGTACGGCCATCCTCCAGCTGCTTGCCGGCGAAGATCAGGCGCTGCTGGTCGGGGGGGATGCCCTCCTTATCCTGAATCTTGCTCTTAACGTTGTCGATGGTATCGCTGGACTCGACCTCGAGGGTGATGGTCTTGCCAGTGAGGGTCTTGACGACTGGAGTCAAGTTAATACGTGTTTTCCCGTCAGGTGGCGAAACAGTCGAACTTACAAATCTGCATACCGCCACGCAGGCGCAGCACCAAGTGAAGAGTGGATTCCTTCTGGATGTTGTAGTCGGAGAGAGTACGGCCGTCCTCCAGCTGCTTGCCAGCGAAGATCAGGCGCTGCTGGTCGGGGGGGATGCCCTCCTTATCCTGAATCTTGCTCTTAACGTTGTCGATGGTATCGCTGGACTCGACCTCGAGGGTGATGGTCTTGCCGGTGACTGTAGATGATGAGGTGGTTAGCGGACGGCCCTTAAGGTGGCGTTAGCGGAGACGAGGGATGAGAATACTCACGGGTCTTGACGAAGATCTGCATGATGGGCAGGATATCACAGTAGAGGTGTAGAAAGAAAAGACGATGATCTAGGTCGAGAAGTTGATGGAAGAGTGGATGGAATACAGACGTCAGACTCAGTCCAAGAGAGGTGGAATGAAAAGAGGGGAAAGGGCGGAAGTGGAGGGAGACGCGGGTTAAATAGGTAGGAGAGAGGAGAGAGAGAGGAGAACGACCAAGAGTGAGGGGAGGCGAGAGGCAAAGTACCCAATTCAGTAACTTAGTCAGGGCCTCCAAGCAATGATAGGCCGATAACGTGATGATTGAAACCAAGGAAAATGCCACCTGCCATCATTCAGTCTACCTATCTCACTAGTACCTATTGACTATTCTGGCACCTCCTGGGGCATTCCTCACTATCCACCCAGTCACCGGTCGATCCCTTCTTACTCCGTCCCAGTAACCAGACCGACTGGGAAGGAAACTACTAGAACGAAACTCAGCCACAGCGATGACTCAAGTTCTTTGTTAGACTCATCCATAGTTTTACATTCACTAGTAGGACCAGGCTGAAAATTTCTCAAGAAGGCAAGTCCAAGTTGCTGCGCTGTAGTCAGCCTTCTCCCTGTTATCAAGTAAGCCATCATAGTGTTATGGATGAGTGATACTGGTCGGTCTGTCTCCGCCTCCGTCCGTACCCGCCACTGACGCCACCAGTCGGTATCTCCTCACTAAACCGGCCAACTCATTCACGCTGGAAACGTCTTCCAGCATTTCCAACAAAAGAAAAAAAAAATGTTCAGGAAAAAAGACTAATAACTTTAGTTTCTAATATCAAAATTCATTTCCCCCTCTCAAATATATAAAAGTGATTCAAACAAGTCAACTCCAATAATGCGTCATGGACACCCCAAAAATGATGACGTGTGACTCCAACACTCCTTATCGCCCAGCGGCAAGTGGGAACGGCACACGGCCCCAGAGTGCAGGGGGGACTGGCCTACAGGCTACTAAAGACTGGCCTAGAGCGAGTTAGGTACCCATCGCGGCAGGGAGGGTCAGGTGATCGTCGCTTCCGGTTACTCCCTTCCTGGCCCCACTTTGTTTGTTGCCTTAGGCTGCTGGTATTGCATTGCACTTGGATCAAGTCCGGTTGTCGCATTCCTTTCTTTTTATATCAAGGTTGTCAATATTTATTATATACTCCACGCACGTAGTACTTACCTACTAGGTATATAGGTATCTACCTAGGTAGATAGGTACCCACCCAGGTACCACCCATAACAGAATCAGACATGTCAACAATCCAATCCAACACCCATCATCCCGGTAAGGAGTCTCCAATCTGACATCACAAACCACCCATGCACGTGCAGGCGCAATGCACACGGACAACACCATTACTTTTAGCTTGGTAGTGTCTCTCTATTGCCTACTTAGGTATGAAGTGCTAGGTAGGTACAGAGTACTGTACGAACATAATAGTGATGATGCATCTGATCCATCACCGTCCTGGTGGGATGGATGCACTGCCTGCATTATCTACGAGCTATTGAGTCTGAATCCACCAAAACTTACGGTACTCCGTACAGAATTTTAAACGAGGAGAGGTCACTACTACAGTAGGGTATGATGTACAGCTCGTGGAAACTTTGCCGACTGCAGGCTTTTATGTGATTCATCCAATGCTATATACTAGCCTACCTAGGTACCTATCTACCGCTACCTAGGTATGTATGTTCAATTTAAATGCCAACTGTACAATACCTCAACAAATGGGGAAGGGGGAGGACACCACACACAATCCCTGATGGAATGGTGGGTTGGTCCCGATCAAATGTACGTAGACTTGAACCACTGTACACCCGAGCTGGTCAATATATAATATTCAAAGCTTGCATGGCAAAGATCAACAAAGACAAAACCAAAAGAAATAGAAAAAAAGACATAGCATGCATGCGAGCACACCTCTTCAAAATCGTAAACACACACTCCCTCCCCTCGACGCCTTGGTCCTCCTCATCATCAGGAGTCGCCGACACCAATACCAAGACGCAACCCCAAGTCCTTCCTCCACTGGGACAAGAAACAAAAAAGAACAAAAAAGAAAACACGCTCAATCGGACACAAATGCAAAAAAGCAGCAGCTCCACACGAGGACTAGTCTCCCGCACGTGTCGCCAACTCAGTTGCGCTCGTCGCTGCTGCTGTAGACATTTCGTGACCATACATATCATGACATTCGTGAACCTCATCATCGCTGGTGATAGATACTATGCGAGAGGGAGGCAGATCACTGGGGGGAAACGTAAGGAACGTCGTCAATCGGAGATCGAAATCGAATCAAAAGGAAAGGACGGACGCTGAAGGACTTGCGAAGATAAATGAAAACAAAATGAAACCAATCCCGAAGTTAAAAACATAACAAATTGTGAAAACAGGAAAAAAAAGCTGATAGATACGGTTTGGTGGATAAAATAATGACGGTCGTCGTTAATGGCTGACTGAAAATTTCATAATCGTGAATAAATGCCGGCATATATCATTGGATCGTGTCGTGGGCATGCCATCTGGAGCCATGACTCATTTGTTCGGAAAGGTTTTGAAAATTGCAACGGACCGTCGTTATGTCAAAATCACCTAGTTCGCGCGGATCACGAGGCGGGAGATGAACTTGTTCGATAAGCAGTCGAAGTCGTTCCGGTTGAACTTCGAACCCGAGCGGCTACGGAGGTAGGTCTCTGCAACGACATCAGTAAGGGAGAAAACATCAAGGAAACACAGCATCTTACCGTATTGCGTCACGTGCTGGCGGACCTCGGTCATCGTGTTGCAAACGTCGGGATTGGAATGGAGCAGATGATGGTGCTTCTGCGTCTCCCAATCGGTGAAGGCGGGCAGCTTCTGCGAGATGGCTTGGAAGAGGCCGACGATAACCCCAACCGGTGTGGTCTCCATATCGGTGCAGAATTTATCCACAGCGGAAGCATCCTATCATTGAGTCAGTATACGACGATAGAACGACGGGTATTCCCATGACTTACCGGTGTACGGTAGTGGCTGTCGAACTGCATCTCCTCCCACACCGCCAGCAGGATCGACGCCAGGATAAAGATGGTAGGCCAGTTCTTCAGCTTGTCCCCGCTATAAACACTCGAGTAGAGACCGGAGAGCTCCTCCAGAACATCCTTCTGCAACTCACGCCACATGTTGGCCATGGCGCACTTGATCTGGAAGTTGATCATCACCGGGGCCATGGTCTTGCCCGAGAATTTTGACCCGCTATTGATCTTCCCGGAGAGCCCCTCCTCATCGCCCAGGCCTTCCACCATGGTGACATGGAGCGTCAGGTTGTAGGCAACGACCAGCTTCAGCGCCTTGCGGATGACCGGCAGCTTGGTGCGGAAGTAGTAGCGGAAGGCGGTCTTCAGCATCTGGGTGAGGAACGGAGTACCCTCGAAGTAGTCGTCCACAAACTTCTCAAATGTACCGTTACCATCGATGTGGCGGTCCAGATAGTCGGAGAGCAGGGCGTGCGAGATACCCTCCATTCCGGCCGAGAGCTTGGCGGTTTCCACCTCGTATTGGGTCGGTTCCCGGTGCATCGATTCCACCCAGTCAACGCTGAAGCACTGTTCGTCCCGGACGTAGACCTCGCGGGCATTGATCGGGAGGACTTGGCCATAACCGTGGGTGATGAAGAGCGTCCGCTCGTGGTCCGAGAACCCCTTGATGTTCCCGACGGAGAACCCAAGGCTGATGTGGCGCTCATAGTCCGCCTTCCAATCCTTCATGAAGTACCCGATCTCCTTGATATCGATTCGGGTGCAGGGAACCTGCCACAGGCGGGCGTGGGAAGGCTGGCATCCGGCACACGGCTCGCCTTTGTCACACTGATTGAACGCGTCAGCCGACGAACCACTGGACCCTTGGGACGTGGGAACTTACAGTCTTCTTCAAGAACTTGCAGCGCAGACAGGCTCTCAGCTTGCGAATCTCGCTGGCCTGCTTGCGCTGATCCGGCTTCAATGGGCCCTTGCGCTTGCCCACCCGCTTCTCGGTTTCCGGCTTGCCGCTCTGCGAGTGCTTGCGGATCTTGGTCTCCGACTTGGCGGCGATGGGACTCTTCCGGGACGGCTTTCGGCTGGGCGGGGACGCGGACGACGCCTGGGAGCCGGCGGAACGGGCCGGCGAGGACGGCTTCTTCATGGGGACGGGCACGGGAATGGGGCGGGCAATGGCCACGGGGCTGACCGCGGTGGGAGACTGGGACCCATGGGAGGTGTGGTCAAACGAGACGCGTCGGTTCATGGTGTTGAAGGCCGACTCGAAGTTGGTGTCCGAGCTGGGCGAATTGACCGGGTTCGTGACATCGATGAAGCTGCTGTAGGAGGTCGAATACGAGGACTCCGACAGACTCCGGTCGTGCAGGGTCTGGCTGGGGTTGATGAAGAAGCCCTGGTCCGGGAAGGAGAACTCGTGCGAGTGGCGGGGTTCAATCGCACACCAGCCGTTGTCACTGCTGGACAGCGAGCGCACCTCGAGGGCAGTGTCCGTGGGGGAGCTGCTGTCAATGACATTGTGCGGCGCCGCATACGACGAGACATCGCCCACGGCGTCGGGGAAGGGCATGAGGTCCGCCTGGAAATCATGGTAGGGGAACTGGTTCATGTCGACGGGGGGCGAGAGCGGCAGATAGGAGCCCCCCAAGAGGCTGGTGCTCATCTGGCCTTGCGAATTGGACATCAGATCGATGGGAGACGACTGAATGGACATGCCATAGCTGGCCGTGGTGAACTGTGGGACGGACGAGGCCTCCTCGGGGGAGTACTGGAGGTGGGGTTGCAGGGCATGAAAGTGCCAGTCGACCATGAGGTTAGGGTCCTGCGATACCGACTGTTCGTAGGGGAGACCGCTAGTCTGTAGCGCAACATCTCGTGCTCCATCGGCTCGTTGCGAGGCCTGATGATCCACCGTCACGGGCCATGACTGCGGCTGGAGGTAGTTTCTGGAGTCATAATCGAGGCCAATGAAGCCATCGCTAGATATATCGACATTTGACATGATGACAACGAACTATTTACGAAACGAGAGGAAATAACCAAAGAAGAATCGCATGAATCAAAAAAAAAGAGAGAGAGAGAGAAAACAATAACCATCAAAAGTAAAAATCAAATCGTGAAAAGGAAAGGGGGGGGGGGGGGGGGGGAAAGATCAAAAGATAGACAGACAAGATGGGTGAGTCAGTGGTACAAAAAAACAAATGAAGAAGAAGAAGAAGAGGATGAAACTGGAGAAAGATGACTGACAGCGAAGCCTGAGGAAAGTTGAAGGGCTTCGGAGGAGCAGTAAGCCCAGAACCCGGGCGACAAGAGGGGAATTTTTTTTATTTTTAATAATTATGTGTATTCTGTATTTTTTGAGGGTGGAATCGAGAGAGGAATGGATAGGATGGGGAATAGTTTAGATCAGGTCATTGGCACGGGTTCGTTCGTTAGTCGTACATGAATCGTAAGTCGTAAAGATGAAAAAGGAATAGTCAGTGGATTTGTTGATGTGAATTGCTTCGTTTGAGTAGAAGTCTCCGCTCAAGAGGTTAGAAGTTGAGTGAGGGAAGTGGGTGAGGATGGAAAGTGGACAGAAGCGGTGGGTGTGGGGGGGAGGAGAAGAGAGAGAGTGGAGGAAGAGGAGGAGAAGCAAAGCAGCGGTGAGGCGGAAGTTGCGTCGGCTGGAGATACGCTAGGGATCCTGAGCGAGAGTTATCAGCCAGCTATCAGAGGAAGTGGGGTTACGGTATGATACTGGTATATTACTGCAGGTTTATTCACACCTGGGTATCTTCTGGAATAAGTAAACTACCTGGTACCTACCTAGGTAGGTAGGTACCTTGGTGTAGAACTTACCTATACTAGAGTCAATCCTGAGGCTCTTATGGTATCCATCTCCTACACCAGCATAACAGGATGACTGATTCCATCATGCCCACGGTCTGCCCGTGACATCCAGAATACTGTCCATCCTAATCCGGTATAACCCTCAAGATTGACAAGTCTCATGATTCTCGTCCCCGATCTCCAAAGAGTGGATCATCAATGAGGCGTTTCAACTGGTTGGGAATGGGAACTAAGATGGATCCAATACTAAATCCGCCTTGTGCATGCATTGCTGGACAAGCCCGGTAATACTAATCTAGTAGTGTGGCGCCCTCCAAGCCCAAAAAAGATCATAACCGGTAATGGGGACCCATGTTTCCATGTATCGCACACACACGCCATCCCTGTCGGGGTCCTGTTTGTGGGTAAGCATTCTTGATCGATGATCATAGCGTGTTCTGTCATAATACACATTCCTCGATCAATGGAACCCATGGAACCCATGGAACCATCCGATTAAAGGGATGTTAGTTGTTGGTTACAGTCCACGTTCCCCTGGGAGTAACCACGGTACGGCGACGGATTTCTCCGTCCATGCGACACGGAAAGCATCGCCGGGAGGGGAGATCAGTGGACTCCGTTGAGATCGGTTGGAAGGATTAACGGGCGTGGAAATATTTAATATTCTAGTAACTTACCTACCTAGTAGTACTTCCTTACTACCTAGTAAGTAGGTAGGTGGTTTTGATAGGTGGTGGTCTCGGCCGGCCCCGCCGATGACGGGATCCATACAGTACGGTACAGTGTGTATGGTATGGTATATTGTGCTACTTCACCATTGCCCATCTTACTTTACTGGATCGGAATGCTTTTGCAGGGAGTCTCGACTAGACTAGTTGATCACAGTGTGATGAGGAAAAAGCAAGAGTCAAAATAGCTAATTTCCAACGACTGATGATCGCCCCGTTACTAAACTACTAAACGGCCCTCGAGGGACTACTGCTTACTCCAACGAGTTAGTCCTCCCCGAGTCTCTAGTCACTACTCTATCGACAACGAGCCAACTGCCAAGGTCTGAAGCGCGACAGGCGATGGTCATGGCCCGGTAGAGAGTCAGCAGCGTCTCCATCCCTGACCAACTACCTAACCATTGAGGCACACATGTTGGCTTCGTGGCTCTCAAGGTTGCTGACGCTGCAGTAGCTCCATTTCAACCGTAATACACCACCATACAGGGCAGAACATCCCAACCTAAACAATCCGTTGATGCTGCTGATCATGGAACAATCCGTGAGTCCGATGTGGGATGATAAGCGGCTTTCAGTGGGTTAGTACGACCTTCTCTGTACGAGGTCTGCTGCCTGGATCCGATTACACACTCTCCTCGTTCACAATACCTGTTTGTGCCCTGCCAGCGAGGAGATGGGTCTGTCATAGCCATCACCCGAGGGAAACCCGTGCTTTTGTCCCCACTTTCTCTATTTCTGGAGGGCCTGTGTGTATTTCCTTGCTCGGCTCGGGCCCTTCCACTGGGAAACAATGACGGTACGAAGTATGGAGTAGATTGTTTAAAAATAGCAAGGGGCGTTGGTCGGTCAGTCACGAAAGGATAACCGCCAACATCCAGCGAGTCAAAGGGGCAAGGAAAAGAGAGTGATAGATCAGATACAGGTCCCTCAACACACCTGCAAGACACGCCGGTGATGACAACGCCAGGGCAGTTGGGGTACATCCTCCACGGGGCATGCATGGGGAAAAGTCAAAGAGGCAACAGCAGGGTTTGGCTCGCTCCCCTTCCTTCCCTCTCAGTTGCTGCAGGAAGGGGGGAACACACGAATGTCAGCTAGCCACCAGGGAAAGAAAAAAGCCTTTGCATGTCTACTAGAGGGGATGACTCAACGGGGGAAGCCCGTGGGTTCCACCAGGGACAACCACCGTCGGATCCTATTTGCTAGCCTTGAAACACCTCCATTCCATCGTGGCATCATTTGGTTCTGACTCGCAGTTGGCCACGCCAGCGTGGCCGCACGCAATCGAGATTTACTGTACAATTCGTATTTACCAGGGAGGGCCGCGGTGATTTCAGCAACCCTCCCGCTCGGGTTTAGCGCCTGTCCCGTGATCACCCCATACGGTTTAACCTCCACCCAGTCAGGTTTAGCCTCTCGCGCTATACCCTGCGCGGATCTGCCGCCCGTCTCCGCCCCTCCCCTCGTCCGCTGAACTATACAAGACCGCTGGTGCGTTGCTCCATGATCTTCTTCTTCTCAAAGGACGGATCCATGGATGTGGCTCCTCTGGGGGGTCTGTTCTTATGAGAACGATGATGAGAGGGGAAAAAGGGTCGTGAGGAGGGGGTTAGAGAGAGACTGGGAGGGAGGTGGTGGTATACGATGAGGGAATTCGTTCTTTGGCTTTGTCGCGCATGCGCGCGATGGGGGTCTGCCGCGTTATACCGCCTGGCGATCAAGTATGAGGCTGCACCGTGGGCGGCATGGTTATCGATTAATGTCGAGTCATCAAATGTTTCGCTGAGGCCTGATGGTTTCCTATCTTTCATGGTACTCAAGAAGTCTAATTGGCGTTTAAACTCAAAAACAATGATACTGGATACTGTCGGCTGCTATCTCTCCGCGAGACTTTGTCACCATACTGTATAAACCCGAAAGTTTACATGCTACGGTGATGAAATCTGGTTCAAGTGGTAGGAGAGTTCTAGTAAACACGATCCCCGCCCACAGAGCAGGCAAAATTGGAGCAGGCACTTGTGATGTGACAGCATTGTGAATCCGCTCCCCCGATAACTAGCCAAATGGTAGGGAATGACTACAAACATCTACAGTGGAGACTGATCATAGATATATCTTTACAACCTGAAGTGAAGAAAACAGACAGACAAAATATAGAATTAATCATAAACCATGCAACAACTTGAGAAAATTAGCAAGGGAAGCTAGCTGGTCATCATTCTTAGGGTCATGGCGGACTCCTCTCTACTATCTTCCAACCCAGATTTCGCAGAGTTTCCATGAGGGCCCGCCGACGGCTGATAACCTCTTCATCATTTGCCACCGACGTCCCTCGCCAGGCCATGTAAATTGACCGATACCACCCTCTCTTCTGCTCGCATGCATAGGCGGCTCTTGCTTCAATCTCATTCCAGTCATATTCTGATATTGTGAGAGCGAGTGCCAGGTATTCGTGGGGCTTTATAAATGATAAAAACCCACCGAGAGGTCTTGTCACAACACCCCTGTGTGAGAGATAACTGGATATTCTTTTATAGCGCTTCTTCGTCTGTGACCCATCTTCCGTGTTTCCCAGTATGGTCTTCTCCCAGCGGTAAGTGTGTACGTCGAATATCGAGGGAACATCGAGTCCCATTTGTTGTTTGAGATCATCTGCCTCATATAGTTGGCCCAGTCTGATGGTGACGATTTCGATCATGGAACTGGAGTTCGTCACCCGAGAAATCTCTTTCTCCGCGGAGAAGACGTCGCAGTCTATCATGAAGGGCGACATTGGCCCCAGCATTGTCAAATCCAGGGTGGCTTGCGAAATATTTCTTCGCGAGAAACTCTAGCCGGCTGTATCGCGCACCCCCTCCATATCTAGAGGCCATGGCGCACCTGACTGAACTTCTCCAAAATCAGTTTTGCGGAATGCGAGGTTGTAATGCTTCGCCCGCAACCGCCCCTCTTTGGTGAAGTGCTGGCAGAAGACTTTGCGGTCCTTCCGCTTCGCGGTAAAGAGACTGACCAGCTCGGGTTCCCGTAAGATAATCCGTTCGGCGCCCTCGGGCATCGGCAGCAATACCAGAGGTATCTCCCGGGGGTTCAAGCGCAGAAGTCCGTCACTAACCACATTGTCACTATGCTTGCAACCTGCCGGGAGACCCTGGGATCGCCCCATCCCCCCTCCTCCGTGGAGACTCGGGACTCGCTCTGAGAACTCGTGCCTGTAGATAAAGACTTCTGACTTGCTGACTCCGCTTTGACCCCCTGGGTTGCGTTATCGGGGTGAGGGTTAGGAGGCCGCATGGTCAACGATCCATTATCTCCTATCTCGATAGGTCGGTTCAAGGTCCCCCACCCGGGGAAGGACAGCGGCTGACAGTTCTGGTGCTCCTAATCATCCTCTGTATCCACCAGGGACATTCCATGACGCTCCTGTCCCTCTATCAGTGGATTCATGGATACCGTAGCCGGAAACAGAACTCGTATGGTGAAAATGAACGTGTTGCCGCCCGATACCGAGATAAGATGGCCGGTAAGCGGTACGATGAGGTATGGGTCAAAGAAATGTGGAATGGTGAGGAAGGTGAGGATGCAAGCGACTTATGATTGCCTAATCACTCCGTCCGTGTCCAGTGATCGCAATGATCGCAATCTGCAATCCACTTACACCCCCCTTCCTTCCCCATGCACTTCGGAGGGTTCGACAACCCGGAGTCTTCGAAGGGCTAAGCCATCTATCCTTGTACGAAGTAAGAGGGAACCCCAGACGTTGCCGGTATTTCATTTCCCATTCATCATCCTGGGCACTAAAATCCATCTCCTGGTCTTTTCATAGGGGATGTAGCCTGTCCACAACTTCGCTAATCGAATTAGTAAATTTGATAAACGTCGGGTGAGTAATGACTTCTCGGGGAGCGTCTTCTATATCCACCAGACATTGGACGATGGCAGAAGCAGCGAGACCACCGCTTGCACGGCCTATGCTTCTACCTATGCCAAGAATAGGATGGCTTGTTATCACTCGCTGCAATCTGGTAGTTCTATAGTTGTAAGACATTGTGGCGTGGCATTTCAACCCTCTATACTATATCTCCCAGGGTATATATATCACTGCTATCCGACTCGTGGAAGCCCAATGTATCGTGCCCAAAATCCAGTCTAGCATTCTTCACCGATAGAACATAGTCGTACCGATACACCAACATCTCCAACCCCGTGAAATTCAAATCTTCACATCCAACGCAAGCCCAAACCGAAAATATCTCGTCAGCACCACACAAACAGTAGACAGAATCATGAACGCCCCAGCAAAGATCCACGTTCCCTGATACTCACTCTGCACATCAGACACACCCGTCCCCGACGGACGCAAACAAGCACCGGCAATCGGATTCCCGATCAACGCGCCGAACGCCGCAATGGTGTAGGCGAGACCCATCCTCCCGCCCAGCTCCGACTGCTTACTGGTAAGGTTTGCGATCGTGGCTGGGGGGAGAGAAACCATGCCGCCCGATACAAGACCGTAGATGAGAGAAATCACGATCAGACCTGGAAGATTGTGGGAGAACCTCCATACGAATAGAATGACGGCTGAGAAGAGGCAAGATGGGGCCATGACGTTTACCCCTCCGAAGCTAGATGTGGATATGGTGAGTATGAGGTTGTGGAGGATGTGATTCGGTACGGTACTGACCGGTCTGCGAGGAAGTTGGGGCCTATACGGCCGATCAGACTAGCTGCATTCATGAGACTGAGGAGGTAGAATGACATGTCTTCGCTGACGTTCAGCGAAAGGGCATATCGCTGGATGTAGAAGAATGGGACGTAGACGGAGGCAATCATTAGGGTAAATGCTGTTTGTTTGGCAGGCGTTAGTCTACGCAGAAGGAATAGTAAGCAGGGGATGAGGTGGTATACCCGCAACGAAAGCCATGTATGACCGATCTCGGAAGTGTTTGAATTCGATCAAGGCAGTTGCTCTGCGCGGACGCGGACGCAGTTTCATAACTGCACAGCATATCATCAGACATCCCAGGATGAGAAAGGTCAGGGCCCGTACAGCCCATGCAAAGCCGATCTGGACGAAGAGTCGACGGAGCATGATCGGGTAAATGATCCCGGCTGCAGTTCATGATTAGCATTCTCGTGATAGTTATATATTAGTATAGACAGTGAGAGTGAGCGTAGCTTACCCAGACTGCTGCCAGTGGCAGCGATGCCGGTGGCGATCATCCTCTTCTTGGAAAAGTATAGAGGGATCACGGCCACCGATGTAAGCCCCAAGAGCCCACTACCGAGCCCAACACAGATTCCCTGTGCGAGGAGAATCTGCCAGTAAGTGGTGCTAAGCGACGTCATGAACATCCCAAAGACTTCGAGGAATGTTCCCATGATGAGCAGGATGCGCAGGTGGCCAGCATCCAGGAACCAACCCGCAAAAACACCCACCAACATGGTGAGGAACAGCTGTATAGAGCCGATCCATGATATGGCAGAGGGACTCGACGTTGGGAGATGGGTGTGGGAGTAATATGTCTCGAAGACTCCAAAGGAGTTGGTTAGACCCCTGGCAGTGACGATCAGATGGACTTGGTCATCACCAGTTGTGAGCACGGTGAGAAGACTCACCAGGTGTTTGCGAAGAGGATCCAGCTACCCAAGACCTGTAGCCAGGCCTGCAAGCCTCCATCCATGCGATATCCTGTCTCATCCTCCTCGGGGACGGCCACAGGGACCTCCTCGTGAGCTTCTTTCCTTTCTGTCGCCATTGTGACTCGGGCGTAAGAGATGACGACCCACGAGTGGGTTAAACTAGATGTTGAGACTTGATGTGCAATTCAAATTGATTCGGGATCCGATGAGTGATATCAGCTGCCTTGAAGGTGTATGCAATTTAGCACAGCCGCATTAGGTAACGGATACTACTCGACTATCTTGAACGGAGGAAGCCAAGAGCATTCATACTGAAACTCTTTCTCGCACCGTCTACGGGGGCGTTGATTAGAGTCTAACAGGGCGGGACTTCTTTCCGCGGGAAATCATGGTCACATTAGAGGCCCACTTGGTTAAAGAGACTGGTGAGAGAGAGGTTACAGCTGAGCGTGGTTGCGACTAGTGCTCAGCGTGGTTCAGAAAATTGTGCTAAATTTCTGAAGTATGCCAAGCTACTGTCTCACATATGCTGTATAGTTCAGGATTTAGGCTCTTTAAAAGTACTCGCACCAAGAGTTCCTAAAAGTGTTCGTGTGGAGCCCTGCAGAGCAGTCATATAGAGCCCCTGTGTCTAGTAGGGTCTAGTAGAATTTAGTAAGGTTCTAGTAAAATTCCTTGGATGCTTTTGGGGCTCTGCGCGGTTTACTTTAAGAGAATATACAGGCTTTTTAGAGAAGGGGAATATAGCCGAGTATAATTCGAATAATAGGTCATTGTCTTAATTAGACAAGTTACTTCGTGAACCACGCCGATTATTTTTCCAGCTCTGTTCTGGACCACGCGAGCACTAGTACGAACCACACTTAGCTGCTAGCCCGGTGAGAGAATGACAGGCCTGTAGTTGACCAGCGAGACCATGGGATGATTGCCTTTCTAAACGAATGAAGATAGTCCGGTGGTAATTAGTACATATGGGGGATAGCGAGAGAGCTAGGGCATGATCGCGGTGAACGGACGTCCCCAAACTAGGGTCGGCGCCGGATGTCCGCCAATTAAATGGGGACGCCAGAAAAGCTTTAGTTTGGTGGATATCCATCGCACAGCTGACGCTAAACCGACGGCAACTTTAGGGTACCGACACGATGACAGGGGTTTGAAAGCGAGCGAAACGGCCAATGGGCTATTCAGAATGGGCGGAATCCTCCGTCTCTATCCATCCTGTACTCATACAGAGTAATGCCCTAGCTGGGCTAGCTCTCGGATGACCAGCGTCTGGCCCGACCCGTGATGGCCAATGCACCAGCACTACTCTCTGGGACGTGATTCGTTACTACACTCCTAGAAGTCATCTTCATGGCCTGAAGATGTCTCCTATATACGTCTCAGGGTAGATCAATCCACCTCGGTGGGGTATGCCTCGGTCCGTACTCCATATATGGCCCCAAGACGGGGCCCCGTACACATCGGGATCCCACTCTAACCACCTGGCTAGGCTGGCATGGCATCTTCAAGGTCTGAGTTAGTCTCATCTCACCAGCTTATCAGAGCGGGTGGCGCTATTGGCATGGTGTTGCAGAACCATGTCCCCTTACCCGATCAACTGCCGCTATGATCGTTTCGAAACGTAGATGCAGGCCGGTCCAGCCAATCTTGATGCCGTGCTCGCTAGGTATGCAACGTACCAAGCCCCTATATAGTTAGATGGCAGGCACACTATCCCGCTGGTTGCAACTACCGAAGCCTCCGTCGTGATAGTGAGATTATAGCGAGCCTCTTGCGGGTCATGTCGGTGAGACACATCCCGTGAAGATATGACCGCTATGCCAGAGGAAGTCTAGATCAAGAGCGAGGCATAGGTTGACGAAATTGCCACTGTTCAGTACACCAAATCGCATACTCAAGATTTCGAATAACGTAGCTCTTACAAAATCCTCTTACTCCATAGGACGGTCTACGGCGTTCCCCGATGTCACCTGGGGAAATGAAACATCCGCTATTGCTGACGAGACCGAATATATATTGCGGCTCAATGTCTGCCCTGAAACTCCCAATCAATCGCACAATAAAAACAAAATGTTTCGTCTCCCAACTGCGCACAGCACTCTTCGCCGAGCCCAATATCATACAGTGAGCAAGGCCGGCAAAGTAGTGTCCACTCCTCCCCGACGATGCCTTGGTATGCACACCTCCTCATACACCGATATCAACTGAGCTGACTTGTTGTCTCAGCTACGGTCACCCAAGATCCTTTCCAGCCAGTCTCTAGGCCTGCTTCTCGTGGCCCGCAATGGTTTCCGTATGAGGAGCACTACGAGGGCGTGATAACGCGCAAGAAGACCGACAAGTCCTACCGTTGGTTCCGGAACGTCAACCGTCTTGCACAGGAGTTTCCGTACGCCCATTCCGCCGATGAACACAGTCGAGTAGATGTGTGGTGTACCAATGACTACGTGAGTGTCCCTAGGGAGGGATGAGACATAAAGGTTCTGCAGTTGTGACTAACCTATTTTTTTTTTTTTGTTAGCTTGGAATGGGTGGTAACCCTGAAGTTATCCAGACCATGCATGCAGTGCTGGACAAGTACGGAGCTTGCTCCGGAGGCTCTCGGAATATTTCCGGTCACAATAAACATGCTATCGCCTTAGAAGATACACTCGCACGGTTGCATCACAAGGAAGCCTCGTTGTATCTGAACTCAGGGTACACGGCCAATGATTGTGCGTTGACGGTCCTTGGTTCTCAGCTTCCCGGCTGCGTCTTCCTCTCCGACGCATCGAACCACGCCTCGATCATCGAGGGAATCCGTCACTCTGGAGCATCGAAGATGATCTGGGGTCATAACGATCTCGAGGACCTGGAGAACAAGCTGAAGTCCATCCCCAAGGACACTCCCAAGATCATTGTGTTCGAGTCTGTTTACTCCATGTGTGGTGAGTTGAGCCCCCGAGCTCACAACGAACAACAAAACTAACAGTTCAATTCCCAGGCACGGTGAGCCCGATTGAGAAAATCTGCGACCTCGCAGAGAAGTACGGCGCTATCACCTACATCGACGAAGTCCATGCCCTCGGCCTGTACGGGCCACACGGTGCTGGCGTCGCAGAGCATCTCGACTACGAGGCCCACCGCACAGGACGGCCACAGGGGACCGTCATGGACCGGATCGACATCTTCGCCGGTGCACTCGGCAAGGGTTTCGGCACAATGGGTGGGTATGTCGCCGGCTCAGCGGCGCTCATCGACATGATCCGATCTGTGTCTTCGGGCTTCATCTTCACCACAGCACAGCCACCCCCAATCATGGCCGGGGCTAAAGCGGCCATTGACTTCCAGCGACGTAACCCCCAGAGTCGCATGGAGTTACAGCGCAATGTGCGGGCTGTCAAGAAGGCGTTCCGCGAGCACGGGCTCCCCGTTCTGCCCAACCAGTCACATATTGTTCCCTTGATGGTCGGTGACTCGGCAAAGTGTCAGCAGGTCGCCGATATCCTGTTTGACGAATATCAGATCTACGCCCAGCCGATCAATAATCCTAGTGTTCCTCGGGGACAAGAGCGTTTGCGCATCTCGCCGACTGCCTCGCATACTCCCGCGCAGCAACAGCATCTGCTGTCGTCGGTGGTGGAAATATGGGGTCGACTTGGATTGCCTACTCTTCGGGACTGGGAACGGGATGTGGACGGCAAGGTCAAGCTTGACTGGGATCCTGCTCGCGTGGGGTCACCGGTGTGGTCTAATGAGCAGCTGGATGTGGCTCCCAGAGAGTTGCTGTTTGATCCGAGCACATCGTCCGTGACTCTTGAGGATACACGTCTGGGGCAGTGAGATGGAACACGATGCAAAATGATTAGACATGATGATATAAAAGTCGCAAAAGTTTGATAGAATCTTACGTCACATAGTACAGTCAATTTATATTCAGTACTCAAGTTTTCCTCCCCAGCCTTGCCTCCTCTAGACAACCCTAGCCCGGCTCGCACTGGGGACAAATCGATCGATCATCCCTCTTTCCCCCAAAAGACGTCTGTATTTGTAATACCATGAACTTACCAGTTAAACTATAGTTATATAAAGATATTACCAGTACCGTACATGGTGATTGATGATAAACTACGACCTGGTCCATCTAACAGCACTGATCAAGTACTGTATCTTGCTAGATGCTAAGTCTCGGTTACACCCCTCATGAGACGATCATCGCGAATCACAAAGCTGCTGACATCCTTAATTGACAGGACTTGCATTGGATCGACGTCTGGAATTGGAACAAATGTCCGAAGAGCTCATGAAATAGTATTCTAACAGCTGAAACGTAGACAGAAGGAAAAGAGACTCAATGGAGAAGGAGAAGAAAGAAGAAAGAATGGATCATGTGTCAGAATGGAGGCAGGTCGCCTGAGAAACAAGGCAAGAATATATCACGGGACCAGCCTCGGTTCATTTATCCGGAGCAAAAGGGTTGGCCAGAGTTTGGAAATTCTTATCCAGTTGAATACTGAGTATGCCACCTAGCTAAAAGTCTACCTAGATAAATTAACCTGTCCTTCATGTTTTCATCATTTTTCAGATCGAAAATTGACCGTTGTTGTAGCAGAAATAGAGGATTGGGACCTCTCTCGGGTTAGAAAGGGAGAGAGAACCCCACCTCCGTCAGAGAACAATGAATGAACATTCCTGCCCACCACCCCCCATTGACAGCCAGAGAACAATAGTAAAGAGTACCCCTCCACAAAGTCGTATATAATTGTTCTCTCTCTAAAATACAAACCGCGAAGAGAGTGAGCCCCATATCCTCCTCTCTTCAAGATCCCATAATTCATGCCCATCATTGCGGCGACCGGGAAACATCGCCGAAAAGTTCGCTTCTCATCGACCAACCAAGCACCGGCAGCTCAAGCATCCAAACATAGCTCATTCGCAAAAAGCTCTCCGTTGGCCGCGCATCGAGCGCCCCAGTCGAGCCGCACCACCATGACCGAGTCGTCCCCCGCGCAGCATCCCGGGGTCCCGGCGCTCTTCACAGAGCTGCCTCGGATCCGAGACTCCCTCTCCACCGAAACCACCGAGCTCCAGCAGGAGACGGTGCAAAAATGCCTTCCCTTCCTGAAGGCGACCAGGAACCAAAGTGAACAGTACAACCAGCATGGCGTTCCGGGGCTCCTCCGCGACGAGCACATCGCCTACCTGTATGACTCGCTAGAGGACTTTCCCGATACGTTTGTGTCGCTTGACGCCAGCCGGCCTTGGATGACATACTGGGCCTTGGCCGGCCTGGCTTTGCTCGGGGAAGACACTCGGAGAGTTCGTGAGCGGTAAGCAGATGGCGCAGAGCCGATCCACTCCGCCGTCTCGGCTAGGTTCTAAACGCTTTGATTTCAGGGCCCTGTCTACGTTTAGACCGATGCAGAACCCCACCGGTGGATTTGGTGGCGGCCACGGTCAGATGTCGCATTGTGCGTCTAGCTACGCGGTGGTGCTTTCTCTGGCGATGGTTGGTGGCGAAGACGCCTTCCGGTTGATAGATCGAAAAGCAATGTGAGTTATCCAACGCGTCCCGCCCGTGGGGGTCACAGCGTTTGCTAACGCTGGGATTAGGTGGAGATGGCTGGGACGGTTGAAACAGGGCGATGGGGGCTTCACCATGTGCGAGGGTGGGGAAGAGGATGTGCGGTAATAGCTCTCTTTCATCGAATTCTAAGGAGTTATGCGACTGACTGCCACTTCAGAGGCGCTTACTGCGCCATGGTGATCATCTCGCTTCTCGACTTGCCACTGGATTTGCCTGCGGAATCTGCAGCTCGGCAACACGGGCGAGAGACCTTTACCAGTGGGCTCGCAGAGTATCTTTCTCGGTGTAAGTGATAACATCACTGGCTGCCTTGTCTGTCCCAGGGTAGTTCAACTGATAACACCATATAGGCCAGACTTTTGAGGGGGGGATCTCCGGGAGCCCTGGCTCAGAGGCGCATGGAGCTTATGCGTTCTGCGCACTGGCCTGCCTCTGCATTCTCGGCCAACCCGAAGTCACCGTGTCCAGGTAGATTGCCGATTCCAACCCCCCTTTGCCCCGGAGCGCCTTACTGAGAGGATTAATTAGGTGCATGGACCTGCCGTTGCTCCTCTCCTGGCTTTCTGCTCGACAGTATGCCCCGGAGGGAGGCTTTTCCGGACGGACCAATAAATTAGTGGATGGGTGTTACAGCCACTGGGTCGGAAGCTGCTGGCCATTGATCCAGTCGGCCCTCGATGGCCCGCTGTCGACCGCAGCGTCGCAGTCTACCTCCGTTGGTCGCCTCTACAGTCGCGAGGGACTGACTCGATATATCCTTGCTTGTTGCCAGTCCAAGAACGGGGGCCTTCGCGACAAGCCCGGCAAGTGAGTATTTGTCTAATCCACAATATCCATCGTCTCTCATACTGATCCGTTTTACCAGACGTCCCGACTCGTACCACACGTGCTATACCCTCACAGGCCTGAGCAACACCCAGCATCACCACTACCGGACCGAGTCAAGCGCCAGCACCAAGGACACGCTCCCCTCATCATTCCAGTGGAAACATCGCCCGTTCGTCGCCTCCGACGACAAAGGCCAAGACCGGAACGTGTTTGATGAGAGTGACCGGCTGAGAGCCTCCCACCCGGTATATGTGATTCCCTACGAGGCTGCAGAGGGCATGCGTCTCTGGTTTGAGCAAGAGCCCTTTAATCCTTGAGATCTTCCCCCTTTCCTCCCCCTTGCAAGGACATGGACAGAAGGAAGAAAACAGAGGGAATGACAGAACAAAATAATATAAACAAAAAACGAGAAAAAAAGGGTACGACCCTACACTCCCGGCAAGTGACACAAAACAACATGGATCCTTGTACAATAAGCATGTAATCAATCTACCGGTTACGACCCCAAATAAACTGAACATGTTGTTAACAACCACGCGGGTTGGATCGAGCGGGGGAAATGGAGAAATAGTACCAAGAAAGCCCGCTCTGAGCAAAGCAAGGGATCGAAAGACGCCCTCTCACCCCATCGAGCTACCTGCAGTGCGCCATGGCATCATCGTCATCGTCATCAACTTCATTATCATCTATATCAAACCCAACCCACTCGATCAAGAGAATGAATCCAGCGACAGCTAGCACTTCCTGTAGAACCGGCGTAGCACTACCTACCTACCTACCTACCTAGTCAACAGTAGTAGTCTTCACTAAGCCAATGCATGCACAATGCTCCAACGCTCAGTGCGACGTAAGCATCTCCACTTTATAGATTGATTGTTTGATTGATTGATCTGGGTTGTATCACCTGTAACCATCGAGTCTGGCTATCTTCTTCCTTATAACCCGGAACCCCTGTAATTACATACATACGGAGATCCAGGGAGGTAGATGCATGTAATAAGAGCACACACGGCTCAGTGGGTGTTGATGGGAATTGGTTCAGCTATCTCTTTTATTGATCATGAATTATATTTTTTGTTTTTATTTTTCTTTTATTTCTCCAAAAGACCACACTAACCTAGCCCCGACTGGTCCTCAACTTCTAAACGTCATTTGAAGAAACAACCACATCTGTCCTATCTAGACTATATGTATACCCCAACAACTCACGCCATCCAGCAAGCAAGGCACGCACAGACAATACAATAGCCTACATCCAGCATATCCATTGAAACTCTCGCGGAAGAATTACCAAATCCCACCGGGGAATGGAAACTCTACACAGAAACCTAGTATAGACTCAATCAAACCTAAGGATACGTCTTCCATTCCCCGAGAAAGTCAATTGGACGGGTTTAATCCAACCGGCTGAACAAATCCCACCGAGGTAGTAGTTAATTACCAGCAGGAAGAAATGAAGGAAGTTCTCTTGCTTGTTTGGTGTGGAAGTGCATGGTTTCCCCGCTGAATAATAAACAAAAGGTTTGCCAACTCATCGTTGCATTCGCGGTTGACTACGGAAATGGCGGAAGTAGAATCCTGAGATCCACTGTTTTATTTGTTGATTTATTTTTTTAGTTTATTTAATTTAATTCAATCAATTTGAAGGTCTAAAGACGGCTGAGTTTCAGTGAATAAAATGAATGAAACACGTAGGGAAATTGAAAAAAAAAAAAAAAAAAAGCCCTATCTATAATAACAACGGATTGTTTTGTCTTTCGGTTTACCTATCCATGTGGGCCAGACTAATGGAGCTATGAGCCTGTGATGCACATGCAGATTAGCCATTCCCATAGATGATCTGGCTCTCACAGGATTCCTTCCGGACTCTCCCTCACTCTTCCTGACTTCCTGATCATTATGCTTGCTTACTCTCTTCCACTCAATCCATCCTTCTGGTTTCATATATTCTGCGGGGTTTCGAACAGCCTCTCCTGCATCCAAGACCCGGCGCATAACGAGGGAGGTGCCAGAAAGATGGAGAAAAGAACAAAAAGAATCCCTCCTGAGCAACACCCGCTGGATCGGCGGCGAATTACAGCGTGGCCGATGGGACCAGGGCGAGGTCTCTTCCATATGCCGGCTCACTGGCAATGAGCCATGCCAGCGCATCAGCGTTTCGACCACACTTACTCATGGATGATTCCCATCCTGCCCCTCCCCCCTCCCTCCACCCCCCCGTCCTGGTCTCCAGCATTAGGGCGCATTCGATCATCGAGTTTTCCTCGGATCTGGGCCCCTTCGACCAATCTGCTGGGGATGTCTAATTGAGCCGGTCCGGAAACCGTTGGCTGGAGGGATCATGACTAGCATGGTTACTTGTTTACCTTATTACTTTTTTTTTTTTTCCCGTGCGAGTTCATTTGTCGCGGTGCTATGATGGGATTCTGGTCCCATCTCGCTATGATCATGTATGATATGAGCGATGATTATGGTTCTGGTCCCTCAGGGTCTTGTCTTGTTGAAATGAAGGAAACCCCACCTGTTTATTTGAACCCATTATACCTACTTACCTTCTTCCCTTCTGTCTCGAGACCATGAAAACAATCTCCCGCCTTTCTTTTTTTTCTTTCTCCCTTCTTCCCTCCCGGGGCTATTGTATAGCACATTGCTGCCGTCTTCCGTCAACCGCCACGTCTCCCGTCTTTCTTAGGGCTCTTCCCGTCTTCACGCGCCATTGATCGATTCCTCTCCAATCCGCTCCCTGCTCACGGCGCACTTGGGCTCGCTCCGTGAAGGAACGTGGCCATTGGGCATCAACAAACGCAGTTAAGCGCGGGTTTCCACGTTCCTGGCTTGATTGCCAGTCACTGAACTATCGGGGCTATCCCGTGCCATCCATTGGGCCTCACCATGTACTATATCCTCTACCTGGCCAGTATGTAGTCAGTTTCGTTTGCTGTCTGTTTGTGTGATCCCAGTGATCGCTAGATTGATTTCATTGGATCAATTGGTGCCCTTCTTCGTCATCTTCTCATACTCTACCTGTTTTCTATCTTATTTTATCCATCCATTTACCCTCTTTCCTTGAATCTCCAGACCCAGAATAAGCCGTCCTACCGGGATCAGATAAAGGGTCCCTTATCGCTACTGATCATGATTTGCTGCCCTTCCACCGGGGCCATCATGAATCAGTCGTTTGCTGCCTGTTTGCTCGCGCCTGCATACATACATCCATGCACAAAATACAATACAACTCCTCCCCGAAACCTCCCTCAAAAACCCATCCCCCCTCAACTCCAAATCCAAGAACAAAAATAACCCCCCAAAACAGGTCTCTGCCGCCGCCGCCGCTGGCCCGAACCCCTCTACGAATCCTACACCGACACCACAGGATTCACCTGCATCGTGCGCGTCAACAACCGCGAGTACCAGACGGACGCAGTGTGTAAGTCCGAGACGCTGGCGCGCGAGAACGCCGCCATGCGCGCGTATCTCATCTGCCGCGACTTCTCCATCAATGACGGCATGTACCCTGTTGGTCACGACCATGGTGGCGTCATCCAGGGAATTCCTGTGGCTATTGGGACGGGCCGGAAGGGTCGTCTTGGCGATGATACCGATACGTCTACCAGTGCGAGTCTGGAGAGTAGGAGTGGAGGGAGTAGTCCTGAGAGCTGTGAGTTGGGGTATCTGGGGAGGGATAGGAGGGAGGTTGGGCCGGGTAGGGTGATTGCTTTTGGGGGGAGGGCTATGTAAGGCTGTCTGTATTGGATTGGAAGATAGGAAGAGAAGGGAGGAAAGAGGGAAAGAGAAGCTCAATTGACCAAAATAGGTATTGATGGCGCGATGACTTATGACATGACTTGAATATCCAGATAGATCGAGAATTTGCTAGTCTTTTTCAATTCTTTTTTTTTCTTTTCTGATATGAGTATTGATGATGATGGATGAAGAGAAGGGCATGACAAAAGATTGATCTTGCGTTCCTCTTCTCCCCACGCTCCTTGATATCAACTTTCTTCTGTGCTTGTTACAATGGCCCGCGATTCTTTGGGTAAATGAGTGCCAAACAATCTACAAGGACCACCCAAGCACCACCTGCGCATGATTCGAACCGAAGCTCTATCAACGTCTGTCTTACGTAGCGAACTCGTGTTGGAAGAAAGGCTGACTGCTGGGCTGTATTAAACCTGATAATAGCCACACGATACATATAATTGAGAACCAATTGGTCATATTAGATATCCTGGATGTATACAGTATATGCTCTGCAAGTCAACAATATAATTACTGCCTCAGGCAGACTTGTATAAAAATAAAGTGAAGCTGACTCACCATGACGTAGACGATCCCGATCCGCCTCTTAGCTTCGATAGAAGCTTCCAGGAAACCTGGAACACAGCCCGATCTACACCCATACGTCAGTACATCTCTCTCTTTTTAAAGAAAGGGGAAACGCAGATATGCAATGACAACACAACTCCAATCTCAATTTCAACCGATTAACACCCAATGGACGATTGATTCTTGATTTCCACCCCGTCCGAGAACACCGACTATACTTCACCACTCATTCTATCGTTATCATCCAGAGAACATGCCGTGCTCTCGCTGTGAACTGGCATACTCTTCTTCTTGCAATTAAGCCTACACTCGGTGGTTTATGCTAGCGTTCTTTATTTTCCAACATTTTTACTATCTAGGGCGATGTATTCCGCCCCAATGCGGTGTCTGCCTATAGGGCGCGCCGCCACCGCAGCAGCAGCGACGGTATCTCGTCCGTCGGGGCGTTTCGCGGATCGGTTAAGCTGCGCTGCGCTTCAGATGCCGTGGCTTCTCCCGCCGTGTCGGGGGTTCTCGGTTACCGCTGGGAACAGCGTTAGGAGGACAATTCCCCACGGAGGACAGCATGGCGGGAGGAACGACGCGGGTAGACTGGAGAGGCTGGAGTTGGAGAGGGGTGCTCGGTCTGAGGCTGAGAATGCGAATGGGGGTGGCGGGGGGAAACCGCATAGAGGGAGGAAAAAAGGGGGGGCGGTAGGGTCGAGGCAGGAATTGGCGGATGCGATGACCAAAGGTATGTTACACTGGCATCCAGAGGGAAAGGGGGGGAGTGAGGAAAGGGTATAATGAGGATAGGGCTGAGAATAAGATACAGGGAAACTGTTGACGACGCCGTCGAAACTGTTTAAACTTTTGATTCCGTTGACGACGTCGGAGGAGTCGGAGCAGGATCATCGGCAGAGTAGAGGTTCGTCTTCCTGTCTTGCTGGTGAAGATAGACGCTAATCGGAATAGATGTCGAACCAATTGCCATCTTGGTGCATCCGCAGCAACCTCTCTCCCAACTGAAACAGCTCATTCAAAATGAAATCCCCCCGATAGCCGTCGACCAAGGACGGTCCATCCCGCCAGAAGTATCCTTCCTAGCGCTCCAAATCGACGACAACCCAATCCTACCACGAAAAGCCATCTACGAAGCGACCGACACAGAAGTCAACAAGCTCAAGGACGGCGGCGCAGGCAAGTACCGAGCATGGGGCGGCGAAGAAGACGCCGACAACCAAGACGACCCCTACACGTACCTGCACCAGAACGCACCCGAAGAAAAGAAGCGGTTCGTGCGGTGGTCGCAAGCCACCGAGATCGGCGACTTCGTGCGCGACGCGTCACGAGCACGCGAATTCATCGTCAGCGTCGAAGGCGCGCCAACGGGCCTTCGGCTCATCCACGTGGAGGTGCCGACGTTCAACGAGCGCACGCACTTCCTGCGAATGCGGCTACGCAAGATCTCCGGGCGGATCAAGACAATGGCGGAGGTGAAGCACGAGTGCGATGCGCTGGCGCAGCGGGGCGCGCAGCGGGTGGCCATGTGCGGGTTCGGCATCCTCGCGTCGTGGTGGTGCCTGGTGTACAAGCTGACGTTTGGGACGGATCTGGGCTGGGACACGATGGAGCCTGTGACGTACCTGGTCAGTTTGTCGACGCTGATGGGCGGCTACCTGTGGTTCCTCTACCATAACCGCGAGATTTCGTACCGGTCTGCGCTGGACTTTACGATCAGCGCGAGGCAGAAGAAGCTGTATCATGCTAAGGACGTGGATCTACAGCTGTGGGCGTCGCTTATTGACGAGGGCAATATGCTGCGTAGGGAGATCAAGACCATCGCGGCGGAGTATGATGTCGTGTGGAATGAGACGAAGGATGAGCGGGATGAGCGCGTTACAGAGGCGCTGAAGCAGCAGCGGAATGACCGCAATGGATCTCCTAAGGAAGACGATGGAGATGATTAAATTATTATAAGGTCGTCTATTATCTCAACCGTCCATCTACCATTCTCTACATCCGTTCCAATCCCATTGCAAGGCCAGACCATTTCCCTTGACCCGACCATCGAACCGGCCATCTACCCATTCCTCACAGGATCATAATACCTCGTCGCGGGGCCCTCATCAGCCTGTCTCGGCTGATTCGATCTTCCTTGTCCTACACATAAATCAGCAAGTCTTCAAACAACCCAATATAAACACCCCCAAAGCCCAAAGCAAAAACCAAAGAAAAAAGAAGAAGGAAGACAAACCAGAATCATCCCCCTTCCTCCTATTCCGATTATTCCTCACATCCCTCGACCGAAACACACTATACAGCAACCAACCCGCCACCCAATTCGGCCCATACTCGCCCGAGGTGTCGCCCCTCGCAAAGAGCGGTTTCGTGAGCGGGCTCGCATTCTCGGCGATGTCGCGGATGGCGAGACGCTGGCGCTCGGGGCGGATGTGGTGCCAGAAGAAGGGCGGACGCGTGGCGGGGTCGTTGGCTACGCTGTCGAGAAGGTTGGAGGTGTCTTCGTTTAGGCGGCTATATACTCTGATTGCGTCGTCCTATTGTATTATATGAATATGTGTCAGTTTGTTTATATATATATATATATATGTGTGTGTGTGTGTGTGTGTGTGTGTGTGTGTGTAGGGTGGATGGGACATACTCTCATGGCGCGGTAGAATTGCTCATGGTGCGGGTCGTGGGAGTTGAGGCCCAGCGCTTGCATGAATTCTTCTTTGGATGCTCGGGGGCCTACGGGGGGCATTGATCTGTTTTTTTCCTTCTTCGTTGCTCTGGGTATGGTCGTTCGTGGTGTTGAGCTGTGGTGGATTGAGGTTGAGATAGATAGATGGGATAGGATAGACCGGTTATAAGCTGGTGGTTGAGGTCGATATCAGGAGAGGAGGAAAGAAAGAAGAAAGGAGGGGGACAAGCCAGTAAAGAAAAAGAAAGCAGAGTCGAGTCGAACAAGAACAATAGACGTGGAATGGAGAACAGAATGGAAGAGAAATAAATGCGAATGCAAATGCAACCTTTGAGACACGACACGACACCATTCGAGTAGTATATATAAAAAACACTGGAAGACGAGTTCGTCGAGCGTTTCTCACCGCATTGAATCTTATAATAGATTTTTTCTTTCCTATCTTTTCTCTCCTTATTGAAGACGGATAAAACCATAAATAATAATAAAAGAAATATATATCAGGAGAAAGTGAGCGCCAGGTTAAGGTAATTCCCCATCTCAACACCCAGTCCAACCAACCAGGGCCGACAAACGTCGCACAGCACCCATTAATTTGTTCAATGGCCAGAGCATATCATCCAGAATGAGGACGCTCCCATACACCATCTTTACTACAGGATGGACTGATTGTCGGCCGCCTGCCGCGTTTGAAGCCGGATAGCGACGAGCCGTACTCCAACGGTTCAGCATGGATGTATGGATTCTTTACTGGGCCTGTCAGTACTTACTTACCATTTATTCCAGGTAGCTGGAATGGTTGTTCCAGTCGGGTCGGATTATCGTTGCAGTCTTGGGCTTTGGGTGTAGTACTGTGGTAGTCATACAAGGTAGGTAGACATAGACCTAGCTAGGAACAGTTAGACAAAGATACCACCTGTACCTAAGTACCCAGATGGTCAAAGTGATAAATAAGAAGAAAGGGTTTGTTTCCAAACGGCCTCGCATGCATCAACAACCAAACCAACCGTCAGTCCGACTCAGTTAGAGACAAGACAAGACGCAATGCAGCGCCGTTGTGTGGGCCACCAAACAGCAAGAATCATTACAATAATAGAAAGTAATAAATCCCCGACAAAGAAGAAAACGCAAACAGATGAAAGCAATCGGACCACCGTACGAAGGTTCGGACTTGGCAGCGCGGTGCTGGTTCGTTGGATGGACGGGCGTCATGTACGTAGCCGTCTTGTTGTGTAGCATGGGCTGGAGATGGTTCCGGAGGATTTGTCTTTTTTTCCCTTTCTCTTTTTTGTTGTCTAGGCTATTGTGTTGGTCCTGTCTAGGCATGTAGTATAGAGGAGGAATATTTCTATAACTATGTTTGGATGTTGACTAGACTAGAGACCTAGGATCATATGATATTGTCAACATTTGATACACACAGGTACGCATATAGCCACACAGAAAGATAACCCAACAGACAAGATAAAACAAAAGTCCCATACCAAAGTAAACAAAGTAACCTCCCGACCCCGTTTGCAGACTCACTCAATCCTCTCCCGAGGTTCCCAATCCACTCCACTCCACCACACATCATACCTATCCTATATAATATCCAGATCATGCAAACAAACCCTACCCACCCAACAGAAACAGACTTCCTCCCCTGCAGACGCTGCCCTCTGCCGTGCAACCTGTCTGTCAAATTCCGCTCGTGCAGTTCCGTCCGCTTTATGGATTCTCGTGCCATACGTGCTTTGCAGGTTCATACCTACCTACATACACACATACATACATACATTCGTGGTGGATGGGGCGGGGGGGCGGATTGTGGAGTGAGACAGACCGTTGGTTGCATACATACCTACCTAGGTAGGGGGGGTACAATAGGGAGTAACCTATTGTATATTATATTACCTGTTTTGCTGATATATCTATCTATCTATATCTATTAGGTATATAGTTAGGGTCCAAGTAAGATAATGAAGAATGAAGATAGGTAGATGATAAACAAGCCAAGAAGTCTTAAACACCAATAGACTGGAATATATAAAGTATAAAACAAAAAATAAGATAAACAAGTAAAGTACGAAGCATACAAACATACTGCGTTTTCCACGAGGACACCTCCATATGATATATCCACATCCGCCAATCCTGCATCCTCGGTTTTCCACCTACTACTAGGATAATATATGTAGGAGGAAGATATATCCATGCTGGGTAGGAGGTAGTAACATCAAGGAAAAAGCAAACATCATCGAAAACAGCAAAAACAAACCCAAGAGTAAAGTAACTTAAAGAAAAGGAAGGAAAAAAAGACCCGACTAATCCTTACCAAAATCGCAGCCATAAGTCGTGCACCGCACCGGGTCGAGGGGTGCGCGACACGACACGACCCGGCACGACATGGCGAACGGACGGAGTGAGTGAGGCGGTTGTACGGGGTTTTAGTTTAGTATCTACTATTGATGGTTGACATTATATTATATTATACTATTATAACAATTATAGCTATGATACTATCATGGGAAGTATTGGTATTGTTGGTTTATTATATATATATAGTTCCCTTACCTTCACTATGGGTCTGATATAGTATGTATGTATATACTATCTTACTACCCTATTTATATATCTTTCTATCTACTTAACTATACTATCCCAGAGTAAGGACCCAGATACCATCCTAGATACCATCCTAGATACCATCCCAGATACCAGTGCAAGGAAAAAGATGACACTATCATATAAGTGGCTTGATATAGGCCGAGCTAGGTTTGAGTATAAATGTACTGTCTTTCATTTGTCTTTTCTATTGATCTTGAACGCTGGTCTTGTTTTCTGATGCTGTTGTTGTTGGCTACTTAGGATATACATGGATACTTAGTCTCTGTCTGATGGTTTATCTGATATCTTGTGCCAGATGTAGTTATATGATGTTTATGATTTATATGGTATTGATGTGGCCTCTCAGCTGATATTATCACTGTATCCTATCTATCAAGTAGAAATACAGCTGAGCCAGTGACACCGGCAGTTACTACTCAGACTAGTACTCAGTCTAGCATAATGATTGATGGTACTGCTTCACCCAATTCATGCCGGTGTACATAAATACATGATATCTTGCTAGAAAAATAACATAACATAAACCCGCTAGACTAGACAAATGACAACAAACATAGAAATAGAAAGAGATAGATAGAAATAACGGAAAAGATAAGAAAGAAAAGTCTACCCCTAGATCATGTGGCAATGTACCCATATTTCATTGGATGGACAAGAACTGTCAACAGTGTCTGTCCGGGCAAGTCTTAAGAAGAAAGCTAGGTAAGGGATTCGGATTTCGAATTGATTGGCTTGGCTTGACTTTGAGGGTGAGGGTGAGGGTGATAGTGTGGTGAGCGCGAGAATGTGCCAATTTTCAGAGCACATGGTATTATGTCCATCAGACAACAATGAGATTGCCATCTACCTTGGTTCTTCCGTAGTCCAGTCCAGTTCAACCGGTGGGTGTGTTTGGTTGTTTGTGAGATGTTTGGTGGTAGGTTTGAATTGTTTTCTTCTTAGTTGCAGGACACGGGGTCATCGTAATACCGGCGGAGGAAGGTCTCCACCTCCTCGTAGTCCTTCTTCACTTCGGACAGGGTCTTCTCGATGTTCTTCAGCGAGATCTTGTCGTCCGGTTCGTCAGTCGAGCCTGTTTCGTCCTTCTGGTTCCCGAAATGTTGGATCTTCTCGCACGCCTCCTTGACCTTGCTCAGGCCCAGAGTAGCCGAGGACCCCTTGAGGAAGTGGCCGAGCTGTGACAGTTCTTTAAGGTTCTCCTCCTTCCTACAGACCTAGTTAGCCGAGCTCGAGCTCCCGCTCCTAGGGCAAAAAAAAAAAAAAAAACGTACTGCGCTTTCTCCATCTTCTCGAACGTGCTCTCGGCCTGGTCAAAGAAGCCAAAGACAATGCCCTTGCTGAAATCCTGGTCGTCGTCATCATCCATCTCCAAAATCTGGTCGAATGTAGCCTTGTCGATGCTGTCTGTGATGTCGGACCACTTTTTCTTCGTAGGGGCCTCCTTGGGCTGCTCGGCGTTAGCCTCAACCTCTGCGCGAGGAGACGTTACAGTCTCGCCACGTACAGGAGAGCCCTTTACGGTCTTAGTGGTCGTTGTCGGTGCCATTTTTGTGATGTGGAGGGGTCTGTCTGCTCTCGTTCGGATTCGGGATCACCGGAACCGTATGTGACTGGGTAAATGGATGACGGCGTGATGGAGTGGTTTAAATTGCCGATTGAAGATGGATGTCGAGGTTGGATTAAGGATGGTTCAAGATGGTTTGGAGAGGTTCAAGGCGTGAAATAGACTAGACAGATCACGTGTACTGGAATTACGCTGGATGAATCTGCTAATTCCAGGTTGGGGTCAGCTGACAGTCCATGAATGAGTGACCGACGGCACAGCTGTGATAGATATCCAGAGTACTGCCCTACGTAATGGTGATTATGCGGGTGAAGAACAGCAAGAACAGACAGTCAAGAGGAACACAAGAGATGAAGGTTATCCACGGTTAGGCATGGGATAGCAAGCACAAGGTAGTTACCGAGAACGGAACACCGTTGAGCAGCTCAGCCACAACGTGTATTCGAGTCAGGAGAAGAGGGGAAGGGGGATATCACACGAAGATGACGGGACAGATGGGGTTTGAAGAGCAATGCAATGTGAGAGGGAGAGGATGCCGAGAGACCGGACCCGGATCACACAGTCAAGTCATCCGAGAATGAGATTGAAAGGGATCCACATGGAGATAAAGGAGGGAAGGAACGAGGAAGGAGGGGGAGGGGAAATCCATGGCAGGAGGGGTAGAGGCTCTGAAATTGTCTTCCAGCAGTATTGCACCACTATGGAAGCAAGGGAAAATCCCACCTGGCGTCTCGCTTGGGCACAAGGCCGGGGTATATTGCAGTCTGACACGGAAGGGATGGAGTAAAGAATTGAATTGAATTGACAAGCAAGATCAAACAGATAGAAATGGTATAGGAAAGGAAAAAGGAAGGGAGAGAAGACAGAAAGAAGAGGTATCAAAAGTTCAGTTGGGGAGATTCGACGGGTGAAATGAAAATAAAAAATAAAAAATAAATAGAAAAAAAAAAAAAAAAAAAAACACGAAAAAAGCAATCAAAGAGGGGAAAGCAAAACGAAAAAGAAAAGGATAAGAAGAGATCTTCTCTTTAGGCTTTTTTCCCTTCTTTTTCCTTTTCTGTTCTCTGGTTTGACCGATGCGATGTGGAGGAGAAAAAAAATTGGTTTCAAACAAAACAAAACAGGAGGGGTTCTATGGTTGTCCAGATAGATGATGATAATAAGATTGACTAACCTGATGGACCAGTCTGTGTTTATGTCAGGAGACTGGATATTGGGATAGATAGAAAGGGATAGGATAGAAATATGATAGAGATGGATGTTTAGAATAATCAAAAAGTGACAATATAAAGAAGAATAAGAGAGAAGGAAAGAAAAAAGAAGCCTAAGAGATAGAAAAGATAGGTCAAAAGAAAACTAGCCAGCAAGTGTGGAAAAGGAACCGCGGACTAGCGTCATGGAACGAACCGAAGAGATTGGAAGAGAGGAGGAGGGGTTAATGGATTTGGAGAAGAAGAAGCAGAAGAGAAAGAAAGAAGACAGGATAGGGATTAGTTAGAGGCAAGGGGAATTAAGAACCATTCATTGATTGGGGCTAAAAACCGAACCAGAGAGCATGACATCCATGCTATCCAACTGAATAATACTACAAACCACCGGTCAGAACGATCAGGCGGTGACAGTCATTGGACACCGACCTAGTGGGCTGCATAAGGGAAAAGAAAGTCAAGAAGAGAAAGTAACGGAGGAGGAGTAGAGGAGAGTGGGGGAGGGAAAAAAAAAAAAAAAGAGTGAAAAGTGATGATCAAATTGTGTACTCCGTACAAGAGAAAGAAAGGTCGGGGTGGAACAGATGACGGACCACTCTGGCGTCATTGGTAACCATGACCATCATCATCATCATTGGGTCATTTCATCAATGTCTATTTATTCTTCCATTGCCTTGACTGCAGAATAGATTATCTTGTAGAAACATTTCTACATTTCTACCAAACTCGATGGTCATGATTGATGCAGTTGAACCCAAGTATCTGCCGCTAAACATCCCACTTGCCTCGGGCTCTTTAGTCCATCCATAGGTGGAGTCCGTCCCAAAGGATGCAAAGCGAAGAAACGAGCCTGCCATCGGGTAACAATGGAAGAGGGGGAGTGTGTTCTAGACATTCCTGAGCTAATAACAAACCCCTCGATTAGATTACAAGACTCTGCTTATTTTTTTTCTATTTATATTCATATTATATTCTATTTCTGTATTCTTCTCTCATAAATGATAGTATGAAATCAACTAGAATATTGAGCATATGAAAAGAGAAGCATCGAAATAAAGAAGGGAAAAGAAAGAATAAAGGCTAAAAAGAAAACATCTCCACCTCTGTTGTGGGATCAGGATGCATGTTGAAATCATAGCACCACAACTGACGTAATTGGCCCTTAAATTGGACTGCACTTACCCGTTAGGGCTTAGCGTCCTTGGCGTTGGGCATGGATGTTGATCCCTGCCCTTCTCTCGGCGTTCGTCGTCTGAGGGGAGAAATCATACCGAAGGATATCTCTCACTTACCCAGAATACTCCCCAGAATACTTACCCTGAATGGTTTGGGAAGAAAATATAAAGAGAAAAGGGAAAAAGAGATGTATAGAAAAGAGGAAGAGGGCATAAACAGAGGAAAGAAACAAAACTCAAATTCCCTCTGGAAAATTACGCAACTCGACCGCCAGAATATTCGCGGCAAGACTAAAATCATTGCCCGCCACCAGAGTGCTTGACGGACGTTCTGGCCCCTTTGGAACGTCCAATCGAACCGATCAACCGGTTGCAAACATGGCAGGGTCAATACCAGCCTTCCCCCCCCCCTATCCGTATCACTTTCGTGAGTAAGAAGGAGGTCAGGAGACAGGAAGATCCGGACGACCATCAGACGGTGAGAAACACAAGATCAAATCCATCGAGGGTGAGTTTGAACAACCAAATTTCCAACGATTGGACAACATGGCAACTCAAATCTGAACTCTCCGACGAGGGAATTCCCGTCTTTTTATTGTTCGGAGGAGAGAATGCCTGGGGTCGGCCGATGAGTGCCTGAGGGCGGCCTGGCTGGGGGGTCAACCTATCAGAGCAGACAATACCCAGAATGACATCATCGGGGGAGGGAAGTGTGGCCGCCACTGACGTTGACAGATCCCGTGCCAAGACTTTCTCCAGCCGGCCGTCCTTCCAGATTCTTCTTAACCTAGAAGATGGTGTATACCACCGCCTTATACGGATACCACCCTGCTTCGGAGCAAACATCACCGCGTTGACTAGAGCCTGCTCCGTCTGACGACGTGGTCGAGACCATTTTCCAACTGGGATTGAGAACTTATTATAGATTTCGAAACTAATAAGACTGGGATAGAACCCGACAGCATCGGCCGAATCTCGCTCTCGCTAGCGCTGACTAGACTAGGATCTTTCTACCCTCGTCACTATTCGACGGGCTTCACGCTGATACAGCCTGGGCTTTCTATGTCTATTTCCGTATGGAGACTTGTAACATGATTGATCACGACAGCTATGACAATAAACCCACGGTCTTAAGATTTACACTTAACACTTTATTTATCTGAACACTTGATCTTCTGAGGGTCACAACAGTCTAATGCGTGACATCACGAGGTGACACCCTTGCTGTTAGTGCGACCTCGTGTTTTAGTGTCTATTTGTTGTTGAATACGACGTCTGCAGGAATTACCGTGGGCTTTACTCCGTCCTTCGGCTCTCTGTACAGGGTCAGTGTACGGACGGGAATAAACAAGTACCGACTGTATACATGTGAGTGTCAGTGGGAATTGACTATATATTTAATTGAGAGGACATCTGAAATAAGTACCTCTTATAGTCTAGCTGCGAGACTTGTTCCCATTTGGCCAGCTGGACATACAGATCTATGATTATATGGTTTAACTCAAGACAACAATGGATGCATCCACACTTACAACCTTGTCAATATTGTTCAGCCTGAAATCTGTACTACCTGCATCATCATATACCTCCTTACCTCTCAATCCACAGTAATACAATCAGACAAGCTAGTTCTGAATCTAACAAAGTTACTACCGGCGAGCATGAACGGTGGGTACACCGAGTCAAGCCAAGGACAAGATCATCAACAGTTAGATAAGGTCTATATTAACTTGATAATCAACAGAAACTTATCTATACTTATATTAATCTAATAATAGTTAACAGATAATCTATACAGAGTACTCCATGTTTCACTTCTGATACTGACTGGATCATATTTATGCACATTAATTTTCATACGTGACTAATACATACACACTAACCCAATGGGGAAAACACACTGCCGCGGCGGAGATACCTAGGCTCTCAACACTCAACAACATTATCTACCTTGAAGAACTACATAAACAATCCATCAATTGACCATCACCACCAACCAACCTCCACAAACAACCCACCCTTCCCTCAAACACCAAAAACCACCACAACAACAACAACACCAACAACCAAGAAGTAAACCAAGAAAAAAAGCATAAAACATGCCCCCCAAAACAAAAGGCCCAACCGGCCTCACCCGCCTCTACCTCCTCGCCTACAACGCCCTCTCCTTCACCCTCTGGGCAACCTGTCTCGCCCGCGGCGCTCAAACCCTCCTCGCAACCGCCTCCCCCACCGAAGCCTTCACCGCACTCTACTCCCCCCTCCTGACAACCACGCAATCCCTCGCCGCGCTCGAAATCCTCCACAGCCTCACAGGCCTCGTGCGCGCCCCGGTCGCCACAACCGCCATGCAGGTCTCGTCGCGGCTGCTGCTCGTCTGGGGGATCATGTATCCGTTCCGCGCGGGCGGTGTTGCCGCCGCCGGTGAAGGCATCGTGGGCGGGGACAGTGTGCAAATGGGCGATTACGCCTTCCTGGGCTGCCTGGTTGCGTGGGGTATCACCGAGTGTATTCGGTATGGGTTTTTCGTGCTCTCGCTTTCGGGGGTGGGTGTTCCTGGTTTTTGGACTTGGTTGAGGTATGTTCCTTCTTTTCCTTCTTTTCCTTTGAGATATTCTGTGAGAAGATAACGGGCTGATCGTGTGATTAGATACAACACGTTCTACGTGCTTTACCCCCTCGGCATCAGCAGCGAGTGCACGCTTGTGGTGAAGGCGCTGGAGCCGGCGGCGGAGTGGAATCCGCTGCTTTGGTGGGCGTTTGTGGTTGTGTTGGGGATTTATGTTCCTGGTATTCCTCTCTTATTTCTTTGGGGGTGTGAAGTATGAGGCTAAACTAATTCTTATAGGTTCCTACATTCTCTATACGCATATGATGGCTCAGCGACGGAAGGTTATGCAGAAGAAGGATTGAGGATTGGATCCATGGATTAGATGAGTGGATGGGATGGGTTGGGTTCGTTGTTTAGGTGGATGAGGGTGATCTATGTATTATATGGGTTGAGATTGTGGTAAGGTTGGGCTGGGATGCGGTTTATGACAAGAAGTATAGAGCTTATAATATTGGTGATTGGAATATATGGTAGTATAATATCGCATGTACTAGTATAGATCTATTGCATAAGTTGCCTAGTCTATGAATGCCTGACCTTGAAGCTGTTTACTTCAGATGGAACCATTGTATGTTTTTCTTGATCTAAGTATATTACACCTCCTTCATAATATCCCGCACAGCCCTCGCCGCAAACCGTTTCCGCTCCTGCTCCGGAAGGTCGGCGCTCATATCTATACCGTTAGCCTTAGTATACTGTATATCACTCTATAGAAGGGACAGGGTGACAGGAACAGAGACAAACCTTTAATAGCCTGCATCCTCAACATCAACCCCCCCAATGAATCCACCCTCAAATCATCCTCATCCTCATCATCTTCCCCACCCCCAACCTCAGAATCCAGTCCCACATCTCCTCCGTTTTCAATCGCCATTCGCAATCCTACCATCTCGCGCTCAAGCTCGTTAACTTCCAGTCCGAAACCGGTATCTTCGTCGTCGATATCGCTTTCGCCGCCATCACCATCCAACCCAAGAAGGTACTTCTCGAGATCGTCATCGTGACCAACACCAACATCCCCAGAGACAGTCTCCGACGAACCGTTCCAGTCGTGCGTTTCGAGGACTTCTCGGATGCGCGTCATGCCTTGGTATTCTACCATCCATTAGCCCTTTCCCCTCTTTCTTGCTCAAACACAGATAAAAAGGGAAAGAAGAAAGAAAGAAGAAACATACCTCCAAACGAATTCCTCACCCGCATCTCAGACTCAGGAACCTTCGGATCCCACCGCACAACCTCAACCCCCACCAGCCCCATCTCGAACATCTGGTCCTCCCACCACAGCTCCGAAAACGGCTCGTCGTCCAGCGCGGCTCCATTTACGTCTTCGTCGTCATCTTCTCCGGCTGTAGCTGTAGCTGTAGCTGTAGCAGACGTAGTATCGCCCACAAGAACAAGCAGTGTCAACACGTCCCCTCCATCGCTGCGCTCTTCCTCGATGAGAGTCTTGACGTCCCCGACGGCTTTCATTAACGTTTTGATGCCCTCCACGTCGGGGTGGTTTTCTGCTGCTGCTGGCGCTGCTGCTGACGGGGCCAGAGTATCATCCGACGGAGGAGCAGGCGTAGAAGAAGAAGGAGGCGAAGGATTGCGCACACAAACAACCAACGCACCAATCGCGTCGCGCACAGGCAGCGCCTCGTCAGAGGAGAACTCGGCGCGCCATTTGGCAGGGCTGTTGCTTTCGCTGTTGCTTTCGTCGGCAGATGACTGTGGCTGTGAGGTGGAAAGCGGGATCTCGTCGACCCAGATCGGGACGTCCGCGGTGTAGTACTTGTTCTCGAGGTGGAGGGGCGGGTGGGTGGTGTAGCCTGCGAAGGTGGGTGTTTGTTCTGTCGACTGGGGTTGGGAGGATGAGTCGGTGGGTGAGGGTTGGGTGGGAGGATCCGTTACGGCGACTCCTGTTAGGGAGTGGAGGAAGGGAGGGATGATGGATAGGGAGTGCGAGGTTGGTGTTAGGGTGAGGAGGCGGCGGGGGAGCGGATTTGGTCGGGGGTTTTTGCGGGGGGTTTGGGGGGCATTTTTCTTTCTCTATATCTCGAAATCTTTTCGTGGTGGAAGGAGTGATGCACTGGTGGGTGGTGAGTGAGGGGTGAGGAATGAGTGGTGTTTATAAATGTCTGCGTGGTGTGGAGTGTCTGTTTGGTTGGTGTGAGGTGGGAGGTTGAAAAGGTATGCGGGGAGGAGGCGGAGAAGTAGCGGAGCGGAATATCACGTTGCCATCTCTTTCCTCCGCACTGGAGAAGTAGCACTTTGAATTATTCTACTTTCTTATGGCTACTTACTTGATAATTGGAGTGACTATGATAGACTCGTTAGACTCAACTTGCTTTATTTTGGATTTTCACTCAAACCCAGCTTATAGCCCAACTACGTAAATCAAGTCTACAATCCTACCAACCATCCAACCACCCAACACAACCACTACAAATCAACCACCCCATAAAACCAAACAAGGACAAGGAAATGCATCTGCATTAACCTCAAGGTACTAATCTAGTAGGTACCTTACAACCAACAATAATCAATCCCAAGGCACGCGACACCTCATCATAAATGTGGAGAGTAAAATGTTAAAAAACCGACACTAAAAGAAACCATAAAAATGAAGAAATCGACGAAAGTAAAGATAAGGAAAAAAGATCACCCCCGTCTCTGCCCCCTCGCCCTCTGCACCGTCGCCTTACCACGCGCAAGACCGACACCGCGACCGCGTTGACCCCGCGAGCGGAACATGGGGGCGTTTCTATAATTACTCTTAGCATATTTTCTGGATTTCTCCCGAGAGAGAAGGAAGAATAGAAGGAGAAGAGAGGAAGATACCGTAGCATATCAGGCACAATAAAGAACCGCACGTGGCTGCCCCGGATGTACACCTGGTCGAGATGGGATACGCGGCCGTCGCGGGCGGTGACTGTGATGTCTTTGAGTTGGACGTTCATGTTGTCTTCGGCTGTTGGGAGTTAGTTTGTCTTATATAAGGTGTAGGTGGGTGTATGTGTATATGGGAGGGTGGAAGGCGTATGAAGGTGTGTATAGGTGTAGGTAGGTCGGACGAACCCTCTAACAGCTTTCCACGGTAGACGACGCCGGAGGTGATTTCGAGGGTGACGACGTGGCCCTATAATATATTAGTATAATTGCCATGACGAAGACATGTAATATCCCATGTATGGAGTAGATGGGGCGTACCTGAGCTTCATTGAGAAGCTTGATCGGGATACCGATCGAGCTGGTTAACTTGCCCATTGTGTGGGCTGGGAATATAAAGCGTCGTGGGAAATATGGAGGGTAAAAGGGAGGGAAGATAAAACGGAAAGTAAATAAAGAGAAAGAATAGATTGGCGTAGAGAGTGAGGTGATGTAGTCGGATAGTTAGATACCTAGTGAGGAGGGAGATGAGGTCGGAGAGTTTTGCGGCTCGCGCCAAGAAATCTGCTCTACTCTACTCTACCTTAGCTAGTCCAGTCCATACTTTCTCTTCATGTCAACAACAATGATGGGAAACAGATAACATAAACATTACAGAAACAATTACACAATTACACAATTTCAACATCAATCAAGAACAAGAACAAGAATACAGAACAGAAAATAAAAAAAGAGGAAAATCCACAGCAGAAGAAAGAAACAAAATGAACTCCAACCTCCGCGCCTTCAACCTCGCCGTCCAAACCCTCCTCACCAACCCATCCCAATTCCTCCCTCACCTAACAATCCCAACCTTCACTTCTCTCCCAGAGCAACTGGGTCCAGCCATCGCGTCCGCCTCCACCACCTCTTCGACACCCACCAACTCCCCCGACAACCCCGAGAAACAACCAAAGATCCAAATCAAAGCCCTCATCCTCGACAAAGACAACACCCTCAGCCCCCCCAAAACCACCACCCTCCCCCCCTCAATCCTCGCCAAACTAACCTCCCTCCGCACCTCCCCCACCTCCCCCTTCACAGCGCCCTCCTCAATCCTCATCGTCTCCAACCGCGCCGGCTCGCACCCCTCCTACGAGCACGAGATCCACTCCCTCGAGTCCCAGCTCGCGCACCTCTCCATCCCCGTCTTCCGTCTGCCCGCCGGAGCAAGCAAGAAGCCGTTCTGCGAGAAAGAGGTGCTGGCGTGGTTTAAAGAGCGCGGGGTTGTGGAGCATGCGGGTGAGATTGCTGTCGTTGGGGATCGGTTGGGGACGGATGTGTTGATGGCTGTGCGGATGGGGGCTTGGAGTGTTTGGGTTAGGGATGGGGTGTTGGATGAGAGGGGGGTGTTAGGGGCAAGGGCGTGTTGGAGAAGATGGAGGGTTATATGGAGAGGTACTTGAGGGAGGGGAGGGGGTTGAGGGCGCCGTGGCCTGCTCGTCCTTATTCTTCTTCCTCTTCTTCGTCGGGATCGGGTTCGTCGAAGACGGTTGGGTAATGGGTTACTACTGTATAATCAAATGTATGATATCCTGTATAATATGTAGAATCTACTGTATGATATGTATAACCCACGGCACTGTACGAGTAGTCTACTATGAATAATATGATGTAAGTAAATAATGAATGCGAAATATCTCAACTCCGCAACACTAACACTAACAAATAAGAGAGACCAACCATACAAAGGAAATCAAGCCCAACCTCGCCGACCCAGAAGAACAAAGGGGAATCCAACTCAATCTCGCCATCCTGACTTTGGCATAACCACGTTACAAGCCGACCCTAGACCCTGTAACCAGAGATCCAACGGTCCGGTAAAAAAAGGAAAAAGAAGAAAAACAACCAAAACGGTTAAAAGGTGAAAAATGGTAAAAAGATGAAAAGGTAAAAGGCATGTCCACCGAGCCAGCGAACACGAAGAGAATTGAAGAAGTGAAAATCAAGAATAAAGCAGAACGCTCAAGGACCAGCCCAATGGAGAAGGGTATTAATACAAAAGAAACAACAAGAAAGAAACAGCAACGGTTCGCACATCGGCGCGACAAGACCTCGGATCATGAGGTCCTGTTCTTAGGATTCATCCTAGAAATGGAAGTCCTTTGACCGTGCGGACCAACCCGGGTCGGACCGGGTGCGGCCTCGCATCGGGACTAATCAGGTAGGCGACATTCACACCACTTCATCCAACACACTATTCAATTTGAGAGCACTCAGTTAATGCAGCTCAGGAACCCCCCATCGAATTGTGATCCACGTGCTCCAGCCCGGTCATGCCCTGGTAATCCGGCACACCCGGCGACGAGTGGCTGGACAGGCTCTGCATGGGCAGCTCCAGGTGGTGGTGGTGGTGTCCCTCGAGGCCCATGTTGGCACCCCCCAAATTCACAGTCGGCTTGGGGAACATGCCGCCCAGGGACATACCGTCGTCGGAAAAGGTGGACTGGTGCTCGCTCCCCAGGTACATGTCCTGCGACGCGTGAGACAGGTTGGACAGCGGCGGCGACTGGTCGGCGATCAGGGGATCACCGTGGCTGACGGAGGAGTAGGGCGACGCGGCGTGGGTGGGCACGGTCGACTCGACCGCCGGGGCGTGGAACGGCAGGGTGAAGGGCGTGCCCATGGTCGCGGCGACTGGCGTCGACTCGCCCGGCGGGCCCGTGCTGAACAGGGAGGGGCTGGCGAAATCGGACGGGGACGCGGTGGCGGTGGTCGCCGACATGGGATGGTGGTGGTGACCCCGAGGATCGAAGCCGTACGGGGCGGAGGTGTCGATCCGCAGGTTGGCGGGCAGTCCGGCGGCCGACTGCGGCACCGGCGCAAAGATGCCCGAGTCGGCGTGGTGGTAGGGCGCGTGCGTCTGGGTCATAGGGTAGGCACCCATAGGCGGCTGCATGGCCGCGAAGTCGACGGCCACGGGCACGGACCGACTGCGCTGGCGCTTGTGGCCGCGCGCGGGCATGTGGAGGCCGGCGGAGTGCTCCGGGAAAACCCCGAGGAACTGGGGCTGCGCGAACTGGTTCGGCTGGGAAGCCGGCCGCTGAATGAAGGGCGGGGACATGGGACCGGGAATGGCGAACTGGTTGTAGGCCAACCGGTTCTGGAAGGACTCGAGCGAGACCAGCTTGGCGAGCTGGACGCTGAGCACCTTGGGGTGACCGCCAAGATGGTGGACGAGAATCTGGCTGGCCTGCTGGTCCTCGGTGAAATCGCCGCACTGGTAGAAGCCGCCGGAGTTGGACGAGTCCATGTAAAAGAGAGGGGGGCGGTTCAGCTCGACGACCAACCCGGCGGGTCGCGGGGGGCGCCGTTGGGCTGCGGGGCCTGGTCGCCCGACTCGAGGGTGATGTTCTTGATGTATGCAAAGGGGTACTCGATCTTGTAGCCGGCGGAGTCGTTGTTGATGTAGTAGGTCATGCAGGCCTTCTCGGGGGAGTAAAAAACGACGAGGTCCATGGCGTTCTGGCCGATGCGGCGCCAGCTGCCCACCGTCAGGGAGCGGCAGGTGAAATGGTGGATCACAACCTTGCCGGACGGGGTGGGCTCGTTGGGAAAGGCGCCGTGGCCGCCGTAGCTGCCGGCGCGGCCAAAGGGGTCGCGGGCGCCGGGCTTGCTGGGGTCGAACTGCATGGCGAGGTACTGGCGCATGGATTCGGGGATGGAGTCGCAACCTTCTCCGGTTTCGATACTCTTCTTGGCGAGCATCTTGATCTTGGCGCGTCTATCACCGGACGGTCAGACGCCGTCGCGACCGAGTTTGTGGGGGGGAGAAAAGAAAAAAAAAAACTCACCGATTTTGGAACCAAATCTGGACGGATCGCTCCGTCATGTTGATATCCTGGGCGATGCGCTCGCGGGTGGCGGCGGTGGGGGTGGGGTTCTTGTTGAATTCCAGCTCGAGGGTGACGAGCTGATCCTGGGTGGCGCGCTGGCGCTTATTGTTCTTCTGCTGCTGGGTCAGGGTGCTCTTGCGCTGGGGACGACGGGCCGAGGACTGGCCCGGCATGGAGGCGTTGGAGACGGAGGGCGAGGGGGTGGTGGCAGCCGACGACGGGGAGGCCGTGGTGGGCGCCGTAGGGGCGGACGAGGCCGACATGATCGACGGATCCGGGGTGTCTATCGAAGACATGGTTGGTAGGAGGGAAGGGAGTGACGATCCGGTCGACAGTCGAAGGAATGGATGGTCTGTCGTCTGAAGCCGCGTCAAGCGATTCAGGCGGATGAATCAAAGGAAAGCCGCTTCGAATTGGGCACTCGTTCGGGGGAACGAAGACGTCGTGCCGAAGCGTGGGTGGGGATGATCAAAATGGGGTTGAAGAAGAAGAGAAGATCAACAGCCGACCTATGCAGCTGGGTGGGTTGAAAAGAAGGCCAGACTTCGCGACCGTCGCGGTGTAGGATAGATAATCCGGAGTCTTTAATCAATCCGGTCCTCAATCAATAAGCAATCGATTCATCAATCCAGGAACAATCGCAAGCGCATCTGACGAGAGAGCGAGGGCGAGGGGTGGAGATGACGAGGATATATGACCACGAGAGGGGGACGAAGAGCGAAGAGCGCGTAGGCGAGTCGATCGTGAAAGAGTGAAACGATCGACTGGGGAGACAAAAGTCAAATGAATGAAAGTGGAAAAGAAGGAAGATAAACGAATGAAGAAACAAGAAATAAAAGAGTGTGGGAGGAAAGGAAAGTAAAGATGGAAGATGAGAGGAAGAGAGAGAGAGAGAGAGAGAGAGAAGAAGAAGAAGAGAAGAAGAGAAGAGACAGTAAGAGAAGTGAGAATGTCAGAGAGAGAGAGTGGGTGCCTTGGGTGCCTCACTGCCTGGCTGCTCAGGAGGCAATGGGGGTTTCCCAATCGGGTTTAGCGTGTTCTTTTTCTCTTTTTTCGATGATTTTCTTGTTTTTTCCCAAGTCGAACTTGTCACCGTTGTCTCTCTCGTGGGGCTTTCTTTTGCCTCTTGCTGGAATAGTAGAAACAATCAAGAATGCAGAGGGTGATATATATTTATGACTACAGTCTGTTATGCTTCCCGTCATGAATCCTAACCAACTGAATACTAGGGACCATAACAACAATAATCAAATATCATAAAATCAAATAAAATAAACCTCAGAAAAAAAAAAAACAAAGCGAGGAGTATTGGAGGAGTATGGCCCCTGCGTCCCGACGCATCTGATTCTGCTGCCCGATTCCTGCTGGGGAACTGCCTCCTCCAATCATCCCTCGAACAGGTTCAGAGGAAGTCCCTCCCACCAAGGCCACCAGATGCATGTGCATCGTTCGCTCGGAGAAGAGAAGGAGACACTGTCGATCCTCCAATACTGACCTCCATTATTCACCCTCCAATATTCACCCTCCAATATTCAAACCTCCTCACTGGTGGGCAAGTGGGTGGCTAGTGACCAGCATGGTGGCCACCGGCCACTGGTCAACCAGCGGGGGGTTTCCCCCCCTGACAAACCAAACCACCACTCTAGTAACGAACAGAATCGGACAACCGGCTATAAATAACTCCAGAGGTGGTTAGACCGTGCCAAGGGGGGGGGGGGTCCATCATCCATGATTATGAGTAATCGCCAGGTACACGACGTGGGGCAAGACCAGCACTTCCCCCCTTTTGGATGGTCACATCCACATCCACCATCCATATCCACCCTAGCACCTATCCATCCAGTCAGTCAGTCACTTACTCACTCACTCAGTCTAGTCCAGCCCATCCAATCCATGTGGACTGGATCCTCTGCAGACACGACAGGACCCATTAGAAAAAAACACGACGACTGGAGAAATCAACCCGGTAAACCCACCAAACCCAAGGACACGAACCAAACCCAACGTGACCTGGACCGTTCCAACCGGGTGTTTCCGACCTGGACAGACAGGTCAGGTCAGTAAGCGTTCCAACTCCCGACCCAGTCAGTAGGACAGACTCCTAGCTCAGGTACTTTGTACTCTGTACCACCCATCCAAAACAGTAGGGGGTTCCAGATCCATCACAGGAAAGCAGGGAGGTGAGAGCCAAGAAACCTGCAACTGTTTCATGTTGCACCATCACTGCCACCAACATTGTCGAAAGAAAGAAAAAGGGAAAAAGGGAAAAAGGGAAAAAGGGTCTCCCAGGCCTGACCAACCTGGTAGTTAGGTAAGTTAGTCAAAGTAACCAGTTCCAAGGATCAGGATCAAGTATGGAGCCACGAGACTTCAACCAAACCAAACCACCAACACACCAAAGTAGTTATCCCCTAACTGCAACAAGCAAGTAAGGCACACGCTAACCACAACACCACTAGCGTATCTACACCCAGCAGGTTCACCATACTATTAATATCACCACCTACCAAACCATCCCATCCATCCATCCACCACCCAGCATTGAAAACCCGGACGGTAACCGGTCCACCTCCGTGAAGTCCGGTCGGGTCCTGATTTCTCACCGAGCAACATAAAAAATCTGATTGGAGGGTAAGATTCAGGTACCCGCCCCTCTTTTCAGGGCCGGTTGGGTCCTGATAGGCTGGGCTGGCCATGACAGCGTCTGGTGGGGATCGGCACCGGAACCGACCCTGCGCTCAACTCGTGTTGCTGGACTGGGCTTGGGTTGTCGCCACTGTGTATCCGTGCTTGGTTGGTACCCATGTACGTACCTGCCTCGTTCTCCTTACTCATCGAGCTATACGGATGTACATATATGCACGGATATGTAGATATATAGATAGATATGTAGATAAAAAGATTAAAAAAAAAAAAAAAAAAAAAACATGATACAAGATCCAGACCAGCCTCAAGTACTTTTATAATAACGTGCATGCATCCTCCTTAGTATAGAGTGAGGATAGGGTAAGGAAATGAGATATGTAGTATGTACGGAGGGATAGATAGTTTGGTAGATCGCCATTTGATCCCTATCAGTTCGAGGTGGTAGATGGTGGTGGAATGTGTTGGAATCGATTACTTGAGAGTAAGAGAGAGGGAGAGAGGGAGAAGTTGCAGTTCTTACCTAGGTAGGTACCTAGTATTCCTAGCTATTCATGAAATAATCCACAATATATGGAAATATAACCATCCCCAATATGATCGTACGCATTCTCGAACATAACTATAGTTGACTATATCGTCAACGATAACCAAGAGTAAATTAATACAATCTAATATAGTATACCTACCAACTAGCCTAGTATAATATAATAAAGTATCGAGCCCTACCGAGATTAACAACACTAACCCGACTCCCTAGTACCTACATAGTATATCCTCTCCGGACACGGAGACTAGTATATCAGATAGATTAATTCTACCTACCTACGGATACTGGCCTAGTCTATCCTTCCATATCTACTCTGTTGATCAGTACGCTAGGGTGACTGTCTATTTACTATGTCTATGTAACTGTTATATATACATATATTGTGATCTAACTTTTTCGATGGTTATTTGGGTTTACGTGGTAGATATGTGTATATCTCTATCGGTAGATGGTGTGGTAGAGATAGTAGTAAAGCCATTAAACCACATCCAATGATCAAAATAGACAAGATGAATAAGAACAAAATAGTTTATCTAAATTAGACGAACGAATCAGGTATACTAGATGAGATGAAAAAATAAATAAATAAAAATAAGTATACGTACAAGTATATATACACACAAGGAATGACTCCCCAACCCAGGGGTATAATAACCATGACAATAAAAATAAATGCACAAGAATGCACAAGAGAAAGAAGAGGGAAAAAAAGGTCAACGCCATCTCGCTACACACATGCCCCAATGCAATCAATCAATCAATCAATCCGATCCAATCCCACTCCCATATATACATGGGAAAGGAAAAGGAAGACAAAAAGAAGGTACAAAGAAGAAGATACAAAGAAGGGAATCTCGAAGGAATGTCAAAAACGGAGCGAGAAAAAAAAAAAAAAAAAAAAAAAAAAAAGGAAGAAGAGGGTATCACTTCCGAATCGCCCCATACCCCTTACTAAACAACTCGTGAACGTCCACCGACCGGCGTCTCATGCTCGCCCGATCAATAGACATCCTGCTCGCGCCCCCCTGGGCATCAGGCCCGACAGCAGTGGCAGTGGTAGTGGTAGTGGTAGTGCCGTCCGCCTTCTCCATGACGCGCGGCCGCGCCAGCAGTTCCTGAACCTGCTTCTCGCGCGCGATCATCTCCTCCTCCCGGTCGAGTTCGAAGCTTGCCTTTTTAGAGCCGTGGTCCCAGCCCTGCTGGAGTTCCAGGGCAGCGGCTTCTTCAAACCGCCGGCGGATGGCCAGGTCCTGCTCGTATTCCTGGAAGACGTCGACGTCGGTGGGGAAGAGGTTCGCGCGGATGGCGCTGACGGTTATCTCGAAGAGGAGGACGGCGGCGACGGCGAGGAGGAGAACCGTCCAGAAGGCGAGGTCGTGGCCGACGATGAAGAGGAAGTGGCCGGGCACGCGGTAGATGCCGTCGCCGGTCTTGATGTCGTATTGGCGGGCGAGGATCATGTTCCAGACGAACCAGCCGCCGACGGAGATGATGAAGACCACGACGGAGAGCCAGGTTTTGTTGTGCACTTCGAGGACTTGGAGCTTCGTGTTGATTACGATCACGCAGGCGGTGTAGGTTAAGAGGCCGGCGGCGAAGAGGTCGCTGCCTGTGTAGGTTGCGAGCACGTTTTCGAAGAGCCCGAACATGGTGAAGAAGATGATCATTGCTTCGCAGGTTGCCATGAATGTCCAGCCGAGGTAGAGTCGGATGTTGAACCCCCCGTGCTGCTGGCCCTTGGTGTACAGTTCTGGCACCGCGAGGAGCGTAGATGCTGCCAGGTCCTTGGTGAAGATGCCGAGGAAAATGACCGCCAGCGAGGTGAAGAGCGTGTTGAACATACTTAGACTCCAGTTCTCGTACAGACTCGTCCCCGTGTACCCGTTCCAGCGCTGGTACAGCGCCTGCGTCAGGTAAAATAGCATTTCCTTCCAGAACGTGCCCAGCGTGTACTTGCACGCGCGCATGTAGTTCCACCGCCCGTGCACCAGCAGCAGCTTGAGCAGGAACCGGAACTGTCCGATCGAGTAATCCGATATCCGCGACGCTTGCAAGCCCTCCTTGCCCGCGATGCCGATGCCCACGTGCGCCTCCTGGATCATGGCGATGTCGTTGGCGCCGTCGCCGATCGCCAGCGTGATCGAGTCCTTGACCTGCAGCCGGATCGACTGCACCAGCGAGGCCTTCTGCTTGGGGCTGGCGCGACAGCAGATGACCGAGTCGACCAGGATGGCCAGCTGGAAGAACTGCTCCCGCAGCGTCTCGTCCGCGTCGATGGTCGATAGTGTCTGTCCGTCCACCACCACCACCGAGTGCGCCACGCCGCCGTGCCGGATCTCGGCCGTCAGCCGCACGATCGACGCCTCGACCTCGCCTGCCAGCTCGTCGAGCACGACCAGGGTCGAGTACTCCTTGACCAGACGGCACGAGTGGCCCACGTTGATGGCCGTCTCGCGCTTGTCGCCCGTCAACATCCACAGCTTGATGTTGGCGCGTCGCAGCTTGTCGATCGCCTCGGGTACGCCCTTCTGCAGCTTGTCCTCGATCGCCGTAGCGCCGGTCAGCTCGAGCTGCTGCTCCAGCTCGTCGCCGACCTGCTCGATCTTGTCCTGGCGGTCGACCAGGCTGGTGCACGCCTCCCGGTAGGCGGCCTTCCAGCTGTTGTAGGTAGCCTCGTCCAAAAACCGGTGACCGTACAGGAGCGTGCGAAGGCCCTCGGTGGCAAAGTCGTTGAGATGCTGGAAGCACCGCTCGAAGACGGCCGACTCGTCGACGACCAGCGCCTCCTCCACCAGCTCCTCGTCTTCCTCCTCCTCGACCACGCAGCTACCCGCGTCAGACAGCGCCGTCGACTGTCGGCCCAGCTGGGCCGACGGCCGCGGACTGTAATAAGCGGGGTCCCGCCCCTTCGTCGTGAGGCCGCCCTCGGTTTCCCGGTCCCGCAGCCAGACGTCGATGCTGTCTCGGAGGGCCGACACGCGCTGGCCCGAGACGCTCGATCGGCGCTGCGTCATGCTCGGCCGGCTGTAGCTATTCCGGACGCCGCTCTGGCGCTGGCTCTGATACTCGCTGTTGCGCCGCATGACGTGGTTGGCTTCGACCGCCTTGCGCTTGCTCGCGCGTCGCTCGATCTCGGTCGCCTTCTCCTGCGCCAGAGCGGCGCGCTTGAGGCGCTGCATCAGCAGACTATCGGCGCCCTTGCAGAACAGGCAGATGCGCTGGTCCGGCATCCGCACCACCACCGACATGCGTTTCCGCGCGCTGGAGAACTCGATCACGTCCAGGACCTCATACACCTCCTCGCGGGCGGGGGCCGACCCGGCCCCGCCGTCGGGGTACGTCCGCAGGGTGACAGTGTTGGCCTGTCGGTCGCAGACCAGGTACCCGAGCTCCTGTGCGGCCATGACCAGCGCCAGCTCGTCGGGCGACGCTGCCTGGAAGTTGATGGCGCCAGACTCATCCGCCTCGGGGATACACGTGTGGCACAGCGCGACGGCGAGCAGGAACATGCGGGCCTTGCGGGCGAAGACAGTGTAGGGCTTGCGCTGAATGTAGGCAAGCATGTCGGCGGTGCGGTTCGTCGCACCCGGGTCAGGGCGCGGACCAGCGGTGTTGGCGATGGCAACCCCGGAGGGCCGCGACGCGGAGCCAGCGCGGGCGAAGCTCGGCCGCATGGCCTCGGACACGTTGGACTGGCGGGCCATGGACTGACGGGCCTTGGCACCACGCTTTTTATGGACCAGCCGCTCGCGGTCGTCGGACCGGGCAGCCTCCTCTTGGAGGTCGGCGTCGTGGAGCCAAGCGGTACCGGCGACGCTCATCTTGCGGAAGCGCATGGAGTTGTTGGTCAGGGTGCCGGTCTTGTCGGAGAAGACGTAGCTGACCTGGCCGAGCTCCTCGTTGATGGTCGAGGTGCGCGCCTCGATGGGGGTGTCGGTCTCGGGGTCGTACATGTCGATGTCGGCGTTCAGCATGAGCATCTGGGCGACCTTGACGATCTCCATGCTCACGTAGAGGGAGATGGGGATCATTGTGTTGAACATGATGAGGAAGGAGGTGAAGATGGGCCCGTACGACACGGTCGAGTCGGCCAGGTACCACGCCCGCGACTCGACGTCATGTGACCAGTAGCGGTAGGCGATGGTGCAGGCGGCGGCCAGCGCCAGCACGAGAAAGACAATCAGCACGACGACGCGGTTGACCTGGGCCTGGAGCGCGGGGGACTTGATGCGCGGGTTCTTGTTGGCGTTCATGCGGATCTTGCACTCCTCGCCGGTGTAGATGACCATGCCGGTGGCCTCGGGGGTATTGCGCAGGATACTGCCGCGGTAGAGGATCTCGTTGTTGGTCAGCGGCGCCTTCTCCCCGGCGGCGACGACGACGTTGCCGTCGAACTTGTAGAGGTCGAGGTTGGGGTCCTCGACGGCGAAGTGGATGGCGTTGCCGCAGATTCCCTCGACCGAGTCGCAGGCCTTGGCGACCACCTGACACGGCTGCTTGTTCTTAAGGTTGGTCTCACCGTCCAGGGCCATGGTCTCGATGTAGGCGATGCCGTTGGCCTCCTCAGCGTGGAGCAGGACCAGATCGGCGGGCACCGGCTGGTCCCGCATGAGCTTGACGACGTCGCCGACCTTGATGTCCTTCCACTTGACGGGCGTCCAGTCTTGGGCATCGCTGGCGACGGAGACGCTGTCGCGGGCCGACGCCGCCGCCGATTGCGGTGGCATTGTCGACCCGGCACCCGGCCGCAGGACCCAGGCGATCCGGTTGTTCTCCTCGCGGTCGAGGCGGTACCGGCGCCAGTCATCGAACCCTTCCTTCCCCATGGAGATGCCGACGAAGATCAGCAACGGCACCAGGGTGGTGAAGGTTCCCGTGGTACTCAGGCCGGGGATCATCTGCAGGATGGCGACGACGAGGAAGTAGAAGTTGGCCAGCTTGGTGAACTGAGCAAACAGCTGGCGAGGGAAGAAGCTCCACAAGCTGTAGCGGCTGGAACGGATGGCGTTCCCGATGTAGGGCTTCCCGGTGCGCTCGTCCAGCCGGTCCTCGGCGCGCATCGGCTCAAGGTCGATGTGGCGGCCGTCCGCGCTCGGGGGGATGTCCTGGATGCGGAGGATGGTCTTGCGCGCGGTCTCTAGCATCTCGTGGACCCGGACCTTGAACGTCTCAATCGCGGCGGTGCGCTTCCGCAACCGGTCATACGAGAGGGTCATGGAGAGGTGGCGGCCCTCCTTGGGCTCGGAGTAGCAGGTGGTCGAGCCATCGTCCTTGGGGGTGGAGTCGGAGGTCGACGACCGCTGGGCCACGACGACCTCGGACTTCTCCTGCGGGGCCGACGGAGCGGGGAGCGGTGGCTGGACCGCGATGTCCGGCGGTGGCAGCGGGCTGGCCGGTAGGGGTGGGGACGGTGGTTCCTCTGTCTCGGCGACGTCGGCGGACGGGGTGGCCGTGTCGGGCTGCTGTTCGATGTTCTTGGCGAATAGAGTACGCCGCAGGGAATAGCCACGGTTGCGCGACCGCGAGCGGCCGCCGGCGTCGGGGCCCTGGCTCTGGGGCGAGGGGGGCTCCCCGGGGTGGGTGGGGGAGAGGGGGGAGGTAGCCCGCTCGGGGGACCTGCCCGGCGAGTGGGCGCGACTCACGGAGAGGTGGGTATCAACGGTGAGGCCCCTGGAGCCGGGGCGTCGGAGACCGGCGGAGGATCGGCGCGAGTCGTCCGCGACGGGGGGATCGAGGTCGGTGGAAAAGCGCACATGTTGTTGGGAGGCGCGGCGGCCCGAATCGGAGAGGGCTCGCGACGGGGAGAGTGAGGGGCGGGCCTGGGATAGACTGCTGCGCGGGGGGGCTCCTTGTAGGGAGTGACTCCGGGGCAGTGAGGCGGGGCGAGAGTCGACGGAGGCGTCCTCGCTGGGACGGGGGGGATCCCCAGCCGACGGGGCTACCGGGTGGTCGTCATTGTCGGTGGTCTCATCATTTCTGGACATGGCGAGACGGGAAGTCGGAGGGTGGGCGTAGACGGAGGTAGAACCTCTCCTCTGCGCGCCTCTGGTATGTTGTCCCTATTCCAATCGTCCTTCCTCCAAAAATAAACGGTGCCTCGGTACAAAGATATCACCGGGCCAGACGCATCCTTCCGCGTCACGGCAAATCGGGCGGAAGGTGTGTTATTCACGAGGATGTCGACATAGACAGGCGGGGCGCGGGACGTTCACAGCCTCGGCGGGGAGTCGCACAGAGATGCAGCCTCGAGGTCAGAAGGGAAGCGACTGAATTGGCGAGGCTAGGTGAAACGACCGTGGGGGGGGGAAAGGGGAAGGATCGTCCAGGGATGTATTCTTGGGGGAGGGGGAGGGATGAGAGGGAGGGGTGGGATTAACGATAGACAGGATATCACCCAAGGTAGAGAGGTGAGGAGGGAAGAGGGAAGAGGAGAGTAAGAGAGAGAGAGAGAGAGAGAGAAGTAAGAGTGAAACAGCGATAATATGTGAGAAGAGAAGAAAACTGGTCATTTTTGCCTGATTTCGCACTATTTCCGCAGGCGGCCATACCCCGCCAATCACGGGGCTGGTTGTGGGCCGCTTCCGGGACGTTATTTCCTGAGGACCTAGTACTTAGTACCTAGGTCGACTTATATCTGGTAGTTGGTATAGTGGACTGGATCTATATTCTATTCGATTCTAGACTCATTATAGTTACCTAGATAGATAGATAGATGTATGTATACAATAGTACACATGTATAATACTACCTATCGAGACAGGGTGCGAAGTAGACCTGACAGATATAACCCCACATACTCGCCCCTGGATCCAATGGGTCGGTCGCCATGTGGACGTCCACTCCTCGACCCATATACCTGAGGCATCCTCTATACCATAGTTATTTCAATACAACACTACTATAATACTACAATATAACAAGATACTTAGCACAATTCTTTACAATTGCTAAAAGTCTATCCCCCAACACTAAGTACTAAGTATAGAGTAATTCAGACTAAGGCCGAGCAAAACAAGGTAATCACCTGGCCAAGTCCCCATTTTTCCACCAGACCCACCTCGTTTCCCTTTGGTTACCCTGTCGGTTCCACTTGCTGCCATGTCGAGACCGAGGGAGAGTTGTCTGGAACGGTTCGCAAATAGGATAAAAATAAGGTACAGTAAAATAAGGTACAAAAATAAAATAAAATAAAATATTATTCGCCTCCACTTCATGTCTACCCACGCCCACGAGGTCATTCTTCCTCTATACTCGGTTATTCTCAATCAACGCAAATAGTCCATGTTGAATACTCAACAATATATATTCCGTACGATATACTCCGTATACTCATATTATATACTATACTATACTCACACTATACATATACATGCATACTATACTATCAATCGTATCATGTCAATCAATTCCACATATCGTCCGAGACAACCCAAGGACTCGCCTAGGAACGTGGCGCACCGGATGGTTGGGTCCAGGTGGCGACCCGTTCATGAACCCCCTCCCCCGCCGTACCTCATGCTACGTGCCATGGTCCTGAAAATTGGATATACCAAAATAACCTCATACTAATAATCATTAACAATGTTCATTTTCTACGGGTACATGCCCATTTCACCAGCCAATACCGTGCCCGGAGCGAGGAACAAGGATGAAACGACCGTCGACGCGTAGTGAATAACAATAAAGCAAAGGAGAGAAAAAAATAAGGGAAAGAGAAAGATAAGGAACAGAAAAGGAAAAGAACAATAAGACTAAAACTAAAAATCATAATGGGTACAGTCCGATATCAATCTTCTTCATCGCACCTAATCCCCTCTCATTTCATCCGGCAGACCCCCTAGTACCGCGGGGGCGGCGGGGGGGCCTGTCCGTACGCTCCCGGTGGCGGGTAACCGCGGGGCCCACCGGCCGGCGGTCCGTATCCCGATGGGCTGGGCTGCGGCGGGGGCGCCCCGTAGCCGCCGTAGGACTGGCCGTACTGGGCAGGGGGCTGGCCATAGCCGGGCCCGGGGCCGTAGGGACCGGGGGCGCCGTAGCTCGGGGTGGGGGACGGGCTGGGATATCCCGGTTGGCTGTAGGCAGGGGCAGCCGGGGGCGCTTGGCTGTAGCCGCCATACTGGCCAGGAGCAGGGCCGGGCGGGGCGCCCACTGCCCCCCCGGCACGACCGCTCGCCTTCTCGTCCTTCGTGTCATACGAGGTGTCGATGGCCCCAAGCATCAATTTAGCACACTGCAACGGTTAGTCAAGGACCCTCAAACCACCGTCCACGGTGGGAGAGAAGATCTAGGGGAGACGCACCCATAGCTCACGGGTCAGATACACTGGGGGGTTGGCGCGCGACATCTCGTCCTGCTCCACCTCAAAGTCTGCAACTGTTAGCCTCGGCCTTCCAAGGGTCCTGCGGGGAAGAGAGGAGGAAGACGAAGGAAGAAGAGGGGGAGGGGGTTAATTACTTGAAGTGCAGTCGATCAGTCCGCCAATCTTCGGGTCTTCGTCCAGGCTCCCCAGGAAGTCACGGGCCTTGGCATCGTTGCCGACCTGGGAGAACTGGAAGGCGACCGTGCCACGTCCCAGGGGCGTGCGGGCCACCTCGTCCGTCGCGGAGCGGATGGAATTGGCCACCGAGTCGAGGGGCTCACCCGCTGGCTGACCGTCGGTGATGGTGATGACCAGGACGGGTTTCTGCAGACGACCCGCGCGCGCCGGCCCCACGACCATCGGGTCGAGGACCTTCTGCTTCAGGCCGGTGCCCAAGGGCGTCAAGCCGGAGAAGCGAACGCGGCCGACTAGACGGTGGACGTCGTCGACGCTGCGGATACCATCCCCGAGCTCCATGGAGTTCATGAACCGCACGGAGATGCCGTCCTCGTCGAACGTGGCGGCTGCCGTGGCGATGATGCCGATGATCTGCTTCAGCTGCTCCTTCCGCACGCCATTCTCTTCGAACTCGATGGATCCACTGTCATCCACGTACAGGATGACGTCGTAGAGGGAGAGCTTGATAATATCAGTGGCCACCTCGGTGGGCACACGCCACTCGTGCACCAGACGGCTGATTTTGGCTGGGGCCTCGGTGGCCAGCCCTTGGACGAGTTGATCCAGACGGGCCGGGGGGTAGAAGGGTTGCAGGTTGTTCTCCTGGATCGTTGCCAGCAAGAGCTGTCGGTAGGCGCCGAGTTGCTGCTCTGTCGCGCGCGGTGCCGGGGGCATCCCGCCGGGAGGTCCATAAGGCGCTCCCTGCGGTCCCGGGGCTCCCGGCTGCGGAGGACGAACGGCACCACTGGGATACGGGGAGTTCTGCGGGGGGTGCGAAGGTGCCTGGGGGGGGGATTATTGTCAGTTGCTTGCCCCCTCAAATGCGTGCCAAGGGAGAGAACGATGGGCAATGAGGCATGGAAAAGAAGTTAAAAAAAGATGGAAGACAAGATCGAGGAACATGAGGGAAGCCTTATACATGTGACGACTGGGGTGGATATTGCGGTCCTGGCGCTCCGTAGGGGGAGTGAGGGGAAGGAGGGGGAGGTGGGCGCCCGTAGCCCTGCGGGGGTTGACCGTACGGAGTTGCGCCGTACGGAGCGGGAGGTCCAGTCGGGAGAGTCGCCGGTCCATAGGGTGATGGAGGGTATGGGCTGGTGGACGGCGGCGGAGGCTGGGGCGTGCCTCCATACGGCGAAGGGTAGGGCGACGCGGACGTGGGTTTATTAGGAGGCACGGAGGGAGGGGGATAGGCCTGGTACTGCTGCGGGGGCGGCGAGGAGGGATACGGCGACTGAGACGATCCCGGGCGCCCCGGCTGCAGCGGCGACGGATATTCCGGTCGGGTATAATAAGGCCTCGACATGGCGGGATGGATGATGGATGGTGTAGCGTTTGACCGAGCGGTTATCCGGGGGGAAGGTTTGTTGGGGTCTCGGACGGCAAGAGGGGCAGGTCCCAGGGTCGCGGGGGGCCTTGGGTCTTTCCACGGAGGGTGATGGACCAAGAGGAAATTCCAAGGGGAAGAATAACCACAAAATAAACGGGTGGAAGGTGATGATGAAGAAACAAGAAAGAGGGATGAAAAAAGAAACCCAAAAGAGATGGTCAGCTTACCGAGCCAGGAGGAGCGGGGGAACCTGGATAAGCCTGATACTGCGGTTGCTTTTGCCAGACGGCGTGAGTCAAAATCCGGAAAGAGAAAAAGGGCCGAGAAGAAAGAAAAAGAAAGGAAAGGAAAAAGGAATAAGGAAAACAAGAAAGAAAAAAAGTGGGAGACAAGAAAAAAACGAGAGATGATGATTCGGGGATTTCGACAACTTACAGGGCTGTTGTATCCACCGGAGCCACCAGGCTGCAATGATGCTGGAGGTCCGCCCGTGTATCCGGTTGGAGGAGCTCCGCTGTAACCGGATGGATTGGCACTCATTGTGGGAGGTTGACTATTGGCGATCTTGGAGGCAAACTGTAGTCCAGGAATGATGATGAGTATGCAGGTTGCAGGTTGCAGGTAGTATGCAGGCCGGGATGATGATGATGCCACAATTCAGCTTGGGAGGAGGGGCAAGCGCGGGGCAATAAAAGGAGAGAAAAGAACAAGACTTACTCCCATGGTTGGCAGGTGGGTTGAGTGGAAAAGAGGTTGCCTAAAGTGACTCGAGTGAGGAAAGTAAGGAGATGGAGGAAGGAGAAAGGAGAAAGATGAGATGTTGATCCGAAGGCAAGAGAAGAAATGGAAGAGAAGAAGAGGAAGGTGGGCTGATGACTGCCTGAGGTACTTATCATCATCGTCAACAAACATTCAGCCTTGGGAAGCCTCAGGCCCGGGCCTCATGCGTCATCGGGTTGATTCTGGTGGATCAGCAGTTTGATATGGACCAACGAATGGTCCCTGCTGTTTATAAATAACCATGCTTCTCCACTTCCTGTCCAGTACCTGTACTTCTACTACGAGAACCTACCTAGTAAATAGTACTTACCAGGTACTTACGAGATATTCCGTCAGATCCAGATAGCCACAGGTGGAGTGAGTGGCGCAGTTCGCCTGATCCACCAGGCACCAACCAGTACATCATACAGAATATGGATGCGCAAGGCTGAACGTGTCCTTTGATCTATCGTCCTGGTGGGAATATACTAACTGTAAATTTGTCAAACCACTCTGATGAACTATACCAGCGTACCTAATGGACTAGGATCTGTTTCTCTCCAATATCAAATCCAGAGTGGCTTCCTCAGGCATCTAAGATCCGATGAGCAGCTGAGTCATCCTCCCCACCTGATCCGCCATTACCCGATTGGGTTAAGCCGATCGGCCTGATCGATCGATCTTTCTCTCTACTACGAAGTACGGATACTTCTCTCCTTCCTTCCTGGCTAACCGTCCATCCGTCGGATCCCTCTGGCTCGTACTTTGGTTCTCCTGGGTAGAACAGCCGCTGGTTGGAATGGACCTGCTGCTCTCGCCTCGTGGAACGGAATTACCGTTTTGGTGTGACGACAGACGTCTCATGGAGGGCGACGATCCCAACGTCGTGATAGAGACCACGTATGACATTGAAAACTCGTGAAGCCAGATGACTATGATCCGGAGGGTCAAAATGGATTTCCACGGTTCCTATAAAGCTCTTGGTGGTGGAAATCAGTCATCAGGGCATCAGGTCCGCCATGTCGGGCATTCCATCGGATCGCTGGTGGCCGCTGACATCACGCCCCTACCTAAACAGACATCATCATGCCAGCATGGGCACCACGGCTCCGGAGCCTAAAATTATTCGTATGGGTGGGCAGGAACATGGCCAGCTCTTCCCCTTCCCGTTCAGTCACTCTTTCCCCACCCGATCAGCCTTGCTCCACGGTGTTCCAAAAGGCATCTGTGGATTCTAGCACTCGGATTCCCCTTCCATATTGGCCAGAACCTCTCATTAGTTCAATCAATCCCTTGCGCCCTCCACCCACACTTACCCCTTGGTTGAGAAGGACTCGGCCTCATTGACGTTCTTCCTGGCCATTGATTATCGAAGCGAATCTCTCTCCATCCCACGGTACAGGCTTGACAAACCGTAGAATAGGAGATCCATGTCCGAACACGATCAACACGATCAACAGTGAGTCCCATGCCGATCCACCCCAGATATACTCCCCCCAGACTAACGGTAGGAAGAGTGAAAATGGTCCAGAAGATCCTCCGTGTCGGTATCCTCACCGCGGGCCCTGGAGCGCAAGTGATCCAGACCATCTACCTCCCCGTATTGCGCGACCTGAAGAACTCCTTCCAGGCCACCGTGATCTACTCCGACCCCCCGGCCCCGCCTAAGAACGGCACGTCCAACGGCCATGACGAGACCCTGCGGATCGCTCGGACGCCCGACGAAGTCGTCCGGTCCAGCGACGTCGACCTCGTCTTCAACTTCATGCCTACCGAGTTCCACGAGTTCTACACTGTGGCCGCCCTGGCGGCGGGAAAGCATGTCATGCTGGAAGCTCCGATCAGCTTGGGTATCATGAGCGCGAAACGCATCATTCTCGCCGAGCGGCAGGCGCCCAACGGCGCCAAGGTCTTTGTCGCCTCGGTGCGTCGCTACGCGCCGTGCGTCGATGTCTTCCGTCAGGAAGTCGCCAGCATAGACCGCATATACTATGCGCGCTGTCGCAACATCGCCGGCCCGCACGCAGCGCACAGCGTCACCGCTCCACAGGAGCAGTGGCCGGCGATCATCCCCACGCGGCCCTCGCTACCGGTCACTGGAGCAGACCGCGAGCAACCCCAGGGCGAGCAGCTCCTCAACAACCTGTTGCAGGAGACCTTCGCGGGGCAAGACCTCAGCCCGGCGCGCATCTCCCTCTGCCAGTTTCTCGCGTCCCTTGGCTGCTACGATCTGGGCCTCATGCGTGACGCGCTGGGCTACCCCGACGCGGTCTCCAGCATCTCCGTCAACGCGCCCTTCTACTCCGCCGTCTTCCACTACGGCGACGACACCCTCGACGCCCACCCCTACACCCTTTTGTACGAGACCGGCACGGACTCCGTCCCGCGCCGCGACGCTCACCTCGCCGTCTACGGCCGCTCCAAGACCGTCACGATCCACTACGACCTGCCCTACGTGCCGGGCCAGCCCGTCCGCGTCGTCGTCGAAACGGCCGACGCCCACGGCACCCTCCACACCCAGGAGACTGTCTCCCGCTGGGAAGACGCCTACCGAGCCGAGCTGGAGGCCCTGCACGCATACCTCGTCGCCGGCACCAAGCCACGCACCACCACGGCCGACGCCATCCAGGACCTGAGACTGTTCCAGACCATCTTCGACCAGTACGATCGACAGTGTGGCACGGTGCGAACCCCGTTGGGCTGATCTCTCTCTCTATCCCTCTCTTTTCTTTTCCCTTTTTTACACTTAATTCTTTGTTTTCATCTGCTCGCATATTTGGCACGCACAACTGGGCTAGATTGGACGCCTTTTTTTTTTATCTAGTAATCCTTAGGATAGTTATGTAACGCATTTATGGAATCGTTTCCTTCGGGATCAGATCGTCCTACGTATCGAATAACTGAAGCATCATATCCATTGGTGTGCGCCTCGAGTTTTATTCGTGCATGAAGTACGCGTAGGTGATAATTTGAGGGTGCATGTCACGCAGCGTACACCCGTAGATCAAGACCCATACAGCCCCCCACCAGCAACAACTACAATGAAGGGACTGTAATAACATACATCCCGCCTAAAACGCTACTGTTATACTAAGCAAAAAAGCGGGAGATAAAACATCTTCCGACAAACATCTCAATTATATAGACAGATAAAGTAAAAAAAAAAATAATAGCCATATCGATATATATAGATAAGTAGATATATCGATAGAACGATAAATAGATAATCTAACCTCCACGCTATTTAGGTAGGTAGGTAGGTAGCAATCAGTCCACTACCGCTTCCCCTTCTTCCCACCTTTCTTCTTCGAGCCGCCCCCACTAGGGGCATTGACGACGCCGGCGCTGCCGCTGTTAGAAGCAGCAGGCTTGTCATCCGAGACGACGCCGCCCTGCGTGCGCTCCGCAGCGCGCTGCTTCCCCTTGCGGCCCTTGGGGCGGTACGAGGATCTCTCGCGCAGGGGCAGCCAGCGCTCCGGGTCGGCTGTCTTGGCCGGGTCGAAGTCCTTGGGGAGGCGGTCCTTGCGCACGCGCTTCGGGGCGGACGCTGCTGCTGATGCCTGGCGCTTGCGGGCGCCGGCGAGGGCTGCGGCTGCGGCGGCGGAGGCGGATGCTGGGGGCGCGATGCCGGCTGATTCGAGGGTGGCGAGGTCGACGTCTGCGATGAGGGTGGGCACTTCTGGGAGGGAGTCGACCTTGGCGGTGGGGACCTGGGTGTGGTCTAGGGGGGCTTGCGCCGCGATGTATCCTGCTAGGGCGGCCGGGTCGTGCGGGTTCTGCTGGTGCAGGGTTTGGAAGATGTCGCGGGCGGTGGTGAGGTCTGCGGAGTCCGTGGAGTGGAGGAGGGAGGTGGCTGCGGCGCGGAGGAGGGAGGTGGGGGGAGCCTGGTTGTTGGAGGGGGTGGTGCGCCAGTAGGTGGCGGCTTTGGCGAGCTCGGCGCGAATTTGCGTCTTGCGGCCTTCGAGCTTGTACAGGGAGACGAGGATGCCGAGGAGGCCGGGGTTGAAGCGGACAGACTTGTCTTCTGCGGCTTCGAGGTGCTGGAGGGTGCGCTCGAGCGTCGTGATGGCTGAGGTGGTGTTGCCGGCGCGGACGAAGAGCTGCACTGCGGTCAGGGCCAGACCCAGGTCCTTGGGGCGGTTGTCCAGCGCGGGGAGAATCGCTTTGAGGGCTTTGGGGCTGGGCTCGCCGCGGGCGTGGGCGGCTGCGTTGTAGACTGAGAGCAGGTTGGTGCGCGCGTCGGCGGACGGCCACGGGGCCTGCGACAGGGCCTTGGCCGTGGAGCGAATGATGCCGTCGTATTTCTGGACGAGAAGGTCGGCGGCGTGGGTGTTCTCTGTCGAGATAGTGTCTTGGAAGGAGAAGAGACGGTCGTTTTCGGGGGCCTCGGGGGCGGCGTCAAGGCCTTTGTAGAGGAGGAAGGGGTTGGCAGCGGAGTCGCGGACGAGGGTGACGTTGGTCTGCGCGATTCTTCTTGTTGACAGTTCCGAGATGCTACTGAATCAGTACGGACCAATGGAGAGAGAAGGGGACTACCCACCTATCAACGGAAATCTCCTCCAGGATGGCCTCTGCCTCCTGCGACTTGCCCTGTTGAATGAGAACATACAGCTGCTGCACAGCGATCGGGAGCAACTCGGCGGCCCGATCCTCAGGCGTCAAGTCCTCGGACGTACGGCAGAGTTCTACAAAGTTAGCTCGTCTAGCTCACAGGGTTAAGATTGCAGGAAACCAACCCTTAGCGCGCTTCAGCAACACCTCTGCCTGTCCAAATTCTCCCCTTGCAATCCCCAAACAAGCCGCATTGTACACCGTCTCGAACGCCTCGAGATCATCCCGCGTCGGCCGGTTATGGCGCACCTGGCTAGCCCACCCCTGCCACTGTAGTTGCGCATCAGCAGCCCACGAATTGATCCTCAAATCGCTGGCTTCGAGGGATGCGTCATTGGCCAGGCTCTCATAGAGCTCTGCCGTGCGGCGAAAGTTTTCAGCCCGGTAAGTCTATCGGCTATAATTAGCATACGTCGCTCAAAGCGGTGTCGCCCAAATAAAAAGCACGATCAAATGGATAAAGGAGGTGAAAAACATACAGCCTGAGCCTCCAAGTGCTGTGCCCCTCTGTGCCCGCTACCGCTCAGCTGCGCAACGACCTCGGTGGCCTCCTCCAGTTTCCCGCACTTGTAGAGAGCATATGCGTACTCCAGCGCGGCGCGCTTTTTCAACGCATCACCCGCTTCTTCAAATACACGCAGGCAGTCATCGTAGCGATCGAGTTTGAGGAGGGCGACCGCCTTGACGTGGGTTGCGCGGAGGTCAGATTTAGATTTGGAGAGGGCGGCGTTGGCAGATTGGAGGGCTTCGTCGTGGTCGTCGATGGAGGATTGTTGGAGGAGAGCGGGAAGGGATTGGGTGGTCATTATGAATGAGAGGTGTGCCGGGGCACGATATGGATTTAGGAGGTTATGGTTGCTGCATGTAATTCAAGTGAGGTAAAGCGATCTTTGGTTGATGCGGAGAGGACTTGCTGTGTGGCCGGATGAAGTTGGTGGCCTGAGGTATCAATATTAGTCATGAATGACTAACACCAGCCCTAAATGGCTGTCACCGTAACTGTATCAACAGGTCGATCGATGGAATACTTCGATTGAAGGTATTGGCGTATGCATTAAGTTATCATATCGATGGAACTAATAGCACTCAGTGAATGGGCCCATAGTCAGATGGAACCACTGGTTATCTATCACAATGAATCAGAATTTAGCCGTCGATCAGCGAACAAGAATTCAAAAAGATAGAATGTGATCAGTGTTTACTCTGGTTATGATGAAATCTGGCAGAGTTATAGTGCTATTTGCTGATTAACTTGTTATTCTAGTATATAATACTTGGTCAGCCACTTACTAGCCTTAGATCAAGTCATGTACACTGATGGTCAATTTCGAAGCCTCCAGTGCCTTGCCTAGTATGCCTCTGGGTATCAGGGAGAATAATACTTCCAAGTGTTTCAATTTACTTGGGCCTAGAAAGGTTACTTGAACCCCAACAGGGACGAGTCAGAACGGGTGTGTCTTGAGTTGCCGAAATACTCGGTTACGTCCGCAGCTACAGTGTCCTGTGCACTGTATATGACAAGGGAGAGTCTGTCCTGATAGACCTGGATTTCAATTTGTTCGACTAGAGCTGAAGTTCTGGCCTTTTCCATTATTTCGCTCTCTAATTCATTCAGTAGTACGAGCACAGATTCTTGATTTTGAAAGCAATATGGGAGTATAACTCGGTTTACCAAAGAGCAATCACATCCATCTCCCTTCTGAGATATATACACGATGATAGCATGTTGTCATTTGTAGGCTGCACAGCTACAGTCACTCTACTGGCATCTGTTTCTTTCCTTCTAACTTATCATCCCCTCGACTTCTCTCTCGCTTACCTCATTTTTATAGAGTACCATAGCATGAGCCAATGTTAAGCAAACTGGGGTTTAGCTCAAGCGGTTGATGCTCTCCGTCCGGCGTCCAATATACCCCACACGCCAGAGTCCTTACAAGATGAGAAGTAGAGTAATCCCCTCACCCTCCGGCACAGCCCACTCGAGGCATTTGCCCGCGACTGAAATCATTCGTCAGCAGTTATATTGCAATAAAGCAAGGAGGAATCACCACTCAGCTACGAAAGATATCATGCCACTTTTGGCTGTCGCAAGTAATCCTATATTCATATATAGCGCCATGTTCAGTGCAATATGTCACTTATTCACCCGATACAGCAAGGTTATTGCACCCCTTCACAAAGAGCAGCGGGCCAGAAGGATGGAAGGATGGGGGCGGTACTAACATAGAGCGGAGATCGACCGGCTAGTAGTAGCGTTCCGATTTGGACCCCATATCGAAGTTGCTATTCTAATCTCGTCCTTGGCAAGATCGTAGGTGGTAGGATCACGAGTATTACTTTCTATTTTGTGTAAGGTAGGTAGGTAAATAGGTCAGAAGGTAAGCGAGTACTCCACAAATGAAGTCATGGTAACCAAAGCCCCTACCATTGAGCCATTATATTGGACGCTGCAGATCTCCGGCTGAACAATAATCCAGGTATGCATAATCCCACTCTTGCAGTAGACTGGGGCAGTGCCCGTCTCTGCAATTAACAGGGATTATATCTGCTGGGAAATAACCCTATAGGGTAAGATCATGCAGGTGTATGCTGAACAGTCAGATCGTGGGATGAATACGAGCATCAGCATTCCTGGGGGAGATAGACAGGGCAGTGTCAGCGGCATATAGAACCATATTGGGACTCTGGAGAGTATTTTCTGTATGGGGATAGTGGCATGGAGATCAAGGCCCAATTATAGGTGTGTTAGAGAGAATACCCTCAAAGATGAAAGAGGTAGACGGGAGTGAAGCAATTTGAGTCCCATAAATAGCCAGTACTTCCCCGATAGATGAACAAGAAAGCAACAACAATTCCAACTCCAAGCAGATCAAAGATCATTTCCAAACAGACCAACCCAGACCAGCCCGCCCAAACCAAACCAAACAAATCCATTCAAAATGCTCCTCAAACCCCTTCTCACAACAATCACCCTCCTCGGCCTCACCACAGCCACCGCGATCCCCTCCATCAACAACGACAACGCCAACGACGAAAAAGACATATTCATCCGCGCCTCAAATGCAGAACTCACCACCCGCGCCGACGCCAAACCGCCCCCCAACTCCGTCTGCGGCTACGAGGAGATCCCCGCAACCAACAAATGGGTCATCTGGGCCCCCAAAGACTCCTTCGACCTCAACGAGCAATGCGGCAAGCAGTATCTGAAGAAGCTGCGCGGCCGGTGCGGCGTCATCACGACGTGGAAATGCAAGCACCTCGACAGCGACGGCAACCACGTCGACAGCCACGACGGGCATGACAATGTGTACGGGGGGTTGATGACATTTTACACGAGCGTGTTCTGCAGCTCCACCGATGTCATGGCTGCCATGGGCGCTGCGTCTGCCACTGATGATCGGCCTGATAAGTGTGTGGAGCCGCCGGCTTGGAGTCTTCCTCCTTATCATTGATTGGGAGTTGGGGGGGGGGGGGGGGGGCTGCTGTTGTTTTGGGGGATAGCTGCTTCTCTACGATAGAGTTGGAGAGAGGAGGGATGGGATTTTTGTTGGGGTAGATATGTGATTTGTGTGTGCATACATTGGTCTTGTTTCTATTCTAGAACGAATTGCTAGTAGTGAAGCTCACTGTAGTCGACATCAAGAACACTGCATCTTGCTGAGATTTCCAGTGTCAGTTAACTAGAGCCCGAGAATCTAGCCGTAGCAAGCCGAGTTCAGTGAATTCAACCTCGTAGAGTAGGTAGGGTAGATAGCACAGTAAAGAAAGAACTCTGAAGAAGACTGCAATCACTTACCAAATGCTCCTCATGTCCTATCAAGAAACCAACCGTAACCACCATAGGCCATTCAACCACCAACCATTCCCATCAAGCATATTAATCCGTGAAGTCAAGCCATTTCATACACAGTAACACTGCACGAGAAAACCAAGATAATGAATGACCTCCATCGTGGGACCGCTGTACGTAATGCCAGTGAGACAGTCTGCGTTGGCGGAGACACCCAATAACCCAACTGCGGCATTCCGTCCCGCCCACCTTCCAGTAGCATACGTACCTATCTACCTATCTACCCATCTATACTCAAGAGACAAACGTGGGCGGTAGGGATCGAATGGCGGGGGACGCAATCCCGACATGCATGTCTCACTCAATGACGCAGGTGATTTGACTCAATGATACCACGTGACCCCACGGCTGCCCTGCCGTGTTACCGCAGGCTAATCTAGCATGGCTACTGTCTATCACGAGTCTGGTGACGTCTGTCGCACGTACATGTGGGCCTGGGGCGGTGTCAATGAGGACAGGCCGAAGGAAGCGCGTGCGCGGTGCGGGGTTTTGATGGCGTGGTTGGGGGAGGTGGTTGGTAGGTGGGTATGCTTTGATGGCGCTGGGCGTGGCGGCTCGGGCGCCTGTATGATCTTACGGGCTGTATGTATCAGGGGGAGGAGATATCTAGAGATGTTCGAGTGGTAAACGCATATGAGCTTTTCACGGAGTACCTGGGGAGAATAGTAAGGTGTTCCTTTTCTTAGAGCGGAAGGGATGATGGTGACTGTTGTGCATGTGTATTACGTGTGAAGAGGAGCTAGGGTATAGTGGGTAGTATCTGACTCGATATCCAGACACGAACAAGGCACAGTTCATCTTATCCAATAGTGGACTGTCCTTGCGAGTTTAGTTCTCAGGTCATACTCGGTGACGCTGACAGTCCAGGGGGGCCCAGAGTCTGAGCCTCGAAATGGCCTGCCCTACAGGTGGGGCTAACTACATGTGTCTAGTTTATGTAGTATGTACGATGTAGGTGGCCCAGAGACAAGAGCTGCGTTACACTGTCACCCCACCGGTGCCGGCAAAAGCCACAAGTCAAAGCACATGATCCACTTTTGTACTCTGTACTCTGTGCTGTGCCGGGGACAGCGAAATATGATATCCTGGACTTCAGATGGAAACCAAACCAGGCGGGACGGACGGCTGCGACAGAACCGATTTCGCAATCAGGGCGGGCTTGGCGCGCGGTCTGACCAGTCTTAGCCCTGGATTGTCTCGGTCGGAGTTTAGGTTAATGAAGCTGATTCCGGGCTAAGGGGAAGGGGGTGTCGCGTGAGGTGAGATAAGGCGTCTGGCTGGTTTTTCAGAACTCTTATACTGAAAATTAACCAGATCGTCATAAGTATCTTCAAATTATCTTTCCAACGAACATACAATAGACTAGATAATCTAAATGGAGAGAGCAAGAGAGAACCAGAAGATTATGTCATCCAGGGCAAGACGGCTGACATAAGCTCGGGCCGTGCGGACCAAGACGGACACACACGGTGACAAGTGACAAGGGTTGGAATGGAATGGATACTATAATTAATTAATCCTCCTTATCTGGTTGATAATTTTAGTACATTTCATGCCATGTACGAAATGAGAGGCGTCAAACTATCACACCTTATTAATTTATCCGCCACTTCGGCCTTCCAGAGCCACCACACCCGACTCTCTTCTGTTCAGCTGGCGAGTCCGGGATAGATGGGCGATGATTTCACGACTCAATGTAACCATTCCCATCCACCACTGGGTGAGGCTTGAAGGCTACCGACGACTCCATCCTGACGAGTAGACTTCTCGACTCCTTGACTTTTGGACCTTTTTTGGACTCTGGGAACTTACCCGACCCGAGACTGGACAGTGCCAGGTCAAACCTGCGGACGTCGTCATCGTCCCCCCGTGTCGCCCCCGCTCACTGGCGATCGGCGCCAGGGCATACCATATCCGCGCGTCATGGTGCGGCTTGGCGGGGACCCTTCAGCAAGTCAGAGGTCCCTATTCCCGTTGGCTGGATTTGTTTCCTGGATGTCTCAAGCAATTGGCAATTGAGGGTTGACAGTCAACGCCGTCCTGATTCTTGACCGGGGCCCCAGTGACACTGGAATCTCTGCAGATGATCCTCGCGTTCCACCCTCCCAAAATAATCAAACAAAAAAAAAAAAATCAGAAATGGCCACCACGGTGGCATATGTTGAGGAAAAACTCCTATTTGGCAGACGACCCACTCGAGTGGCCGATCTGCAGCCCCTGGATCGAGGCCTCATTGGCCAAAGTGGACATTGGATCTCCAATGGTAGCCGCCCCAAAGAAGACATTACCGTGGGTTGAGCCGTCTGAGACTGAAAAATCGATGGAAATTTTTGGGTTCCCAAAAGAAGGTTGCCGGAAGTCTGATTAGAATTCGAGCATGGTCGGGTGGTGGCTTCAAACTCTGTAGGTTATCTGGTTGAGTGTGTTGAGGCAGTGAAGTTGACCCTGAGATGCTGGCAATTCCTCTCGACTAGAAGGTGTAGTAAGTAGGAAGTACCTGGGTATATATGGTTCGTTATCATACCGAGTGTATACCGGTAAAAATACCAAGCAAATAATCAAACGGAGTGGTCTGGCCTGACCCCTGCAATCTGCAGGTCTGCTGTCACGTCGCCTGATTGGAGAGTTGCCGCGGTGGCCACACCCGGTACCGAACCGTACGAAATAATACGGGCCAGAGTACCTCGACCATACTGGGACCAACTACGGCTAACCTTGTCTCCTCCGGGACTCCTTCCTCCTGATCCTGATTTCTCTCTCTCTTACTTACTCTGTTCTCTTCTCTCTCCCTCTTTCTTCCTCTTATCTCGATCGATTCTTAATTGATCTTCCTTCCTCCTCCTCTTTTCTTCTCTTTTTTTGAGTTTGAATTTTGATTTTTAATTTTTGGGAGTTTGGTTTTCCTTCCTGACTTCCTTTATCCTTCACATCCTCATCCACCTCTTTCCCTCTCCTCTATTATCTTGTTTGTCTTTCTTCTCCCTTTTCTTTACTTTTATACCGGGTATTGTTTTCACGGGTCTTACCTTTCTTATTTCCTTCCGCCGTCCGCCAGCTCGACTCTTCCTGTGCCTGGATAGTCGACATGCTTATGCTCCCTTAGTACGACATACGACTTCCAGGCTCAGTATCGTTATCTACCGCGATCGATTCAAAAACGCCCCCTCCCCCTCGCCCCCGCCTCCCTCCTTTCTTCCTCCGCTGTTCGATGTGGTCCAAACGGGAACCAGTTGGGACTACAATGGGTACCCCGATAGTTGCGCGGAAAAGGCTTTTACGCTTTCTGGTCGCTATCTGTTTGGTCAGCGCCTTCTCCTTCGTCCTTTGGCCGCATGTCGAACAACCTAGTGTCACGACGACGACGATCTCTGGCAACGTGACGGTCACGTCCGACGTCCAGTGTGATCCCGATACCGATGTCCTCAACCGCCTCAATATCCGCAAGTTGAGCCAGTACGTGCGCCGCGATGTGATTGCCGTGCCGTCCGCCGCCAACGACCCCTTGCCCATCAAGCACCTCCTCAACTACCCCCTGTTCGAACCCTCCTTGCCGTCCGTCGACGCCCAGGGCAATCCGCTGGAAGAACCCGCCCAGAAGGACTGTAAGATGGACGACCCCATCACCGTCCAGGTGCCCCGTCCGCCCCGCAATGTCGACGCATCCCACATCGACTTCGGTGTCGCCACCACCCTTTCGCGTCTCAACGATTCCGTCGAGCAGTTTGCCCACTGGGCCGGTTACACCCGCACCCGCATCTTCGCCTTGATTGAGCCCGATGCGCGCGCCGCGGAGGTGCAGGCCAAGGCTGACCTCCTGGGTATCAACCTCTACATCACCGAGTCCGACGAGGAGTACCAGCGCCGCTATTTCTCGCTGGTCGCCCACCTGGCCCAGAATGTGCGGTCGCAGACCCGCTGGTCCTGTATCATCGATGACGACACTTTCTTCATGTCCATGTCCACCCTGGTCAAGGCCCTGTCCGAGTACGACGACACGAAGAATTACTACGTCGGCGGCCTGTCGGAGAGCATCCCGCAGATCGGCGTCTTCGGCCTGATGGGCTTTGGCGGCGCTGGTGTCTTCCTGTCCCGGCCCCTGCTCCTGGAGCTTAGCGATCCCGATGTCTTTGAGGCCTGCCAGAACATGGATTTCACGGGCGACCGACGCATCTCCATCTGTGTCTACCAGAACACCGAGACGCATTTGACCATCAACCACGGCCTGCACCAGCTCGACGTGACCGGCGACGTGTCCGGCTTCTTCGAGTCGGGTCGCCAGCCGCCGCTGTCGGTCCACCACTGGAAGTCGTGGTTCCACACCGACATGGGCAAGCTGAGCGTGGTGCGCGACATCTGCGGCGACTCCTGCCTGCTGCGCCAGTGGCAGTTCGAGGACGGCTGGATCCTGACCAACGGGTACTCGATCATCAAATACAGCCTGCCCGTGGATCCGTTCGAGAAGACCATGGAATTGACCTGGGACGGTGAGAACGGCGCCGTGTACGAGTCGTACCTGCACGAGTTTGGCCCGATGCGTCCCAAGGACGAGCAGAAATACAGCTATCTCCTGGAAGATGCTGTCCTGGAGGGTAACCAGGTGCGCCAGTGGTACGTCCACCGCGATGAGGCCAACGGCGACCAGGTGTTCGAGTTGACCTGGCGTGCCGGGTAAACCCGCGGTCTCCGTTTTTCTTTGTGTTTTTTTCCTCTTTTCTCTCTGGATATTTTTGATTTCCATTGGGCCACATGGTGGCCCTATATACATATCGAACTCCTGGCCGGCCGCACGCGACGACCCCCGACCCTTTCACCCGCCCGCCTTATACATACAAACCATCTCCCTCTTCCTCCACACGAACCCATATAGACCCGAAGGAATCCTCTCCCCCGCTCCCGCCCGGTCAGGATATAATTGAATTGTCATGGCGCATAGATGATCCGTTTTTTTTGGCTTGGATGATGTCACGGGTGCAATTAAAAAAATGCACATATTGTTTGAATCCGGGACTTCCGCATTTTCCTTACTTCTCCTGCATTTATTTTCTTTCTTCTTCCACTTTTAGGGGTGTCTCCTCCATGGACGAGGAGAATTCCGGCGATCGTGTGTACAGTACCGTACATCGGCAACGGTCGGATCGCTCCTTTTTTTCCTTTTTCCTTTTGCCTTTCCGCGCCACCCCTTTTTCTTGTCGTGGTGCGGGGAGTTCAACCCTTTATACATAGGTTACCGGTGTTCGTCCTCGTGTTGGGATTAATGTACAGATTGATTTTGCCATGTACTACCAATGTACTTGCGTTTATACAATGAAAATATATTACGCTCTAGCAGTTTGATGATATCGAACAGTGTAAGACCAACTTCACGTCAATCATAATACATCAATATAGATTCATTACTACACAGCAGAATTTGATGAATCAATTATACATCTCACAAACTCATCCATACCGTACCAACGAGCTTCACCTAGAATTGAATCCGTACAACCCCTTTACCTTCAAAACAACAATCCTACATACAAACCCCTAATGGGAGGTAACCCCCACGGATCCTCTATGAGTTAGATATGACAGATCCTAGCTGCAGGCTGCACCGGGGTATTGTAACCCTAGCGCTGGGTTCAATGTTATATATAGAGGGGTGGAAAGTGGAAAGCTTGGCCTGATTTGATATGTAACGGGGCTTGGGCTGGCTTTGCATGTTTGGTGTATATATATAGATTGTTTCATCGGTAGTTATTTAGGGGTGATATGGTGATGTGTTTGGTTTGGGGAGGTGTTTCAGCGAGTGTAGGGAGTAATCAGTGTACATGTCATATGTGAGGAGATTCATGTGATGTGGGTGGTGGATAGTGGATAGGTCTGGGGGCGAGTGAAGTGCTATGATATGATATGATGTTCATTATGGTTTAGAGTGGGATTGTTACTGATACTGGGTACGAAGGAGTTGTCTGGCCCAGGAAATGGTAAATTCCTTTCTTTTTTTGATAAGGATAGATTATAGAAGGTTGCGAATATATTACATTAGTATTATTATGTTAGGTAGAGTGTATCTGGCATATTTAATATACATAGTGAGTTAGTACATAGAGAGCTGGTCTGGATTATTAGACTGCAGCTGGGCAAGGTGTAGGTAGTTAAATATGTATGTTTTATAACTCCATGACTCGAGCGTCTAATGATAGAGTTGGATTAAGGAATGTGAAGTGGGAACGGGAATGTTGTTATGTTTCTTCAGCGAGTAACACGACAGTCCTCTACACAATTCATGTGTTATAGTCTGTATTTTTTATGTTACCTTGTCAATTGATAAAAAAGATCTTATATCTCAAGGGAAATGTCACAGACAGACAGGATTGTTGGGTTGAACTAGACTTATCACCAGCGAATGTGTCGGAGTTTTGGTAAATTCATAGTAGTTAATAAGATCCATTGGTTAGGACTGATATACCACTATACCTATCTACTCAGTGATATCTATTGATACACCACAATAACGACGAAAGAAATATGTAGGCTTTGGAATTATCCACGAATTAAGTAGTGGGAATCAAGGTTTCTTTGTTACTATGTTTTGCCCAGCGAGAAAGGTCTAGCGCGGTGTTCTAAAATCAAACTACTGCTGTGATATAATTCATTGTAATTTATGCTTAAACTTACTTGGAAAAAGTAGCACTGCATGGACTAGCTTACTTTGATGTTGTTTGGGAAAGCTCAACGTATGATAGCTATTATCAGGTCAGTGCTGCATGATTAGAGAACAATATCTTGAAGTATTAAGAGGACGTTAGGAGTGTCACTACATAACAGTCAAGTAGTACTGACTGATCACCTACGAGGATGATTCGCCAGAAATGCGGAGTAATAGTATAGTCTTTCATAGAGATCACTGACTCAAATATGTAGTCTGATTCGGTCTGATATGGCTACTGAATTGATATCAGGATAGTATAGACCCTTATTTGACCACATAACCCATTCGTTCCTGGCTAAATGTTGTCGTCCACGTACTCCTCACGCAAATCCATTCTCGCTTGATTTATTTGACTATCTGCATTACTAAAGATGATCCCTCGCTCATATTTTCCCCTCTAGTTGCCATGAAGACAAGTCTAGCTAGCGTTAGACTTTGCCGACATACCTGAAAAGTCGTAGCATGGCAATCCAGGATCGGTAACCATTCCTACACGCTCCTTGGGTTGTTACACTGTGGAGTACCATGTGTCCGTCACAATGCAACATTGTTGCAAGCATAATGCTATTCTCTCAGGGACTGCCGTGCGCAAGACGGGGGAGGTTGTATTCTCTACCTCTGGGGCTCTGTATCCACGACCACACCGATTCATTGTACTGGTCTAGGAGACGTCTCGACAGAGCGAGACCTGATTGTAGGATGAATCCGGCGAAGTGTTTCTATCAAAACCTGCCGCAACCAGCGTAGTTAGATGGCTATAGCTCATATAAAAACCTCGATACTGGCCTGGATTAGACCAGAAACAACGACATTCAGTAGCTTCTCCAATATACAGCCTTAATCTCAACCGTGAACCCATTTCCTTCCCCTATCATGAAACATACTTCCGGCGCCACCCTGCTATTGTTCCTTTGGGTCTGTGGGGGGCTTTATCTGCATTTGTTGGATATTTGTTGAGAGACTCACTGTCAAGTAGCTGCAAACTGAATAGATTTCTAGTCACTGCTTGCTACAGGGCTACTGTATAATTCATTGACATAAGGGTCAACCAAGACCAACACCAGCCCACGAGCCATGAACGCTGTTAGCTCCATACAGTTCCCACAATCTTTTCAGGCCCCAGATCTCATCATCATAAATACGAACACAGATCCGTTCACTCGGATGGTTGCCTCTCCTAGTGAGTATCTATACGCGCGGAGACAATATCCGAAGAATGCCCCAGCCGGCCGAAGGGCACCAAGGTAACCTATGCTTCATGTCACGCACCCCATGATTCATGCTACGTTACGTGGAAGCAATATCCTCTCGGGGGGGACTTGAAGGCCCTGAATGCGCGGTTTTTCCGCGACATCCCTAGTCATTTCGGGTCGCTCGATGAGGCCGGCCGGTAGTCTTCATTGCGACGGTATGGGCGAGAAAAATCCCGGGATTGTGTGAGTAGACTGACTTGTAGTTACAGTGCTATAAGTAGGTGTTAGACTCTCTGTGTTCAAGTCCCTGTGCCTGGGTGGCGCGGTATTGCGGAGGACTCGAGGAAGAAGAGGATTTATGTTAAGGGCGAGAACGCGTTGCATGTTGTCTTCCAGCCTACGGATTGTCAGTGGAACCATTAAATATGGGCGGTTGCATGGTGATAGAGAGGGTGGTGGGGGATTTTGATGTCTGGGTTTGAAGATATTAGGCCGATGGGAAATTATAAAAGCTGTATTGATTGATTGACTGCTGGACTGCTTGTCTGCTTGATGCTATGGTCACATATTGTGATATGTTTGAATATCAGTCAGGTTAAGCCCCATACCAATACTTGGTCAACGATTTGGCGTAGGGGTATCGAGATGATACTCAACAAAGACGCGGAATTCGCCCGACATAGCGGCCATAAAAAGGTCGATCGTCTCGCCTTACCAATCCCAGCTAGAACAATCCCCTAATAAACCTTAACCAGCCCAAGAGGCTAGACACTTCCATCCCCCCTCTGGTAGCCAAATCAGTCTTCGCTTGCATCTCAGCCAGTCTGTATCCAGCTAGCACAAAAAGGCGTGGGGCTCTTCGCGCCCTACAACCAACTCCGAGCGAGAAAGACGATGAATGAGGCTGTCCGATCGGCACTGCAAGTACGAAGCGAGAGGCAGTAACTGACTAACTAATCTTTAGCTCATGTGGCTAGTTAGCGTTGGAATCTAGACGAAAAGCAAGTTCACTCTATACTAGGCTACCCCCGCATATACTGTTCTTGGGATTTACCCCCCTCCTGTCTGCATTGCGAGAGTAGCTCAGCCGCTACCGTTTAGCGATGCATTACCCCGATATAGTATGGTAGTGCAACGCGGAGGCAAATAAGCAGCCACCCCCACGCTTGCACGTCATCAACAGTGTCTAGTCTAGGGCCAGGGACAGGGCCAGGACAGGGACCGGGGCTTAGCTCTCGTCAAGAAACAGGCAAAAGCAAGCAAGGAAGGACTAGAACACGGGCGAAGGCGAACCGTGACAGGGGGAAATGCGCATTAGTGCAGGGTAGTTGGTTGGAGGTTCGGAGATTTTCTGACGGCGCTGGTGGAGTCAGACCTCTGAGCGTACCTGCCTGGCTACTTGGCGAGAGGACGAACCTGGGTTTGTGCAGCTGTGGGGTGATGTCATGTCTTGGGCATGGGCCGCTTGTTTTGGTTTTGGCGACTGCTCTTGTTTCTGATTATCTATTTGCCGGTTTGGGTTTCTGTTTGGGGGAGGTGGGGAGGAGGGGAGGAGGAGTAGGAGTTGGAGTATTCGTTGACGTCTTATCGGCTTCCGCGGCGTCCGCTTGTGGCACTGGGACCCCGTGGGGTATAGGGACGTGCCCTTGTTATGGAAATATACACAGTGTAAGCCCGTAACGGGTGACTCATTGGAGATGGTGTCGGGCTGTTGCGCCAGTTGTATGCCAGCCCTCCCTCGGCCGAGAAAGGGGCGGGATTAGAGGTGGAGGAAGGATGGAGGGTGGATTGAGTGGGTAGGTAGTAGTAAGATACGGGGTAGCACAAATTATCTATGGAGGTAGTGATCATAGTGTTTATCCAGAATTCAGAGAAGCCAATAATTGCCATAAACAGATCTAATAGTATATACATCTAAGTGAACACCATATAAAACCACCATAAAATCAACCAGATAACAAATAGAAAAAAACAGAAACGACACCAGAAAGAGACGTAACTCGGAAGGAGGTAGGTATCATGTGGGAGAGTCTAAGTTCGTACATGGTCGCGTTGCATCAGTCGGTCAATCGATAAATCAATCAGTCAATCAAAAAAAAAAAAAATCTCAGTGTGCTGGCTGTTCTTTCCAGCGGAAGGGCGGGAATTCCGGCGTATGGTGCATGTTGCGGAATGGGACGTGGTCCGCTACCATATGCACTGCATTGGGGGGTGGCGGCAAGTCAGGTTCATTGCCATTGTTGTTGTTGGTTTCGACGGTGTTGGTAGCGACAGTGGCTGTGTTGTTGGGACCATGTTCGTCGGCAAGATTGAGCCCAACATCGACTGTATTGAGGTCGAGATCGAGGTCGAGGTCAGGGTCTAGTTCCCATTGATGTGATTCTTGCTGTTGTTGTTGCTGCTGCGGCTGTTGATGCTGCTCAACCTTGTCCCATGGCATGGGTGTGTTGTCCGTGGGTGTAGTGTCTGATGGAGGATCCAGAAGAAAGCTACTAGTGGCGAGAGGTCCGCCTCCGGCCATGCCCAACACCCCGCTGCTTCGTTCCAACAAAACTGGCAGGAGGTGGGACTGCGACCCACGGATCCGGGACAGCGTAGTGAGAATGCCCCAGAGGAGTTGGCGTGGGTCGATGGCAGATTGGGAGAGGCGGCTAGAGGCCTTAGGGCTAAGTGAGCGGGAAACGTCTGCCACGGAGGTGCCAAGGTCAAAGAGTTTTTGTTCCTGCCAATTGCCGTTAGTACTTGAGGGTAGCGCCGAGAGGGGAAGCCGCTAGAGAGAAATGCATACCATTCCAATGCCGTGAGCATCCACCGCGCCCTGAGAGGCCGCGCCGATCACTCCCATGACGGCCTTACCCACTAGGACCGGTAGGTGAAAGGGGAGGACTCCGTCATGGTCGCGCAGCATGCCACCGGGCTGCGTTGCGCGCGCCATGGACAACTTCCACATCATGGCCTGGAGCCATTGCTGTGTGATGAGAATATCAACCTTCTGGATCTCCGAGACGCCCTCCAGCGAGACCGACTTGGCGAGGCTGGACTGGATGGACGAGGTTGGGGGCATGCCACCGCCAGTGTTGCTATTGCCATCAACGTTACCGCCAGCGCCTGCCGAGACCCAGTCGTAGAGATTGACTGTGAGTTTTTCGAAGACGCTGATGAGGTTGATGAAACCATAGGCGAGGATTGGGTCTTCGGAGCAGAGAACCTGCGGTTTGTGGATGGAGTTGCGGAGCATGACGGGCTTCGCCTGTTGAAGTGCGTAGCCTCTGTGTTTAGAGTCAGCCCAAGAAACTAGATGGACGTACAGACAGTGGAGGGAGGGCCGCTTACCGTTCGGTGACAAACAACAACCAGAAAATCCGTCGATTTTCTTCAGCCTCTTCGACATTCATCTCGGAGTAAGTAGACTCCCGGTGGAGGCCCAGCGTGAAAACCATCGAGGTCGCTTGACAGAGGTAGAACCACGCGTGGTCCTGCTTGTCCAGATTTCCGTACGCGGCAAATAGGAAGAACGAGGTCAAGAGATTCTCAACGGTCATCTCATCCACCACGTCGCAGTCCTTCCGGGCTCGGACCGCCTCCGCCAGGAGCTCTTCTCCGGACATCGCTGAGGGGCCGTCAAGACCCATGTGCATAAGAGACGGGCCGGAAACGGGAGTGGCACCATCCAGTTTGAGCTGGATGTGCGTCGCTGCACAGAGTGAGGCCAGGAACGCATAGCGTGAAGCTGTCAGGCGTTCCGGCTGGTGGCAGTCCTGCTGCAGCGGCTCCTTGCGCACGACTGGCATGATGGGAAACAAATACTTTAGATACACATTGATGTGCGCCAATAGAACCGGCGCGGTCAGCCGCCGCGGGTAAGGGGAGGGGAACCCGGAAAATGATCCCGACAGCGAATTCGTCGAGTCCGGAGAGGAGACCAGCTCCGGTGGTGGGAGCTGAGAGAAAGAATCGGTAAAGTCCGCAGCCGGATAATGAAAGTCGGTGATCGGGAAGGGGGGCGACGTCGGTGACCCTTCGATCGGGTAGCCCATCGCGTCTGCGGGCCATTCCTTCTCGACCGCGTAAGGGGGTTGCCCATACTGGACATCCTCTCCGTGTCGTGATCGCAGCGGGTGAATGGGGGCTAACGGATACAGAGTGCGGAACTTGGGACCCTTGCGACGAAGGATGTCACTGTAGGAGCAGGAGAGAAGGAGGCGCTGGCATTTGTCGCACGGCAGTTCGCGCGAACATTTGATCTTGCGACGGCGGCAATTGTCGCACGCCTGCTTGGATGCTTTGTGTCTGGAAATCGGCGAGGCCATCTCTGGATAGGCAAGTCGATTGGTTGCTAACGTTTTCCCAGGGAGAGGCACGGGTTCATAGTAATTTTACGATGAATGATCAGAAAACTTAGGGTCATGGACAGAGTGGCTGAGGCCCATGACCAGTGGTGTGGGGGCCAAATAAAGAGTGTGTGGCTGGCGTGGACGATGAAGCCGGCCGTCGAGCCAGGTAGGAACAGTAATTATAGTCGAGAAAGTAAAAGAGAGGATGGAAACGATCCGGGGAAAGAGAGCGGGATAGCCTGGTTCTCCAGGCTGCAAGCACCCCGCGTTATCTGCGACGCCCTGGGGATACAAATATTAAATAATGGATGGTCCATGGCAGCTGGAGGGGAAGGATCTCTATTGGGATTAGCGGCGGTTTCGAGTGCATTCGTCGCCATCACTAGGGGAGGCACCTAGCACTAGTACCGAGTCCTACTTACCTTTCTATTGCCGAATCGCCTTAGTCCACTTTCATTGGACTCCTACTCGAATCGGCCCATGCTAGGTAGACGATGGACTACAGACATCCGCCATCCAGGCTGAGGAGAAACTCCCAAGACAACGCGGGATAGCTGCGCCACGACCCTGTATAGTGCTCATCATTACCTGGAAAAGGCAGGAGGACCACTCGGATGCAGTGGATCTGGGGTAGGATATGGAAGGCGGCCGACGGTGCAATGCCGTTGGCCCTTCAGGGGTTTAGCATTGTTCGAATGATCTTCTACACAGCGCCATCGGCAGGGACACGGGTTGCGTTATTTTCTAGAACAGTTCCCTGCAGCCGCACGGGCATCTAGAAGGATGCTAATGTTGGCATGGCATGCCATGGCTGGCCGAGATAGCCTTCCACAGCTGGAGGGGGGGGAATGATTGGATGAGCAGAGTCGGGAAGCCGAGCAGTATGAGGAACCAAAATAAATATGGGGCATCGTCTAGCCGATGAGATGTGATTGGAGTCGATCGATACGAGGAACCCTTGGCCTTTGAGGAGACTTTGGTCTGAGAGTCCTAGCCCTGGCCAGTAACTTCCCATATGAAACCTGGAGGGAGTGGAGACTCAGAGGGGAGTTGCCTGATTTGAGCCAAGTTTGACTTCACCGGCAGCCTAAACCGACTATCTTAGACCATTCCTGTGAAGGTCTGATGAAAAGAACATGGACTTCAATAAGATAGAGCAGGGGTCAACGCGACGAGGATGAGGGTGAAGAGAGGTGAATCAGTCCATCCTCATCTCCAACCGAAACCCACTCTCGGGCATTTACCGGAGAATTGGCCAATCCGCGTGCCGGAATCAGATGACCCCCCGGTCCCGCTGCTGAGTCATTCATCAACTCGGACCGACCCGGACTAACCCAAAGGAGAATATTGCTCCGAGCCCCGCTCACGGGACTCCACCTGATTCCACCCGACTCCACTTCTCCGCCCTGTCAAGTCAAATCACGATCGTCGTCATCTCAGACACCATCTACAACTTGTCCACGGCATCCTGGTGAGCCGTGAAATTGCTTTCAGGCATCATGGTCGAATCGGATGCTTTCTGACTCGGACCTTGGATCATGCCCAGTCTCTGTTCCTTGCATCGAACACTTCCATCCTTCCCTGCATACGACGCTAGGGTGTTGTGAATGGACTAAGATCATCGCCAACGCCAACTCATGATCTTTAGCTCGATTTACCGTCGATATCGACATGCGCTAATCATTCGACTACTGCATTGGAGTCTTGGAGGTCTGTTTGACTCTCGGCTTCGTATATTAGCTTGCTACTATAGGATCTACCCCACTCCTCCCCGCCCGCCGAACCTCTCCAAGAAGCCTCCCCCCTTCTCCCCTCCCCCCATTATTCCTTGATTGCCGCAACTCAATCACCCCCTTACTGCCATAGCTCGGAGGTTGGACGGAGAAATATCGCGGTAGCAGGGATGTTGGGCCTCTCGCTTCCTGTGTCCCTGACCCTGCCCTTTTTGGGTCAAAATATAAAGTGATCATCCCTCCCAAATACCTGATCCACACACCACACACGGTCGACATCATCATGGTCGCCCTCACGGCATGGCTGGCTATAGCGCCGCTGGTATACGCCACCACTCTGACCACCCCCGCCACATCCCCCCAGTTCACCATCCCCGCCTCTGCGGATGTTGGCGCCCAATTGATTGCCAACATTGATGACCCCAAGGCCGTCAATGCGCAATCGGTTTGCCCGGGATACAAGGCATCGGGGGTGGAACACACCCCTCATGGCTTCACGGCCAGTCTACAGTTAGCAGGGAAGCCCTGCAATGTGTACGGTGATGACGTCGACTCCCTGTCTTTATCGGTTGAGTACCAGGCAGAGGATCGTTTGAACATCGTCATCACCCCTTCCCACGTAGATGCCTCCAACCAGTCCTGGTACGTCCTCTCGGAGGCACTGGTCCCACGACCTCAAGCCTCAACCAAAGGGTGGGGCCACCGCGGTCAGCTGCAGCTGGAATGGTCCAACGAGCCTTCTTTCAACTTCAAGGTCACCCGGCGCGCCACCGGGGATGTCCTGTTCAACACGGCAGGCTCTGTGCTGGTCTACGAAAACCAGTTTGTCGAGTTCGTCACCTCCCTCCCAGACGAGTACAACCTGTACGGGCTGGGAGAGCGCATGACGCAGCTCCGGCTTCTGCGGAATTCGACCTTGACTACGTATGCCGCGGATATTGCCGATCCCATCGATGAGTGAGTTTGCCACATCATCTGCAAGAAACTGTGCTGACAGTCCGTAGTAATATCTATGGCCACCATGCATTCTATCTAGATACCCGGTACTTCCGCAAGGGGAGTGACGGGGACCATACCCCGGTCAAGGCCAGCGAAGCGGATAGCACCAAGGAATATGTCTCCTTCTCGCACGGCGTGTATCTGCGAAATGCCCATGGCCACGAGGTGCTCTTGCGCTCCAAGGGCCTGACCTGGCGCACGCTGGGCGGCAGCATCGATTTGACCTTCTATGCCGGGCCCACCCAGGCCGATGTGACCAAGCAGTACCAGCTGAGTACCGTGGGGCTGCCGGCAATGCAGCAGTACAACACCCTCGGGTTTCATCAGTGCCGTTGGGGGTACAATAACTGGTCGGAATTCCAAGACGTGGTAGACAACTTTGAGCGATTTGAGATTCCCTTGGAATACCTCTGGTATGTGATTCTATGAATCTTTTGGCGCATAACTGATGTTTTGATAGGGCGGATATCGACTACATGCATGGATACCGGAACTTTGACAATGATGAGAACCGATTCTCTTACGAGGAGGGCGCAAAGTTCCTCGACAAGCTCCATGACGGGGGCCGTCGCTGGGTGCCCATCGTGGACGCCGCGCTGTATATCCCGAACCCAGAAAATGCATCTGACGCGTGAGTGTTATTCCTTTACTGTCTAGTCCTCTGTTTTCACGGACACGGCTGATTGATATCCACAGTTATGAAACCTATACCCGAGGGGCCAAAGATGACTTGTACATCAAAAACCCCGACGGAAGCTTGTACATTGGGGCGGTGTGGCCCGGGTACACCGTGTACCCGGATTGGTCCCATTTCCAGGCGGCTGCCTTCTGGGCCAATGAGCTGGTAACCTGGTACAAGAAGCTGGCGTACGACGGCATCTGGTACGACATGGGCGAGGTGTCGTCCTTCTGCGTCGGCAGCTGTGGCACCGGGAACTTGACCATGAACCCCGCACACCCGCCCTTCTCCCTGCCGGGTGAGCCAGGCAATGTCCTGTATGACTATCCCGAGGGATTCGAGGTGACCAACGCCACCGAGGCTGCCGCCGCCTCGGCCAGCTCATCCAGCCAGGCGGCTGCCCAACCGACAACCTCCTCCACCACTACGTCGTACCTGCGGACTACCCCCACCCCGGGGGTCCGCAACGTGAACCACCCCCCGTACGTGATTAACCACGTGCAGACCGGCCACGATTTGGCCGTGCATGCCATCTCGCCCAACTCCACCCATGTGGATGGGGTCCAAGAGTACGATATACACAGCCTGTACGGCCACGAGGGCATCAGGGCAACCTACAAGGGCTTGCTGGAGGTGTTCCCCGGCAAACGGCCGTTTATCATCGCGCGGTCAACGTTCTCAGGCTCGGGACGGTACGCGGGTCATTGGGGAGGAGACAATTTCTCCAAGTGGGGATCTATGTACTTTTCCATCTCCCAGGCCCTGTCTTTCTCGCTGTTTGGCATCCCCATGTTCGGTGTCGACACGTGTGGGTTCAACGGCAATGCCGATGAAGAGCTTTGCAACCGGTGGATGCAGCTATCGGCGTTCTTCCCCTTCTACCGGAACCACAACGTGCTCTCTGCCATCCCGCAGGAGCCTTACCGCTGGGCATCGGTCATCGACGCCACCAAGTCGGCGATGCGCGTCCGCTACGCGCTCCTCCCGTACTTCTACACGCTGATGCAGCAGGCCCACGAGACCGGGTCGACCGTGATGCGCGCGCTGGCCTGGGAGTTCCCAGATGACCCTACCCTGGCGGACGTCGCTACGCAGTTCCTCGTGGGGCCATCCATCATGGTTGTACCCGTGCTGGAGCCGCAGGCCAAGACCGTCAAGGGCGTCTTCCCGGGCGTTGGTCGCGGTGAGGTGTGGTACGACTGGTACACGAAGACCGCAGTGGACGCGAAGCCAGGCGTGAATACCACCATCCCGGCCCCTCTGGGTCACATCCCCGTGTACATCCGCGGCGGCAGCGTGCTGCCCCTGCAGGAGCCCGCGCTGACCACACGCGAGGCACGCCAGTCGCCATGGTCGTTGCTGGTGGCGTTGGGGACGGACGGCACTGCTACGGGAGATCTGTACCTGGACGACGGCGAGAGCATCGATCCGGAGAGCACGCTGACGGTCAACTTCGAGGCGTCGCGGTCACGACTGCGGGCGACAGCAGAGGGGACCTGGCAGGAGTCAAACCCTCTGGGGTCGATAACGGTCCTGGGCATCAAGAAGTCTCCGAGAACGGTGACGCTGAACGGGACGCCTGTGCCTGTGGACGCTATGCTGTACGATACGGACTCGGGAACCCTGTCTCTGAGTGGGCTGGAGAAATTGACTGGGAAGGGGGCGTGGGGCAAGGGATGGGTGCTGAAATGGTGATAGAATGGGTTAGATCTGTTGTCTCCATGTAATTGCAAAGAAAAGCAAACTAATGTTTACTTCGCCACACACATCCCCTCTCTCTCTCTGTCTTTTTTCTCTTTTTTTTTTTTTTTTTCTTTTTCTTCTTCTTTCCTTCGGCCCCCCGCCTCTGTCCAAGTAATCCACACTGCCAAGTTTCTACCACCACCACTACTACTCCCCAAACCCGAGCCTTGTCAGGGATTATCCGAACTAAAAGGAGAACTAGAAGGAGAGCTAGAAGGAGAACTAGAAGAAGAAGAACTCGTAGAAGAAGGAGGCAAAAAAGAACCCAACCTCCCCCAACCCCAACCCCAGCCTTACCCAATTCAATACAACCTACGGAGTACCTACCAACGGAATGTAGGAACCGACCCTACTAACGCTACTTCCTCACCGATCTACATTCACACTAGCACGTTGAATCTGGTTGTGTGGCTGACGTGCACTACACTACCACTACCTGAGCGGAATGTGTCTGGCTTCGCTAGGCTTCGCTAAGAGGGGAGGTTCGTGCGTGAGGGTTTGTGGGGGGGAACAGGTGTAGGAGTGTGCTGTTCTTGTTGTTGTTGTTGTTGTTGTTGTTGGTATGGGGTATGGGTATTATGCGGAGCGGAAATAGTAAACTAATGTTAGGTGGAGTATCCTTTTCTTGGATCTATTAGGTTTTCTTACCATTCTTGCTTATGCATCATGAGAGAAGGAGAAAAAGGAAAAGAAATAGAAAAAAATATAAAAAGAAAAACAGCAAAACAAAAGATATCACTGACTACAACTCCACCTCTACCCCTACAAACCTACCTGCATACTCTCGATCCAATAGCACCACCCTCCCAGGCTCCCATACATTCCATTACTTCCATCACGGGCACATATGCCCTGCTGAATCCCATGATCCAGATCGCGGACATACCTTACCAACGTCCGTCCCACGGATATAGCCAGCTCGCTCCCAAAAATAGACAGCCTGATACAGTACTTGCGCTGCAGAGAGCGTGTACAGGAACCACGGCTGACCGCCGTCATACACTTACTCCGGTGGCGGTCCAGCGACGCTGTTGATGGGGTAGAAGCTCCGGTGGTGGCTTTATGGCTGTCAGGGCACGGCGAGACACAGCCGTATAGTGGTGTCTTTTCCAGAAGTAGTGATGGCAGAGGAAGAGAATCGGATGAGACATTGGATTCGGTGTCCTGGGCGAGAGACGGGGCGCAGGTGTGGTTAAGATGGCCGGCGAACGCAGCGCCATCAACTCAAGCGCGAGACTCTCTCTTCCTCTCGGAGATTTGCTCGTTCCGTATATAAAGCATCAAGAAGAAATCTCCGAACATAGTCGCATTCCCATCCGCCCCAGTATAGGGCAAACCGTTCTGCACGATCGGCCAAGCAATCCACTTGCGCTGCCGAGGCACTTCTTCAATCCTAGTTAGTACCAATCCGCCCGTCGAATGTGCCAGAACGATTGGCTGTGGCTAGCTTAGAGGGAACTGCAATCAATTGATTTAAACATCGCCAGTAACAGCGCCCACAGCAAGCCATCACGTTTGTGCCGGCCCCCCACCCCGTCAGTGGCGTAGGCGGGGGCGGACTGGCGCAGTCCGTCCCCGGAGATCAGATCGCGGATGGATTGGGCAGGAGCTGCAGGGGGGTCTGGGCGGTGATGTCAGAATGGATGGTGGTGCAGGAGGGGGTGCTTTGTGGCGGGGAATTTATGCACGGGTGAGTCTTAGACCCTTGGGTAGAAGGGTGCCGTGTTGACTGGTCTGTCTGTAGCGCTGAACCGAAGCGAAGCAAGATGGACAGAACGGTTCTGGCCTTAGTCGCTAGGACTACTCCGTAGTTAGCAGTGATATGACTCGGCTGGGCGCCGAGTGCTTAGCGCCCTTTACCGCGATGTCGATAGGGATACTATCGAGGGCGGGGCTTCTGATGATAATCTAGGCGCCCAGATCGAAGGATGAGGGAGTGCGGGACAGGATGAATTGGGATACGGGAGGGAGGGAAAGGAGAGATAGGAGAGGTTTCAGATTCATGAGCGAAGGGAAGAACGCAGAGGGTGGATGGAATGACAATGGCATCATGAATCCGGCGGGGTCGGTCGGAGTCCGATTGATTGCGACTCCTGACTGGTCTGAGGAGAAAGATACCAAGGCCAGTTTCCCCTCATCTGTTGCCCCACCAGGCCCTGGTCATGGTCCGATGAAGATTGACATGATATTCTTTTGACAGGATTCTAGACTACCCTCCTGGAAAGTCTTGTGGAATCAACGGGTTGAGGGAAAGAAGGGAATAACGATCTTCTAGAAAATCCCCGAGATTCTTCCCCGCATCTGCCATGGTGCCGTGCCCTAATTGCCGGCCGGGGGTCATCCCCAATCAAACAACAGCCAGGAAACGCCAGAACATTCCTGCATAATTATCACACAGTAGAACCAGGCTGAATGGACGCCCTCCCTGCATGGTGAAGACCACTACCCCTGGCTAGGATAAGGAATGTAACGCTAGAGGGGACGACCGTCGCAGAATCCGCCGATCTTCACACTCGGCAGACCGGGGTCGGGGATTCACTGGGCGACGGACCAATCGGTCGAATAACCTCCTCCTGCTAAGAGAGCATTATAAATACGCTTCTTTCCCAGGAACCGTAACCATGCTACACCCCACTGCAGACAGAAGAAAAAAGCATCCCTCGCCACAAATCTCCCCCCGTATAACCTCACCAATGCGTCTCTCTTTGTGGTCTCTGCTCCTGGGCACGACCCTGGCAGCAACCCCCGCGGAATGGAAGTCGCAGTCTATCTACTTCCTGCTGACGGATCGATTTGCCCGCACTGATGGCTCGACCGAGGAGCCTTGCGATACGGAGGCCCGGAAGTACTGTGGTGGTACATGGCAGGGAATCATCAAGAAGGTACCTACACTCGAGCAACTTCCAATTAGGGCACAAGAGCACAGCTAAGAGAGAGAACAGCTGGACTACATCCAGGACATGGGTTTCACTGCCATCTGGATCACTCCCGTTACGTCTCAAATCAAAGACACGACCGAGTACGGCGAGGCCTACCACGGCTACTGGCAGCAGGACATGTCCGTTTCCCCCCCAATGTTGCTCGCCCTCTATTCAAGCTAATATCAAATTAGAAACTCTCTCGAGGAGCACTACGGCAAGCCGGAAGACCTGACTGCACTGTCAGATGCCCTCCACGAGCGAGGCATGTACCTCATGGTCGACGTTGTGGCCAACCACATGGTATGTCACCCTGGATGCAACCCGCCCGCCTTCGCCGAGCATAGCTAAGTAGAAATAGGGATACAAAGGCGCCGGTGACGCCGTCGACTACAGCATCTTCACGCCGTTCAACAAGCAAGAGTACTTCCACGATTACTGCCCGATCAAGAACTACGATGACCCGACGCAGTCGGAGCAGTGCTGGCTGGGCGACAACAAGGTCGCCTTGCCGGACTTGAACACCGAAAGCGAGGAGGTGAAGAATATCTGGTACAAGTGGGTTGGAGACCTGGTGAAGAAGTACAAGAGTACGTCCACCCATCCATTCCCATGGCCACGTACAGGTGGAGTGGGAAAACATACTAACGAATGCAGTCGACGGTCTCCGTATCGACACCGTCAAGCACGTCCAGAAGGACTTCTGGAAGGGATACAACGAGGCCGCGGGCGTCTACTGCGTGGGCGAGGTCCTGGACGGCGATGTCGACAACATCTGCTCGTACCAGGAGGTCATGGACGGCTTGTTGAACTACCCGATGTATGGCCTCCCAGACACAAAGACGATGGATAAGACAGCCACTGACAACAACCAGCTACTACCCTCTGATCAACGCTTTCAAGGCCCCCGGCGGCAGCATGTCAGAGCTCGCCAGCATGATCACCACGGTCCAAGAGAAGTGCAAGGACGTCAACCTGCTGGGTTCGTTCGTCGACAACCACGACAACCCTCGCTTTGCTTCGTGAGTCTCCCTCCACTCAACATACACGCATATACAGTATGTGTTACCACATTGGTAGCAATGTCTAACCAAAACAGATACACCAAGGACGTCGCCCTGGCCAAGAACATCGCCGCATACTCCATCCTGGCCGACGGTATCCCCATCATCTACGCAGGCCAGGAACAGCACTTCTCGGGCGGCGAAGACCCCGCCAACCGCGAAGCCACCTGGACCGGTGGCTACGACACCGAAGGCGAGCTGTACAAGGTGATTGCCGCGTCCAACAAGGTCCGCAACCTGGCCATCAAGCAGGACGAGAAATACGTCGACTTCAAGGTATTTACTTCCACCCATATCCCAATCCAAACCCAGAATGTAGAAAGGCAGAATCTAACGCAATAAACAGACCCAAGCCATCTTCTCAGACGACTCCTCCATCGCCATCCGCAAGGGCGCCGACGGCTCGCAGATCATCACCGTGCTCACGAACAAGGGCGAGGGCGGCGAGGCGACGGTCGAGGTCACGGGCACGGGCTACGAGTCCGGCACCGAGCTGACGGACGTGATTACTTGCTCGCCCGTCAAGGCCGGTGACAACGGATCGGTGTCGGTGCCCTTGAAGGGTGGCGCGCCGGCCGTGCTGTACCCGACCAAGAAGCTTGCTGACAGCAAGATCTGCGCTTGATTTTGAAAATCGCATGATTCTGTTGCGGGAGGGATGGGGGGATATGTGTAGTATATCGGTTTGGATGAGATGTATATGAAGTTATTGCTAGAATGTATCAGAATGATATCTAGGTACTGAAAAGTATCATGTTTATGAAAGATGTGCACTTGAGAAACAGCAATAAAGTTGTCGTAGAGTCGCTTATATGGATCGGCGTAACCATGGGCATCAATGCCCCTAATTCTATCTATTGTAATTTATTATTATTTAATCGCTATTATGCTGTCTGAAGGTATATCGAGGTTCAATTAACACTGTTAGACCAATAGCATTGGTGATGCATCGGCGGAGTGACTTGCCCATTCCAAAACTACCAACTATATATCTTGACCCACCATCCCCTACCACATGAACCCCACAAACCCAATCCTCAACTCCCCCAAGCCTCTCTACGAAAACAGCCTTATCCGAGACGGAAAAGTCGACGCAACCCTCTCATCCAACACCTCCAACACAACAAATGAGACTCCCAATGGGTAACCACCTACGGCCACCACCAGCGATCCCACTACCACCCAGCCACCCACGAAGTAATGGTCGTGCCGTCCGGCCCGGGCAGAATCCGCTGGGGCACCACCGACCTAGACGACAGCCCCGACGAGCACACCTACGGGTCTGACTCTGAGGATGGCGCTCTCTTCACGGACGTCGAGGCCGGAGATCTGCTCATCATTCCGGCGGGTGTGGCGCATATGTCGTACAATCGGGACTCGCCGAGTCCCGAGGCGCAGTACTTGACGGGAGGGGACGCGTATGGTATTGAGGGGGAGGATGCCGCGGCGTTTGTGGGGAAGCTGAAGGTGTCGGGGTTTACTATGATGGGGGCGTATCCGAGGGGGAAGACTTGGGGGTGGTCGGAGGGGGGAGCCGACGCTGCTGGGTTTGAGGCTGTGTGGAGGGTGAAGAATGCGGATTTGGATCCAGTTTTGGGGGCGCAGCGTGGGATTCATACTAATCGGAATATTCGCAGTTCGGCGCTGCGAGGACGGTAGAGAGTAGTTTGGCTTTTTATACTGTTTCGTACTCTTGTTAGGATGTGTGGGTATCATTATCAATCCATGTTTTCGGGAACTAGAAGATATATTTATTCTAGCATCAACTACACATGGTAAACGGTGACATTTGTTGTGAAGTTATAAATGCAAAGGAATTTCGTTCCAATGCGTAAGAAGAGAGATGCAAGAAGCTAAGAACCCATTATATATATATGGCCTACTGAAATACGAAACTCGACCACCTGCTCTCCACACACTCCTTCAAATACTCCTGATACTTGGGCAACCCTCCAATATAGCCCAGCGCTTCTCGCTTCTTGCCCGGGACATTCCCACCCATATACCACGTCGTTTCATTATGCGACATTAGCGTCTGATAACATGCTTCGTTCGTGATGCAAGACCACTCCTCCTCCATCTCAGGCTTAGCATCAGTCTTCGAAAATCCATGCTCTCGCATATACACCATAGTCGCGATGATCCAGTCCGCCTGGATCTCCGAGATCAATGGGCCACTGGCAAAAGCAGTTGGGCTTTGCGGGCCATACTGGTAGAACAAATTGGGGAAACCCGACGTCGCCATCCCGAGACAGGTTCTCGCCCCGTCGGCCCATTCGCCTCTAAGAGACTTGTTCTTCGCACCGCGGATATTGACCCGCGAGAAACCGCCCGTCACGGCATCGAACCCGGTGGCTAGAATAAGGGCATCGACCTTTATCGTAATCCCATTTTCCAGCTCTATCCCGTTAGGAACGATCCGGGAAATTGGCGTCTTTTTGAGCGGCACTAGCTCCACATTGTCTTGGTTGAAGACCTCGTAGAAAGTCTGTTCGAGAGAAGGCCGCTTGGTACCAAACGGATATGGCGGGTTCTCAGGGGCCAGATTCTCAATCAAGTCTGAATCGTTCCGCGTGAGTCGCTGTCGGACTTGATCGCGCCAGAACCGATAGAAGGAATGATTGGCGTCGAGGTCGGTCATGAAATCAAAGTAGTTGGCCTGCACGGGCGCGAACCCCCCTCTAGCCCACAGCGTTTCATACAAAGCAATGCGCTGGTCGTGCGTGTCGTCCTTGGCTCGTCGGTCGACTAGCATGTTATCTGACCCCGTCTGAGAGAGGCGTGCGGTTCGGAACAGCTCCGCGTACTTTGATTTATCTACTGGTTGTTTGAAGGCTTTTTGTCGCATCGGGAGTGCGCAGTTCGGAGATCGCTGCAGCACGACAAGCTTTCCGACCTTCGGACCCAGCTCCTGGATGACCTGCACCCCAGTGGCGCCAGTTCCCATCACGGCAACGCGCTTGTCGGTCCAGTCGACAGGACGGGCTGGCCAATCGGCAGTATGGCATTTGAGGCCCTCAAACGTTTCGAGACCATTGAGGTGGGGGATATATTTCTTAGAAGCGAAGCCCATGGAGAGGAGAAGATGGCGAGCGGAGACGACGTGACCCTTATCTGTCTGGATAGTCCAGAGCCCGCGCGCAGCATCCCACGTTGCATCTGTCACTTTGGTGCCAAAGGTGATATCCTGACTGAGATTCCACTTTCGATCCACGAACTTGAAGTATTCGACGATCTCTTTCTGGCCTGGGTAGGCTTCGGACCACTCCCATTCTGTCCAGAGCTCGGGGTCAGAGAATTCGTAGAACGGTGTGTTGTTGTCGACGCGGGCGCCGGGGTATCGGTTATGCCACCATACGCCACCTAGCCCGTGGCCTTCTTCGAAAACCCTCACGCGGAACCCTGACTTGCGCAGGTTTTGGAGGAGGTAACAGCCGCCAAAGCCTCCACCGACGATGATCGCGTCGAGGAAGTCGTCGTCCATGTAGGAACCCATGATTGAGGCTATCGAGGAGAAATACAGGGGTTGATCAAGGTGGGTTGAAGAAAAGAGGACAGCGATATACCGTTTGCGATTGCCTGGATGTGTTGCCTCTTTATAGCTTTCTGATTCTTACATCGAAAACGATCATGAGATAGGCATGGGTAGATTCATCCTACTATTCCAGACGCTCCACTATCTCCAGTTTCCCCGCTCGAGCAGAACCATTATGAAACCCATGTCTCCGTTCAAGGCTTGTTGGGAACACCCACCATGAGCCATGCATGGTCAACCCACGATAAGCTCCGCGCACCTTATCACACCCACACTACGGCCCTGCCGTCCGATGGTGGTTGCAGGGTGGTGTGTTTTGTGGTATTCTCATGCTTCTTCACGTCTCTGATAGCTGGCTCGGACCCGCATACCGGGGGACTGAACGTTTGCCAATAGGTCTAGCGAGAATTTCAGTAAGACCTATAGATAGATACAGATGTCATGCTAAAGCTGGAAGACTCACCACAAACGAATAAATGGCCTATTACAGGACTAGATGTGAGAATGTGACGGATGTTGAAAACAAAGTATTTGTGGGCTTGACTATAGGGTGTCGATAGTAAATCGCTGTCGCCTGAATGATCCAGCCATGGCAACGATCCCGATTCTGAAAAGTAGTGTCATTGCAGACCTTGGTTGGACTCAGTGTATATTATGTCCTGGGTTATTAGGGGAAGTAGCAAGTGATTTACATGTGTGGAAAGCCAGTGATTGCAATCAGTCCGATGTGTAAGCTGACCATGTAAAGCTGCTACACATCTTTGCAAGGTTGGATTCTTCCCACGATTCGTCAAGTTTCTATACTATCAGTAAAGTCTCTAAATTTTGATCAGTTTCATACATTCTTACCAAAATATATATAATCCAAAGTCATATTCACTCAAGACAAACGGTGGACAACATAGACTTGCGATTAGGACTAGCATCAAACTTAGACACTGCCTGGACAGGCTCAGTCACTACCAAGTCATTTGCCGTGTCTAGGCATCTGGGTAATGTGTTTGCATTATACACCATCACGATTAATTCATATATGCCAGTTCCTGCTTAGCGATTAATGGCGAGGTGAATATTTGGTGAAAGCTGTCCTAGGCCCATCTTCGAACGAGACTGTGCTCTCCAGCCTATCAAAAACTCGCGATAATATCCCTATCCACTACCACAACTAGGGTAAAATCCTGGAAGACACCAGCCTATTACTGTCCGGAGTATAATGAAGTGTCCGGGGTGTATTTGTTCAAATCATTCCTACCATCTAGTCAAAGCAGGACATCTAACATCAGGGCTGCATTCGTCCAAATATATTGCACACTATGACATCAAAACAAACCACAGCACGACATGAGTCCGTGCAGCCATCATTTGTGCAATGATAGAGCTGTTTCACCGAGGTAAAAACGACGGATGGAGTGGCCGTAGCGCGCCCCACACCGTTCCGCTCGACTCCACCCTCCGGGATATTGTATCATGGACGCAAACCAGGGCCTATAGCCTACAAGGGGAGCGCTGCTTGCCTATCACTTGCGGACTCGCTTGCCCTGTTTGTTATGAGTGTGGTTGCCGTGCAAGGAATGGGTTTAATCGCAAAGATTGATGTTGGTGGGCCCTTGGAAAGATAGAGACTGGAGTCGCCCTCATATATAAAAGGATTCGAGCGAATTAGCGCCAAAATCACGCAATTCCCGTGTTTTGCTAGCCAGAAATATTGTCGAATACTCTTCGCTTCGTATATTGCGAGGTACGCATATAGGGGAGGTTGTATGTGAACGGGGCCCATGGATCCAGGATAATATGCGATTTGGAAGTCACCCATGCTTTCCATCATGAGCTCCATCACTTTTCAATTCACTGCCCTTGCCAAACCCTCCTTGAGCACTACCAAACGTGGCTTGGTGTAGTTACTAGCCAAAACTTTGAATACCCCATGCTCCGCGCATATACTCCGTACTCGTGGCACATTTCCTTTCCTGGTATCGCGAAACTAGTAGAGTCGCGCTACTATCTCCCTAGATAAGGAATCTGTTGCCTAAAGCGCAAGTTTGACTGTGCCGAGCGGCAAGGGCCAAGCCGGTTGATGCAATGCGACACCGTTTAGAGATGCCTTCTCGGTTTTGAGAATAATTGATTGGCCTATCGTCTATGACATCTTCCGTATGAGCCATAGTTGTCTTAATCGTTGTTATCCCCGCATTATAGAAGGAACTGCCGGTTTACCCCTAGTTTGTACAAGAGTTCTGTCTTCCCCTCTCTTATCGCAAACCCTGTCCATATTGCCAGACCCTTGAGATTCTTCACACAATATGTCAGACACGACCAATGGGCAAAAGGAATCGATCGACAAATCATCCGAGTCCCTGGATGTGGCACCCATCACTGAAGATGCAGTCTTTGGCAAAATCACCGAAGACGGCCCAAACTATCGTAATGTTCGGGGCTCTTTCCCCAGTATTTGGGCACAGCGACTGACGATCTACAGGTCGGATGGATCGGAACCACAGCTCTGATGATGAAAACCCAATTCGGGCTTGGTGTCCTTGCCATGCCGGGAATACTCGACACGCTGGGCATGATCCCGGGGGTGATATGCATCTGTGCAGTAGCGGCCATCACAACTTGGTCTAACTACATAGTCGGTGCTTTCAAGCTACGGCATCCCGAAGTATACGGGATCGACGATGCGGGGGCCTTGATGTTTGGTCGAGTTGGCCGGGAAGTGTGTGGCTTTGTTGTCTGTCTTTGTGGGTCTCTTGTTCATAGGCATGCCTTCGGCTGTGTCTTTCTAACTCGTGCGCTCTAGACTGGATCTTCTGCATGGGCTCGGGCCTCTTGAGTACATCCATCGGTCTGAACGCTGTCTCGGCCCATGGAACCTGTACGGCTGTCTTTGTGGCAGTAGCCGCTATTGTCTCCTTCGCTGTGGGTAGTGTTCGCACATTGGGAGAAATTAAATGGGTTGCCTGGATAGGGCTAGGGTGTGTTTTTACTGCTGGTGCGATATTATTCTTTACATCTAATGTGGTCATAAAATGCTTACTGTCATACAGTGATGATTGTCACTATTGCAGTTGGCATACAAGACAGACCGACGACAGCTCCCCAAGGGGGCATCTGGGTATCAGACTACAAGTTAGTTGGACGTCCGTCTTTCGATAAAGCGGTCTCTGCCGTCTCGTCCATTATATTCGCTTATTGTGGAACTCCAGGTGATATAATCCTTTTGTAATATTTGATTCCCTTGAATGAGCGGGGGGGAACGCGCAAGACATGACGGGTAGCTACCATGTTGTACATGCTAATTATCAACTTAGGATTTTTCCCAATCGCCGCCGAAATGCGAGACCCTTCGCAGTACAATCGACCTCTTTTACTCTGCCAGGGTGGCGTGACAGCAGTCTACCTCATCGTCGGGATCGTCATGTACTACTACTGCGGCTCATACGTGGCGTCTCCTGCCCTCGGATCCGCTGGTCCATTGATCAAAAAAGTTGCCTACGGGATCTCCCTCCCAGGCTTGGTCGTCAGCTCGATTGTCGTCCTCCATGTAAGCCGTCTACCAGTTGTCCATAGAGTCCACCCTACATGATCTGACTTCCAACACCTTCCAGTTTTCAAGCAAATACATCTTCGTTCGCATTCTGCGCGGATCGGATCATCTCGTCTCCAACTCTATCACACACTGGGTGACCTGGCTCGGCTGCACACTCGCCACCACAATAGCCGCCTACCTCATCGCCAGCGGCATCCCCATCTTCGGTGATCTGGTGTCCTTGATTGGGGCGCTGCTCGGGACCTTCATGTCGTTCCAGCCGATGGGGTGCATGTGGCTGTATGACAATTGGGCCAGCGGGAGAGATCGACCTACGGTGAAATGGAGGATTTTAGTGTTTTGGAGCGTCCTTGTCATTGTTTTGGGGTTCTTTTTGATGATTTCTGGGACGTATGGTTCTGTACTCAGTATTATTGCGTCTAGCAAGGCTGCGTCGGGTTCGTCTGCGTGGTCGTGTGTTGATAATTCGAATTCATGAATTACTAACTCTAGGACGGTCGTGGTCGTATATACCCAATACTATACTCGTCTAATGAATGACAATGTACCCAGAACCGTTGGGCTCCTTATTGTCTTCGTAGGCCAAACAGACGGGATTCTAAAAGTAAGCAACAGACTACAGCATATTTTTGGCAAACTATGACTTGCGTAATTCCAACCTAGAATAGTATAGCATACTAGTTGATCTCGTTGTGGTCTTTGGCTTCATTATAAGAAATGGGGCTATGAAGACGCATATAGCTCCTACAACACCACGATTTTATAGAAGCACCAACGCATAGTTACGAATTTTCTCTACAACCAGCCTCAAATACTTTAACTGACAATATACATATTAATGAAAATGATCTGATAGCAAGTGGAGCTCACACGTGACCGGCCGCGTCTTGGTAAAGGCTTAGCTTGGATCGAACGACAACTTTATTTACATCTTGACCCCAGCCTTATGAACCAGATCTGCTATTCATCTTTAATGCACCATCTACCTGTAGCAAGTGGCCAGTTGGGATGAACGATCGCGATCGATGCTCGAAAACAGCCATCTAAAAATAGCCGATCATCCCCTGGTTGGCTGCAAAGGGAAATGTGTTACATGCCCGGAGGAGCCCTAAATCGACGCCCGTCCAAGCTGTCCCCACTCTTTTCCCTCCGCTCTGACGCCCACTCGCCCATCCACGTCAGATGTTTCTTTTTTGATTTCTCAGAAAGGAATTAGCTCGTTCAAACAGCCATATTAGGCCACCTGGATCACCCAACCCGGACGACGCTCATTTCCTCCAAAAATGTTCGTCACCGGGACCCCAGGACGGCTGACGGCCGCCCCTTGCCCTTGCCATTGCCCATTCCATCGTCGAACCCTCGCAATCTTTTCTGCATCTTAACCATTATTCTTGCTGGAAAAATCAAGTATCAG